AATCGTCGTCAGCCGGGTGGTGAGGGTGAATGAGCTAGTTATCGGGGGAGTGTATGTACATGCTTGTCAACGTAATCAATGACATCCAAAAGGGTCGGATCCATTCGTTTATTTTTATCAATTATTTAATCCTCCGGTCACCGCCACGTCTTTTCGTCCTCTATTGTCCTCTCCACATGCCCGCTCAACGAGTGGCCTGTGGCTGCTCCGGCGAGTGAAAGAAGACAACGGAGGCACGGCCTGAAGATTAGTATCACAGGAAAGACCTAAGAGTATCTTTCACGAAAAGTAGGCACTCGCAGACCTTGATACTCTCCTTGAATGGTACTGACTGAGATCATCGAATCTTCTTGTGCTATTGGCGGGAAGATCGCCTTACAATAGCGTCGTACAGGGTCTTATCGACGCGCTTCAAGTTCCCTCTTTGGATAAGATATAAATGTGGGCATCGCAGTCGAGGTCTCCGATAACGCAGCCAGCATCCGGACTCAGTGTCCCAAAGTATGATTATTTATTGTCGTGCCCTCCGCTGGTTCGTCCAGAAAACACCGAGAGAGATGCCACTGAAAAATCCCTTTACCAGATATCCCTCGGAGGATCATCCGCCAGTTATCTCATCCAGAGGGCAGGAAATTCGTGGAAGAAGGCGGCAGCCTGTGACGAGAACCAGAGCCATTTGGGTGAAGCTTTCTCTCTCCTTAACAAGTGCGACGGTATCCGCAGGTAGTCAGGTGTTCCCCTCCGACATCCTCAGTTCCCACTTAGACGCCCAGATTTTCGCCGAGATTAAAAGGACGAAAGGGATAGGGTCGTGTGCATCTCTCTCTCCTGCTCTCTCTCACTCAAGATCATATCACGAACAAGGGTTGCCATGGCGGCAGTAGTTTTCAAATGGAGAGGATAATGCTGTCCTGCACGAAAGCGCTGGCGTCAGACGGACAAAAGGATACTAAACAATCAACTGAAGTTCAAAAATATATTGCAACCTTTTTTAGTAAAATTGACTAACGCTGAAAGGTACATAAATCATTTACTTTAATAAAATACATGCGCCCGCTTCAATTATTGGTTGACTGATTTCGAATAAGACGATTTGCCCACCTAATACTTGTCCCCCAGTGATGATGCCAAATATATCATTTTGAACGCTTCATTTATTATATTTTTGTGGGACCCGCAGTGAGAGGCTTGCCGACTCCAAAGACGGGAGGAGATGAGCCCTTATTCCCCGTCACTCTTCCTACCCAGTTCAGTTCATCCACTTTCGATGATGGGAACAGCCACATCACAATGAGCAAAAACCCAAGCCCTCGAAGCTGTCGCACCCCCCACAAAGAAGACTTTTGTCCCAGGGGCCCACGTCGCATTATCTTTGCCGACCTCTCTCTCTCTCTCTCTCTCTCTCTCTCTCTCTCTCTCTCTCTCTCTCTCTCTCTCTCTCTCTCTCTCTCTTCATTCACATATATGTTTCTACATATATGTATAGATATGTAAGATTTATCTATCTATCTTTCTATCTCTCTATGCACCTGGACAATGGGTGGGGATTTTGTTATAAAATTAAGACGATCCTGGATAGCCAAGCAGCAAAAGCGATGAAACCATCCTTTATCGGGCCGGACATCCCTTGACTGTTCTACTTATTAAACGAGGCGGCAATCCACAAGGATGCGTATTCTTATTTATCCCGTTTATGCGCGGTCTCTCTCTCCGATGTCCCGGTTCTTGCACTTTTTCTCAACGGGGTTTGCCTGCGAGAGCCCGATCCCCTCGAGGCGACCGCTCAACGACACCATTCCAGACACAGAGATCAGAGAGCCTTTCGAAGGCTCTCATCCGCCTGAGGCGATGATTGATTACGGTTGGCAAGGCCCATGGGATGAGGAACATTGGGGCCCGCAAAGACTATGCCGTATCGGATTCGGTGGTTGCTACCCATCTTACGTTCACCATCCGAGAGCGTACTCCATGGTTTTAATGCGAGGGATTATTTGACCCCTTTTGTTCTTCTCCAGCCACCGTTGACGCCTTGAGTTTCTCTCCGCAACCGACTCCGCAGAAGAAGGGAGAGAGAGAGACGGACATCAGATGATTAAGGGGTGCATCGCAATTGTGTAGACTTCCGAGAGGGTAGGTGGAGGCAGTTGCATGGAAACCATGCTGAGGCGCTGCGACAATTTTTACCCCCCGCCCGAATAACCACGTCAACCCCCCCACCCCAGCACGTATGACGTTGACTTGGATTCTGTCTGTTGATCTATTCGACATCTGGCAAGGACGAAGGCGAGATTTCAAAGACGAACGCGCTGCACCGGCGAGGCTGACCGCGCTCGGACCCGTGTGGACAGTAGGCAAGCGCGTTGACCATGATCGCTGCGATGACTGAATTGACATCAACCATTGGAAGGCGCATCGCCACGGCAGATCCCGGTCTAGCGGGGGTATCAGCGGCGTAGTCTATGGAGCCGACGGGAGCGACCTTGAGGACGTCTCCCCCTGTCCTCTACCTCAGGAGGCATTCAAGTGTGAAGGTAGACGGTGGACGCGAGGGAATTTAATGCTCAAAGTCCATCCACCGTCTTCGCCGCGAAGGTCGAATGAAAATGTCGACCGATTCCCCTAAAACACGGGGTTTCAATCGGCTTCCCATGCGACGCGTGGACGACCTACTAAGACATCGACAGGCCTGCCAGAAGAGACTTGAATTTCCTCCTCTTCCTCAGGACGTGGGGGTAAAATCTTCAGACGCCTTTGTAACGGGCTTCGGGCATGCCTTCGCCTTCCGCGTCCAAGTGGATTCGTGGATGCCTTCGCTTTTCTTCTGTTTTTTTCTCGGTTGACTTAGATAGATAGACGGTTGGTTGAGTTCATGTTGGCGCAAACACTTTCCGACCACGTCAACGTCGACGACATGAAGTTGGAAAAACTCCGGTTATGGCATCCTTGGTGCTACTGCGGCTCGCGTGCGGGAATATCTAAATGTCAACGCCTCCCCCGCCCCACCCCCCGCGGACCTATCTGCGGAAAGTTGACATTTGAAGTGGCCGACGTTCACGACGACGCGATTGGTAGGGCATCTAGTGGCCGGCGGACACGTTGATTTATTATCAAATCGGGCGACAGGTGATGCGATACGCTGTCGCCGTCGGTGAAAGGTCTCTTTTTTTTTTTGCATTCATCGTCATCCTCCCCGCGAAATGAAGCGGTTTTGGGCCTGGTTTTTCCCACCGAGAGCGACGGGTTCTTGCCACGCAGGACGCCTTCTGGACGTCATGAGACGCTGGCGGAGCGAGCTCAGGCGGATACGGAAATCTCTCGGGGGACACACGTGTTAGGATCCCATGGTCGTACTAACTCAGATGACCCGCTTCTGGCTACTTGTACTGCAATAGACGTCTCTAATGGAAGCAATCCGACGTTACCTTAGCGAGCTATTTGCGTGTGCTCTCCCTAAACGGGTAGCCACAACCGAGCCCTCAAATGGCTTTTGCTTCCTTCGACCGTTGAAAGGGCGTCTCTCTCTCTCTCTCTCTCTCTCTCTCTCTCTCAATATACAAATATCTCTACTTGTCGACGAAGCGCCGACGGAGTGTGAGGAAAACAAACAGCCTGCCCCGGGTTTCAGCGAGAGAGGGGGTTTATTGAGGCAGGGGCATCCCCCATGGCACAACAAGACGAGTGGCGCCTTTGTAAATGACGTGGTGCAGTGCATGAGCCTCCCCATTAGAACAATTCGATATGATATGATATCCCTCGCCATGAATGTCGTCTTTCCCCATTCACCTCCTTCAATGCATGCATCTCCCTATCTCTCTACCCATCACCTCGGACCCCTACCTTGTCTGCGTACCACCACCGAGAGACCTTGGCCTCACTCTCCACAATCATGGCGCCGCTTCTAGACTTAGCCATATCATCCCCGTCATCGTGATCACGACCGTGCTACGCCCCACCTTCGACGAGAGAGAGAGAGGCAGAGAGGGAGAGAGATGCAGAGAGAGAGAGAGAGAGAGAGAGAGAGAGAGGGAGAGAGAAAGCGAGTGGAAGAGAGAGAGGGAGAGAGGGAGAGAGGGAAAGAGATGGAGAGAGAGAGAGAGAGAGAGAGGAAGAGAGAGAGAGAGAGGGATGGTAGATCAGTAATCCTACGCTGTCCGGATCGAAGTCGGCCAGGGAACCTGGCGGCAACCCCACACCGCCGCTGCCGCCGGGGGTTCAGTCCCTGAGAGAGCCAGCGGAGTCAACCTGGCAGCGTATCGGTGCCTGTAGATCAATTCGGATCGTCCACGTGCACTGTCGCGACGAGGATTGGGCTGTCGCCCATGATTTTCTTACCATCATAAGAAGAAAAGTGTGCGTTTGGACTACGTGGTCGATCTGAAGAAGTCAGGGCAGATATCTAAATAAAAGGAATACAGGTTAGTATCAGAAGATGCGGCAAGTTTGGTGTTCGATCAGCAAAACCCTTCGTTAATAATAATATCCCCCCTCCGTTCTTCCCCGAAGCCGAGGCTGAGTCAACAAAGTCTTCGATGCATGCTATGACACGTTCCATAGCCTATGAGCCCCCCCAATTCCCTGAATCCACGTCAACACCCCTCCCATTGATCTCTCTCTATGTTACCGTCTCCTATGGGGACGATGACACTGTCGTACTTCCGCCAGTAAATATGCCGATTAATTGATTATATATTATATATCTAGCGAGAGAGAGAGAGAGAGAGAGAGAGAGAGAGAGAGAGAGAGAGAGAGGGAGCCCATGGGCGGATTCGAGCTGTGCCGCCCCCTATAAATAGTTGCCCATCCCTAACGCTTTTCCGCAGATCCAAACCATCCTCCTCGTTACCATCCCCAGTAGCTCAAGCCCTCTACTCCTCCCCAGATTTCTCTTTCCGGGTCCGTCCCTGGTTCTCTTCACCCCTCCGGTAATGAACGCTACAGCCACCGCGGCCAGTCTTTCGCTCATCGACCCGGGCTCCGCCCTCACCCCTTCCTCTGGCCCTATGTTGCTGCCGCTGGTGTCCCTCCTGCTCTGCCCTGCTCTCTTCGCCTTCCTCTCTGCCTTCCGGTCCAAGCTCCTCCAGGCCCTGAAGCTCTCCCCCTCCTTTTCCCCGCTCCGGAGGCTCCCCCTCCCGCCGGGCTCAATGGGCTGGCCCTACATCGGCGAGACCTTCCAGATATACTCCAAGAACCCCATCGCCTTCTTCTCCCATAAACAGAAGAGGTCAGTCTCTCTCTCTCTCTCTCGCTGTGGCCCTTCTGCTGGGGCCGGCCGCCGCATTGCCGACCTAAAGTTTATGACTCCCTCGTCTCATTCTTCTCGCCATCTATGTCGGCAGGTACGGGCCGGTGTTCAAGACGCACATGCTGGGATGCCCCTGCGTGATGATTTCCAGTCCGGAGGGGGCCAAGTTCGTCTTGTCCACGCAGGCCAAGCTCTTCAAGCCCACCTTCCCCGCCAGCAAAGAGCGGATGATCGGGCACCAGGCCATCTTCTTCCAGCAGGGCCCCTACCACAACCTTCTCCGCCGCCTCGTCCTCCGGGCCTTCTCCGCCGAAGCCATCCGGCACAAGGTGGCCGGCGTGGAAGCCACCGCTGTGGAGGCCCTCCGCTCCTGGGATGGCCGCCTCATCAACGCCTACCAAGAGATGAAATCCGTGAGTCCTGACACCCTGTTCTCTCTCTCTCTCTCTCTCTAGCTCCTGGTTTGGTGCTTGTAATTCATCTCCTCCCTCCCGTCTGTCGCAGTACGCCTTCAACGTGGCGCTGGTCTCCATATTCGGGAGGGAAGACATATTCTGCACGGAGGAGCTGAAGCAGAGCTACTACGCGCTGGAGAGAGGCTATAACTCCATGCCCATCAACCTCCCCGGCACCCTCTTCCACGACGCCATGCGAAGCCGGCGACGGCTGGAGCGCATGCTCTCGGAGATCATCGCCTCCAGACGGCAGCGCGGCGCGGAGGCGACCGACCTCCTGGGTTCCCTCATGGACAACGAAAAGTCCCTCAGCGACGAGCAGATCTCCGATAACATCATCGGCGTCATCTTCGCCGCCCGCGACACCACCGCCAGCGTGATCACCTGGCTCCTCAAGTACCTCGCCGAGGATCCCAAACTTCTCGAAGCCGTCACTGTAAGTAAAACCCAGAGAAACATTCTCTCTCTCTCTCGATCGAGACGAAAGAGGACTGAGGAATCCTTCATTACAGGAGGAGCAAGAGGAGATCAGGAGGAGCAAGAGAGAAGGGGAGGACGAGTGCCTGACGTGGGACGACATCAGGAAGATGCAGCTCACCTCCAGGGTCTTCCAAGAGACCCTACGGGCGGCGTCAATCCTCTCTTTCACCTTCAGAGAGGCTGTGGAGGATGTTGAGTACGAAGGTATGCTGGAATAGCTATCTTCACAGATTTCTCTCTCTCTCTCCCTGTCTCTCTCTGTATCCATGTACCTTCCCAGGCTCTGTTTTGCCGCCATGTTTTTATGACAAGTCTCTCTGTTTTGTCTCTGTTCTGGTTTCCAGGCTACCGCATACCGAAGGGGTGGAAGGTGATGCCTCTGTTCCGGAACATCCACCACAGCCCGGACTTCTTCCCTAACCCCCAGAAGTTCGACCCCTCCAGATTCGAGGTGAATGCTCCCTTCCTCTCTCTCTCTCTGCGCCCTGATGACAGATGATACGGCAGCAGCAGTAGTAGTATCAGTATCTCTCCGGAAATCTGACAGAGCCTCTCTGTGTGTTTTCAGGTGACCCCTAAGCCGAACACCTTCATGCCGTTTGGAAACGGGGTCCATTCCTGCCCAGGGAATGAGCTCGCCAAGCTGGAAGTCCTGGTTCTCTTCCACCACCTCACCACCAAGTACAGGTAAACACCCAAGTCCTTCCCCAACACGGTCCTCTGCTTCTTCCTCTTCCGAGGGTTGACGCGAGTCCGCGGTTGCTCCAGGTGGTCGCTGACGGAGTCGAAGAGCGGTGTCCAGTTCTCCCCCTTCGCCATCCCCATGAACGGGCTGCCCATCAGACTCTCTCTCAAGGCGTGAACCCGCAGGCCACCGGAGGAGAAGGGCCTCCGGCGGCCGTGGGTGGCCGCCGCGCGACGGGGAGACGAACACCCTTCATTAAAACGCGTATGAATATTAAGACATAATGAATGAACGAATACACGCGGCGGAGAGGGAGTCGCAAGGAGCCCCCGAAGCCATAAGTTGCAAGATGACTGCCAACTCTCCCGGTCAGCAGTAGACCCCGGCGACCTCCTCCACATTGTCAATTGAAGAGCAGAGGGAATCTCGCCGAGGAGGGAGAGGTCAAGTGCTGGCTGTGCCCCCTTGATCGAGGGGGCCAGCCAAATCCTCCTTTTACTGCATTGTGGGGAAGGTGGTGGACCTCCTGTGCTTATGTTGAGGAGAGAGAGAGAGAGAGAGAGAGAGAGAGAGAGAGAGTACGAAAGAATATGCTCTGCGGACGAAAAGTCAACTGTTGAAAGATCCTTCTATTTGATACGAAGCGGTGATCGAGAATAGCAACAACTGGGGCCACTCCACGTCTGTTACTCCTTCTTCTTCGTCTATTCTTCAAGTGACAGGCAGTCAACCGAAATTGGGGGCCAAAGATTAGGTGAACCGAGGAACGTACGTGTCCCGGCGGCCGGTCATTTTGCCAGGTCCCGCCCAAATGCGTCCATAACTGCGCCTTGGATGCCTGAAACTCGCCCACACAAGGACGGCACGGAACCAGACGGGCTGACTTGGTGAGGGAGACGGCAGCGAGATGGGCCCCACCTCCCTCTCTCTCTCTCTCTCTCCGTCTCGGGACGAAATCCAGCCACATCCATTCTCCAGCTCTGGTCAGCTCGAGGATGAGATGGCGCTTCCCCACAAATAGATTTCGTCATCACGGCGTTGTCCGCCGAAAGAGGTTGCACGTGTCCGAAAGAGCCGCAGAAACTTCTGTATCTGGACCTCGCCATTTCATGCCCGCTGACTTCCGATGCCATACATGATATCAGCGTTCTTGCTCGGATGGCACGCGGCGGCTGCTCTTGCAGCCGCCCCTACCATCTCTCTCTTTGGCCCCCTCCTTCTCTCTCTTATTCTCACAAGTTTTTACCCTTCCTTGTGCCGGAAGATGCTTTGTATACGTCATCTAACTGAACATCGGGCGGGGACGGAGTCCCGGAAGCGATGCTCCCTCTGTTGGCGGCGCATTACGTGCCACACCCTCCTTGGCCGGACCATCCCGGCGATGGAGAGATGAATCTTTAGTGTACTCTTTCAATGATTTTTTTATTGAATTTTCAATTATTGTGACCCATCTTGGCTTTTTCTTGCTTGATGCTTAGGAAGTTATTATCATTGCAGTAATTGGAAGTCTATCCCAATGAAAACATGTTTCAGCTACATTTTATTTATATTCCTTCTGCTTGATTAATCACACATGTTTCTTATATATGGGCAAAGTTAGATTTATCATTTATCTGTATTGAATTTTCACGTTGGTGAACGTTATATTTGTATATCAATTATAGATCACTATCTTGGAATCTACAGGCTTTCTAGTCATTTATTACATCCCAACTATATTTATTAATATAGAATAATAGATCGGCACTAAATCATTGCTAAACTTCAATAATTCTGTTAAAATATTTTATATTTTATATTAACTTATTTGTATGACAAATTAAATGCTCCATTCAAATCATAATTGGGATTTGATGAAATTCATACCTCTAGATACCGCAAAGTAAAATAAATTTATGTATTTTCCTTCTCAATGTCTGAATGGAATGTACAATCTTCATCACTTTGAGTCATTATCATTTTAATCTTACTTACTGCTTTTACCTTGTTTATTGCATTCATAATAAAGATCATCTGAAGATAGTAGTTTGGATTATGAAGGTGTTTTTAGTCCAAGTTTTCTTTGTTGTTTTAATCTATACATACTTTCTAGTAGTTCTTAAATTTTTTGGACAAAAAAAACAATTTGTTCATCATCATCATCACCACAAGAATGATATTCAAAGCTTTCAACAAGGTTAGGAACTTTAAATTCAAGATAATATTTATTTCTAAATTGTGTTTCTCATGAATGAAGCAAAGTCCTAGACTCCTCAATAATAGTCATCTTTGGTTCCCATGAATGCTGCAAAGATCTCTGTGTTTTTTCTAATTATCTCAAAATTGAAATATTTTTCCAAAGATTTTTCAGACCTATAATGAAATAGATTTATTCTCATGCATGGAAAATATATCATTTTATGTATTAGTATGTCAATTTTGTAATCTTTCACTTGAGATGATCCTTCATAAATGACCTCTAATTTCTCTCCATCTTCTATGTCACCTTCACACATAAATATCCTATTAGACTCATTTCATATTCAATGCAGAACATATGATGTTAATACATTTAGCATTTAATAATAAGAGATTTAGCTTTTGTTGAGATAGTTCAGAATAATCTTCCTTTAAAATAGGACTAATATAGATATTATTTCAAACATAATGAATAAATTCTCATTCTATCCTTTAAATTGCCTCAATTGAATCTATTAAACAATGCTGGTCTACTTGTGAAATGTCCTTCCACAAACATAGTGCTACAACTATCCATCTAATATAATCATCTAAAACATGATCATGTCAAAACAAAGGTTTGCTTTAATATCAACTGAATTACTTGAGAATGGCCTGTATAATTTGGGGGGGGGGGGGGGGCAAGGTTGGTGTGTTCTGAACAGACTTAATCATGTTTATCACTATATTTTAATTCTTATTCAAAATGTTGTAGTACTTGAGAACAATCTCCTAATTATGTGAATTGATAATTAATCGTATGTTGATATCTTGTCTATAAAGATGCAGTAGAACTAGGATGAACATTATTTTTGAATGTAGTATATACCATTGTGTAGAGAGTTAGAATATATAATTTAACTAAATAAATTAGATTGTGTTCAACTTCACTATGGTATAGAAAGTTGTAAGTGATTGGAAGAAGATAGAAAATCTAAATAAGATGTGCACACAAAGTAGGTGCACAAAGTAAGTCATTGAATATGTTGTATGCTGAACATTATGATATGTTGTATGAACACGAACATTTAAAAAAAAAAATTGTCTGCTCATATCTAAGGAAGGACATTAGAGACAATTTAGAATTGAATCAGATCAAAAGGAAATGGATACTTGAAAAAAAAGATCTGAAAAATTATTTGAAAGCCAATATAAACTGAATTTAGTTATTGCCTTCCCAAATGAATCATTGAGAAAAGAGGGATTACACTATAATTATGTCCAATCTAACTTGAGATGATATCATTAATAAAAGTATATTTTTTGTGAATGGTCTAAAGTATAACTTTATTGATATAACTTCAATATCATTATTAAAAGTATATTTCTTGTGAATGGTCTAAAGTATAATCTTATTGATATAAGTTAAATATATCATGATTAAAAGTATATTTCTTGTGAATGGTCTAAAGTATAATCTCATTTTATAAGTTAAATATGTCATCAAAATTTGAAAGTAATATTTGAATCCACATGGTGCAAAATTATTGCTAAGAAAAATAAGACCATATTCACTGAATTTAGAACATAGAATGCAATTGATATTAGACAATATCTATTTAATTGCTAAATTTTCCAATCTTCATTTGTGGCATGTAAGATTAAGGGATGCAAGGTCAATACTATATTCACAATACAAGCAAACTTATTTTTTTCTTGTAAAATTCCTAGATTGAATGAAAAATCTTGGTTTGTTATCTTTTTCATAAGAAAGAGTCTCATAAAGTATTTTTCAAAATTTTGTAAACTGATTTCTAATAAAAAGGGAAAACCAATTTCTCATATGCTTAGTGATCATAGAGGTGAATTCAAAAATGAAAAGCTTGCAGATTTTTTTTCTGAACAAGGTATTGAATGCAAGTTTTCTTGATTAAGAGCTCCACAATAGAATGTAATGTTATAATGAAGAAATTGGCATTGTTTCTTAGTGAATGATAAATTAAAATGATTTATCAAAATATTTTTGGGTTGAAATCATAAGCATTGCTTGCTTCATAGTGAATAAAGTTTTCATTAGTCTAATTCTGAAAAAGGGAAAATGTGAGCTCTTTAAGAATAAAAAAACCAAGTTTGGGCTATTTCACGTTATTCATATGCAAGTGATTCATGTTAGCAAATAGAAAGGAGGACTTGAACAAATTTAATCCGAAGAGTGATGAATCTATGTTTCTTAGTGAAGTTGAACCCAAATGCTTATCAAATTTATAGCAAAAGAACTTTGGTTATAGAAGAATCTACTCATACTATCTTTGATGAGAACTTCGGTGTGATAACTTCCTTAAAATGAATTAGGAGAGTTAAAAAATATGATGAGTTTCACTAATTTCAGTGATGTAGAATCATATCAGAAGGATTCCTCATTGCTTAAGGATTAGAAGGTCATTAGAGATCATATATCGGAACATAGTCTGGGAAACATCTAAAAAACTATCAAAGCTAGATCTTCTTTAAAACAGGATCGCCAATTTGCTACATTCACAATTTGCTCTCTCTCTCTCTCTCTCTCTCTCTCAGAAGGCCACATCTTGTAAATGGGCTCCTCCTTATCGAAACCCTCGATTAGAATCTGAACCATCTCATCCGCTCTGTTCCTTCTTTCGGTTGCTGGTGTGCCATGTCGGCGCCGCTGTTCTTGCTCTGCAACAGCAGCTCCGCCGCGGGCACGACCGCATCTCCCGAGGTCGACGCCCACGGTCGCCGTCACGCCTGCCGGCGGAGCTGCCCCCTGGCGCTGATTTTTCACCCCCGTGCTCCTCGTCCCCGTCTCTCCCACGCTCGTCCGCAGCTTACCCACGCACGTTTTTCACCCCTTTATGGGTCACGGCTCCGCCATCCGCCACCGCCCGCCGGCTCATCCGCGTCGTTGCGACAGGGTGAAAGAAAAGGACCCTTCTGCTGCCCCCAAGTTGGCGCGGTTGCAGGAGGCGGCGGTGGTGGAGTCGCGGAGCCGGCAGACCATGGAGATGGCCCTGGCGATGGAAGCAACAGTGGGGGAAAGGGCGACGGAAACAGCGGCCGCGGTGATCGAGGATGGTATGGCCCATTCAACTACGATGGGTGGATGGCCCGGTTATTGTGGTGGGGCGGCGAGGTCAAGAAGGAGGCTTTCTGTTCGAGAAATGGAGCCCTCGCTTCCTTCTTGCCGCTCCTGTGCCTGTCCTGGTTCGGGCTATCTCAGCTCTCCCCTGCCGCCCTTGCAAGAAGCTATGGCGGCGGCAGCTACTCCTCTGTTTGGGAGATCAGGGGCGGTAAGTGGACGATGCTGGTGCCAGGCCCTTCTGGCGAGGATTTTGTCATGGTCACTGATGGCGGCAAAGAGGGGGACGACCGCATCGAGGAGCTGTTTCTCCGGTGCTGGAGGCAGGTTAAGGAGGCCTTTGTGAGGCTGATGCTCCCGGAGGGGTACCCCGCGAGCGTTACCTCCGACTACCTGGAGTACTCTCTGTGGAGGGGCGTCCAGGGCATCGCGAGTCAAGTCAGCGGTGTGCTCTCCACCCAGGTGGGCATCTCCCTCTTCTCCTCTCAGTTCACTCCGGGGGCATCGGAAGTGGATGAACCCAGTTGGAAGTCCTCATTGATCCTTTTTCTGGGATAAGAACACTGAATTTGAGGTCGGAATGCTCATTCTGTAGCGTGTTTCTGATGCGCCGATTGCAGTGGTCTTTTAATTTGATCTCGAATCCTTCTTTTTAGTCACCCAGGTTTTGCTTATTCATCAGTTAGAGCTCTGTCCAACGCTGTGGTGAGGATGAAAGCCGATCAATTCGTACTCTTCATTGCTGTTCATCCTATTTCGCAGGCCCTGCTCTATGCTGTCGGATTGGGCAAAGGCGCTATTCCGACGGCTGCCGCTATCAATTGGGTACTCAAGGATGGTCTCGGGTACCTGAGCAAGATCATGCTGTCAAAATACGGGCGCCACTTTGACGTCAGCCCCAAGGGCTGGAGGTTGTTCGCTGACCTCCTGGAGAACGCGGCCTATGGGATGGAGATTCTGACGCCCGCGTTCCCTCATCTCTTCGTCCTGATCGGGGCGGCTGCCGGCGCTGGTCGCTCCGCCGCAGCTTTGATTCAGGCATGCTCTTGAAATTCGTAACGTCGATAACTGATCCCTTTTCATTTACCCATTTTCTGCCGAAACCGAATTCTCTCTGCTGAAGCTTCTTTCTCATTTTAATTTGCAAAGATCCTTTGATACTCCGTGATTTCAGCTTCATACGGTTTAAGCTAAACCAGCCTGCCCACCTGGTTGTTCTTCACGACACTCCAAGCAAAGATGCAGGCAGCTTCATTTCATGATTAGAGTGCTCCCTAGAATCCCTGCTTCGTATAGATCAGGGAGCAGGTAGAATCCCAAAACTGGAGAAAATCGACGCCTTCATCTTTTTCTGTCGGATTGGAGAGAGCCACCTTTGGGATTCGACCTCCAAGTCTGACGGGCTATAAATGGTCCTGATTATCTTTCTCCTCCAAGCCGTCACCTCCTGCACGAGCCCCCACATTGTTCAGAGGCTTCCGATGCTCAACTCATCTCATTCGGGCAGAGGGTTCCGATGCTCTTCCCTATTATGCACGGCATCCTCATCATCTTCATCATTCCGAGGAAAAATAGTGAACTGTCTTCATTTATGCTATTCCGGTGCCTCCTTCAGCCATCCTCCATCCACGCTCAACACGCCACTCCTCGTTCTCCGTATCACGAGAAGGTCGTCCTCCTGCTTTTATTTTATGCTTTCATCCCGGGTTCAAGTTCACATTTGCGAATTACACCATTCATGGCCGCGAGAAAATCTTACTCCCCGGTCTCTGCTGCCTCTGGTGCCATTCCCTGGTCTAAACCCGTCATCCCCTTCTCAGGCGGCGACGAGAAGCTGTTTCTACGCGGGTTTCGCCGCCGAGAGGAATTTCGCAGAAGTAAGCGCCGTTTCGAGTCCATTCTTCGCGCCGAGGCGTTGGCCTTTCTTCGCTGCATGAATTATCTGTTCCTGCTGTCTTCGCAGGTGATAGCGAAGGGGGAGGCACAGGGAATGGTGAGCAAGTTCCTCGGCATCACGCTGGGGATATCCCTGGCCAATGCGATCGGCTCCTCCACGCCTCTGGCTCTCGCCGCCTTTGGCGCGGTGACAGCCGTCCACATGTACTGCAACCTGAAGTCGTACCAGTCCATTCAACTGCGGACCTTGAACCCGTATCGCGCGAGTGAGCTTCATCTCCCGCATGGTGTTGACTTCCGCATCCTGGTTTTCGTCAGTCTGACACCGAACAGGTCTGGTTTTCAGCGAGTATTTACTGAGCGGGCAAGTCCCCGGGATAAAGGAGGTCAACGACGAGGAGCCGCTGTTCACCGACATCCCCATCGACATAAAACCCGCGAGCAACGTGGGTTCCTTCTCCCTTCCGTTTGTTTCTTCGCCGCATCCCCGGATTTGATGTTCATTCTGTGGGCGCGCAGGGCCAGCCCAAGGTTCTCTCCGCCGAGGCCAAGGACGCCGCTCTGCAGATCGTCCGGCGGCTGCAACTCGGAGCCCGGCTCAGCGAGCTCGTCGGGCGGAGGGAGGAGGCGCTTGCCCTGTTCGATCTCTTCAGAGACCAGCCCTACCTGCTCTTGGAGGCCCGGGGGCAGTTCTACGTAAGTGAAGCGCGATCTGCATTTAGCCGGGAGGAGCAAGAAGATGGAAGAAACAAAAAAAGAAGTGACCTTGGTCCTCTTTCAGGTGGTGCTTAAAGAAGACTCGACGCCGGAGGACATGCTCAAGTCTCTGTTCCACGTGAGTTACCTGTACTGGCTGGAGAGGAACCTCGGGTCGGAGCCGAGAGGCGTCGCGGAGGACTGCGGGAGGGGCGGGAGGCTGCGGATGTCTCTGGACTACGTCCAGAGGGAGTTTGGGCACGCCCAGCTCGACGGGTGGCGGCTCGGGTGGACGACCGACGGGCTAATTGCGAGGCCGCTCCCGAACCGGATACGCCTCGGCGGGGTCGAACCCTCTCCGGTTGGCGGCTCGTGATCTGCCACCGCCGGCGCAGTTGGGGGCGATCGACGGCGAGAGTTGGCCCGTGGCAGGCCGCGCCGCCGTGGCTTCTGTGCGGTAGAGCACACACACTCGAGGAGAGGGAGGAGAGAGGTCTTCGCGAGCTGCTGCTCGCAGGCGGGAGGGTTGTGGGCTATTCAGCGACCTCAGAAGGTGACGGATATCTGTGTGCATGCGGGGGGGAGAGAGAGAGAAAGAGGGAGCAGCCGGCCCTCCCCCGCACCCCCCCCTCCTCTGGTCTCCCTTCATCTCTCTTGAAGATGGTTAAACGGGTAGACTAGACTCATCCCCGGAGGCCACATTTAAGCCGTCCTTTAAGCTGAAGAAATACTCTTTCGGGATTGATGGGGGACTAATTCCCGCCCCGCCTCAGGGAACATAGGGAGCTCATAGAATCGATCCCTTGTCATTGTTGAGGGATTGATTGACCATGTCAGACATCTGTATCTATGAACTGGGTAAGATGTGAAAAGAGAAGTACTCAGACTCTATGAAAGTTGAGAATAACGAGCTTTATTTATTGAATTGGCGGCAATCTGAGGCAAAACATATGGTGAGACTCTGGCTAATACGAGCCTATGTACCTTCTAAACCATCCGGAAAAATAACACTTATTCTGAAAAAGATTGAACTTGTGATTAGGCCGATCCTGATGAAATCGTAAAAGAAAAGAATCCTGACAAAATACAAGTTGGGTGGAGTCGCAACAAGTCGGCCAACTATGTACTTAAAAGAGGACTTGTATGGAATAATGATGCATCATAAAGAAATTACTGGTATGAGGGCGAACTGTAATCTTGATATTCTTCGATATTCTGCCATCAGTTGACACCACCGTTCATAGATACAGATGTCTGACATGGTCAATCAATCCCTCAACAATGATAAGGGATTGATTCTATGAGCTCCCCATGTCTCAAGATATCAGCTTTTTTTCTCCTGCAACAAAGAGTTTCTTGCGGTTTATCTCATGATTTCCTGTATTTACCTGTTTTGGGAGGTTTCTTGTCATTCAAACCAAATATTCCCAAGAGCCTGTTACTGATGGATGGAGAACACACGATTGAGGCTCACTTCTCTTTCGTTAATTACCAGGTGTTATATTTTTTATCTTTACGGCTTTCTGCTTCTGTTATAAACTTGGATATTCTGCCATCAGGTGGGTGGGTATTCCCTAACTCACTTCCTGAGCTGAAGCAAAGAAGGACAGCGCTTGCTATCAGTTCACCTTTGAACAGTACTCTGGTGAGCCATCAAAGCCCTGATGAGTTTCTTTGGTTGATAATGTCATGTTTTGAAAAATGGTTCAGAACCATGTTTTTATTTTTATTTTTTTATCAAGATGAAGATCTTAATGGTGACATTTCATATCAGAGGAATGAAAAATAAACGTCAGATATCCATGCAGAAAGAAATTACTGCACTATTCTCAAAAGGCCCTAAGTCTGCATTTGCAAAAAACCTATATTCCAAAATGCATCCCATGTTTTGGGTGGCCTGGTTTTTGGGCTGCATGATTAGGCCTATATCTAGAAATGAAGTATCATAAATATTCATCTATGCAATGGGCAGAGGTTCATTCGGCCCATGCCCTGGATTTGAGCCAACAACGGTGCTCAGAACAGACCATTAAGGTATTGAACACCCAATTTGAACAAGGGCTAGAACGTCAATACTGATTTCTGAATCGTCTAGGGAACACTATTTTGAGGAGGAGGGATAGTAAGGAAGAGGAAATTCTCATTTTTTTTTCAATGAACATCGCATCCATTACGCAAGAAAATTCATTATTTTTGCAAATGCAGCTCATGTTACTACTTTTCAGTTATTCCTTTACTAATTATTTATGATCATGGAGAGTTCTAATCACTTCTCTCTCGCTCTAGCTTTAATACATGTATGCAGGTTCATGCTTATTTATAGATTTAGGAGACGAGAATGCGGCCGGAAGATCTATAAATAAGCATGCACACGCGAATATTACCTCCCACATTCAACCATTTGCAACATTCAGGCTCAACACGTAATCTTTCACTTGACTGCATTCGACTGATCATCACACTATGACTGGTGCAGGTGAGGGACTCAAGGCTAGAAGTTCAACTATGTGAAGAGAGTTCCAAGGATTGCCAAAAAGGGCATGAAAACAAACCAGGAATTCTTAGGTTGCCCCAGAATGGTAGCGAAGAAATGGTAAGAGTAAATTTAACCAGGAGTCGATGACTAGCAGCTGGGCTTGCCCTTAGCTAAGAGCTCATCATCCACGCATGCACTACTGCTGTCCTGTCGGCTCGCTCTTTGGTGACAGAAGCAGCGAAGAATTCACAGCGCAGATCCACCTGCGTTGAATGAAAGATGGAGAAACAGGAACGCAGTAGAGAGTTCGACAAGCCTCCCAGAGAGGATCGGTGTCTTCCACAATTTGTGGAGGCTTAACTTCCCCATAGCTTTTGTATTGCGGCTGTATCTTTATCCAACTGGCACATGGTAGGATGCCACATGGTATCCCGCACTGCAGGCTAACAATGTACACTTTGTTCCAGGTTTGGCGACATGGAAACAAAATCTCTGAGTTTGCACGGTATTCCTGTTGAGGCATTTACCATGACATTTTTTTTTTTTTAAACCCTGAAACAGCTGCAATTTATCCTCGTCTTTTGCAGCTGAACGACACTTCTTCTCCAAGCACTCTAATCTTTCTCCTTGAGAATGAATGTCTTTATACGCATAACCAGCTAAAGGGAGCAGGAAAGATCCCTCTTTTTATACACCCTTCTGAACACCCTTGCCCCTTCAGATTCGGCATGTATCTCCCTCTCAGTTCTTATGCCCATTGGATTATTTAAGAGCCATCCATCAGCATCGCATGAAATATGCCCATTGTCAGAAAGATCAACGGGATCGAAAAGGCTAGAGAGAGCATCAAATTGATTTCTCATCTCTCGGGCCACTTCAAGCACATCTGATTGCAGGAAAACCTGTGGATAACAGAATGAAATGCTTTTATGGAAATATCTTGAATTTTAACTTCATCAAAGAATTAGTTCACTTCAAAATCAAATAAAAATAGATAAAAACGATTCCCCCCAAAATTCACCCATTTCACCGAACAAGCACAGTTAAGCATAAATGCAGGATGGAACATCCTAATTTTCGTCAAAAGGGAGTGGAGCAGAAGTAACATCGGGGCAATCACAATTCTATGGATGCATTCAAAATATAGACTATATATCATCTTATGAAATATTTTTTCTAGTTTGAAAGGAATAGGATCATGCATAGACAAGCACACCCATTCAGCACCTTGCTCTCATAAATCATAAGTGGCCTACCTGTCCACCAGGACTTAAATTCCTTGAGATGGAATCCACTAATGGCTTAACGACGACTCTTCTTTTCTGGTGGCGTCTCTTGAAATGAGGATCTGGGCACTGAGATTAGGAACACGGAGAAACAAAATTATAGATATAGCCAAAGGAGAAAGCCAACATTGATCCTTAAGTACAATCCAAGTGTTTATCCTGTTCTAGGCTCTGAAGAAACATACATGATAGTTAAATAGCTATCCAACCAAAAGGGGTGCAACTGGTAAACTCACCAGGATTGAAACCAGCACCAAGGGACCAGGATAAGAGGTCACCAATTGATCGAAGGACACTGTGGCATTTGCAAACAGGAACACGCTACGACAAACAAAAACAGAATTCATAAGCATATTATAAAATTGAGAGTTACAGCTTTACGAGGTAAACGAGCCCAAACATGTTCCCAAGGGCCAAATCCTTCACCCAGAATTGCGCCCGTTCAACCAACTGCAGGCGACGAAATGAAATATGAGCAGCATGTATCAGACAGGTAAGTTACATTGTTTACAAGCATGATAAAACAGAACAGAAATCATCAATACATCTGAGGTAAAGGAATGTATAGTCCCATACTCTCTGACGTATTTCCAATCCCAAGTAGTTCTGTCGTTCAGGGGAGTTTTTTGCAAGCCAGATGAGAAATCTGCCACTACCTGGAAATTCTCATTTGTTAGCCGGGTGTATTACCAAAACTAAGGATATTACCCCCATAAATGATAGAGAGAAATGGCAATATCTGAAATGGATTGACCAGATATGAATGGAAGCTTTTGAATTCAGAACTCAACATTGAAATAATAACATATTCCAGAGATCTATCCAAGCCCGTCAAGTTACAGCAGAACTTGATCTGTCTGTATTGGACTCGAACTTGATTGACAGCGATTACAGCAGGATCGTTACCTGTACTTTTGTTATTCTTGAAGTTCTGTAGGATATCTAAGATTATAGCAAGTGAAACATTCGGTTAACGATCTGGCTCCCTCCATCTGTCTTTTGGGGGGGACATGAACGCTCACTAGTCCAGACTGGCAAAGCTGTCCCATCACTAGTAATCCCATATCTTTTTTTCCCATCTCCTGGGTAATAAAACCCACGTTTTTCCACAGAAAAATATGAGGCACCAAAATGTTGCACATTGCAATGTAACAGAAAATTTCAAGCCATATAGAAACAATCAAGCTCATAAATATGACAGAGTCACCATACCACCCATCTGAGCTGTGGCCAAAAACTAAGCCCAGATAATTAAACAAAATCGATTCATCTTAGGGTATATCTCGAAGAGAAGCTTCATAAAAACTAAAAGAAAACAGAGGGAAAAAATATCGAATCCTCAGTACAGCAAAAAAAATTAATTAGGTAGATTCGCAAAATGATTCCTCACCACTGCCAATATCAACCATCAAGGGCAGCGTTGGATCTCTGAAGACCTCCTTCCAATTGGGTAATGGTGCAGGAGTCTGCGGATTTAACATTAGTCACCAAATCAACTACTTGATGCGAACGAGAGGAATAAATCGTGGGAACAAGATGATTACGGAGAAAGCGGAGCTAAGGGGGTTCACATGCTGCCGAATGCGGACATGACCCAGCTGCGAACAAAGACGAGTTAGCAACATGGTAATCAGATTCTTGAGATAAATTTAGGATAAATAAATAAATTCATAAATTATCAAAAGGTATATCGTTGATTTGCAGTCTGCATGGGAAAAATAAAAAAAATGGAGTAACTCCAAGAGTGAACTAGGAGGTCGTCCACGTAAGTCATGGAAGAAAACTCAGAAAAAAAGAGACTAATTGATCGGCAGCAGGCACAATTTAGTAAGATGAAAGAAAGTTCCATATTTGGTTATCTAAAGCATCTGCGAGGACCCAACGAGAGAATCAGGAGCTGAAAACTGGTTCCACAATTCTACCAAAGAAAATATAACGAAGATGTTATAAATTGTAGATAAAGGTCGTCATTCGTGTTGTCTATGAAAGGGAAGCCCGACATTGAGAGCAGACAGCGGCACACAGAGGCCAGCTGCCTCCTCAGTGATCAAAAGCAAGCAAAGAAAACTCTTTTGATTCGAGCAACGGCACACCAGCAGAAATGAAGGAGATGTTGTGCGGCCGCAGCCTGGGTGGTAAACATCAAACAATCATCTCTCCGGATGAGTAAGAGAACAAACATGACCGAGCTTCTCCTTGAGCTTGAGTTCCCCGTACTCCCTATCGACCAAGTCGGTGCTCCTTACAGCGGCGGCTCCTTCCCCCGTCATACCCTCGTCCTCCCATCCCCCCTCCGGCATACTTCTCTCACCAGCGCACCATCTGGCCGAGCTGACCCGGGGAGAGGGAAGACAAGGTGGCCAAGCGGCCGGAAAAAGCAGGTCTACTGCCCGTCCACAGCGCAGCCGGGAGGGGACGGCGGCGTTGGCGCAGGGAGCGGCGCCCCGGATTGCGAGCATGTCGCAGCAGACGGATGATGGCTCTGAGGGTTCTTGCTTTGATGATTCGCAGCCAACCTGTTGTAACGTTCATCTCAGTGACCGTCCTCTCATCGACTGGACTTTGTTGGGCCAAATTGGGCCTACAACGAGGGGAACACGTCGAGTCTAATTGGGCTTATTTGGGCTGCCTAACCTGGACACGACTCACATGATAGACCCCACCTCCACCCTCAGCCCTCCCCATCCCTCTCTCTCTCTCTCTCTCTCTCTCTCTCTCTCTCTCTCTCGCTCTACTGTGCGCGTTTGTGAGCGCGCGCGCAGCCGCCCTGGCGGCGAGGGATGGAGTGGGGAGGTTGTAGGAGGAGACCTGCACCCCAGTGACGGAACGCAGTCGGGAGGAGAGGAGCTTCCCAGCTTCGCAGCCCTCCAATTGCTTCGGGTGGATGAGTTAAGGTAAGGGCCTCCCCCTCCTCTCGCTCCAATCTCTGGGTTTGATTCCTCCGGGAAGACGCAAATGCTGTAATCTCATGAGCTTTGGTTTTGGGGGCCGCCTTCCGCTGCCCCGGTGGATCCATCTGGATTTCTGTTCTGTAATTCCTCCCGGGTTGTGAAGATCTCCCAGAAATTCCACGCAATCCGGTGGTTCCGTCCGCGATTTTCTCTCATCTCGATTGTTTTCTGGATTTGCGCAGCGGTCGAGTTCTTTCCTCGCCGAAAGCAACTTTTAGGAGTTGTCTCTTTGGTTTGGGGGGTGTTGTTCGCGTTTCCTGTATTCCTCGCTTGTGGGAAGGGGCCGACGGGGTCTCTGGTCGAATGAATGCTCATGTGCTTCCGCTGTCCTCCTATTCTTCGCCTGCTTCTTCCCGTTTTGAGATCGCCCGAACGCCGCCATCATCAGAAAGGGCAATAAGCAACACAATCAATCAATCACCTTCGGGGGCTGCCCTACTTCACCCCCGGAGGCCCCAACATTCTTCTATGCGGTGCTTCCCAGATAGAGCAGCGCCATGTTTTCTTGCATTCCCTTGCTGGTCTCGTGGATTAGAACTCTGGCATTATTGTCCGCTGGAATGCTCGTGCTCTTGCGATTATTATGTAGCGCGCCTCTCCATTTACAGGCACTGTGGAGGAGAAGATTATCAGGTGCGAAGAAACCAATCTGAATCGATGGAGAGTTCCTCGAGCGAGGATGATGGCTCGATGAGGGACAGCATGGATCTGAACGAGGAGAACCTGCTGGAGCACCGCATGGCCTTCGATGCGGGCGGCGCCGCCATGGACGAGAACGGCGGTGGCCAGGTCGCCCCCCACCACGGCGGCGTGGAGGGTCTGGAGCCATTCGTCGGGATGGAGTTCGAATCGGAGGAGGCGGCGAAGCTGTTCTACATGGCGTACGCCAGCCGCCTGGGGTTCTCCGTCCGCATCAGCAAGTCCCGCCGGTCGAGGAACGACGAGTCGATCATCATGCGGCGCTTCGTCTGCTCCAAGGAGGGCTTCCACACGAAGAAGGACAGCGCTGACGATGGCAAGAAGAGGAGGAAGCGGGCGACGATCAGGGAAGGTTGCCAGGCGATGATCGAGGTCATCCAGAAGTACTACGGGCGCTGGGTCGTCACCAAGTTCGTGAAGGAGCACAACCACGCCGTGCTGCCGCCGAGCAGGGTCCGCTACGTCGCGCCGGAGGAGTATGCAGACTTGGAGCCCTTCATCGGCATGGAGTTCCCCACCCACGAGGACGCGCAGACGTTCTACTACGCCTACGCCAGCCGCGTGGGCTTCGACGTGCGCATCAGGCTCTCGCGGCGGTCAACCCGCGACGAGTCTTTCGTGATGCGGCGCTTCGTCTGCACCAAGGAGGGCTTCACCCCGTACGAGGAGAACTTCGACGACGGCGGCGGCGGCGGCGGCGGCGGCAAGCGGAGGAGGAACCGGACGCCCACCAGGGAAGGCTGCAAGGCCATGTTCGAGGTGATCAAGAAGGACTACGAACGGTGGATCGTCTCCAAGCTCGTCCTGGAGCACACCCACGAGCTGGCGGTCGCGCCCAGCAGGGTACACTACATCCAGTCACAGAGCGAGGTCGTCGTCCTCGCCAAGAGCGGCGGCGGCGGCACCCCCCGCGAGACCGCGTCGGCTCTGAACAGCTTGGCCCCGCAGATTGGGGAGCCAGGCAGGGGGGGCCTCGATCATCATCATCATCATCCCACGGGCGGCGAGCAGGATGCCAGGAACGACACCAGGGAGGCCGCCGGCCAGAGCTCCTTCGTAATCGGGGTCGAAGAGACGCAGAGCCTGCTGGACTACTTCAAGAGGCTGCAAGATGAGAATCCGGCCTTCTTCTATGCGTTCCAGGTCGACAAGAACGACTGCCTGATCAGCGTCTTCTGGGCCGACGCCAAAGCCAGAATGTCCTACTACTGTTTTGGCGATGCCGTGACCTTCGATTCCTCCTTTCTGGGGAACAAGAGCATGCTGCCATTCGTCACCTTCACGGGCGTGAACCATCACCTGCAGTCCGTCATCTTCGGGAGCGCCCTGCTCACCTGCGACTCTGAGGCCTCGTTCGTGTGGGTGTTCGAGAACTGGCTCTTGGCGATGTGCAGCCGCCCGCCGGTCTCCCTGGTCACCGACCACAGCGAGGTGATTGGCGCAGCGGCGGCGAAGGTCTTCCCCAGCACCCGTCACCGGATCAACAAGTGGAGCATCCTCAGCCGAACCAGGGAGAATCTGTCGAACATATACTCGAAGCACGCCACCTTCCAGGCAGAGTTCGAGAGCTGCGTCCTCGCTTCTGAGACGGTCGAAGCATTCGAGTCTGACTGGAGCTCAATCCTGGACAGGTACGGGCTGAGGGAGAACCTGTGGCTGCAGTCTGTCTACGGATTCCGCCACCAGTGGGTCTCGGTGTACACCAAGGATGCATTCTCCGCGGAGATCTCTGCGACCCGGAGGCCAGAGAGCCTGAGCAGGTTTTACGAGAAGTACTTCAACACCAAGACGTCCCTGCTGGTGTTCGTCTCCCTCTTCGAGCAGGCCGTGTCTTGCTGGTATGAAAACGAGGCCCTGGAAGACTTTGCGAACATGTACACGAAGCCGGTTCTGAAGACCCCGTCGCTGCTGCTGAAGCAGGCGGCGGAATTCTACACGAGGACCATATTCGACGTGTTCCAGGACGAGTTCATCGAGTCCTTGGGTTACCATGTGGACAGAGTCGAGGACGGGGAGGTCTGCAAGTACAGCGTCGCGAAGGATGAGGATGCTCGCACGACCTGCGTGGTGACCTACGCCTCGTCGGAGAAGAAGGCGAGCTGCAGCTGCTGCAAGTTCGAGGTCTCTGGAATTCTCTGCAGGCACATCCTCAGGGTTCTTCCCATCGTCGGCGTCTGCGCCCTCTCGGAGGAGTACATCCTGAAGCGATGGACCAAGAACGCCAAGAATGGATTCGTTTTGGATGAATGCGTGCGGTACAACGACATCTGCCGCGACGCCACTAAGTACGCCAAGGAAGGATCCTCGTCCATGGAGGTCTACAAGGTCGCCAAGGAAGCGTTGCAGATGGCCTTTGGGGAGGTGGTCGCGGCGAAGAAGAGCATCGGGTGTACGATGTGACCAGCCGAGCAGATGCATCCCTCCTTCCCGTCCCCCCCGGCGAGGTGAACCCACCCCTTGCCAGGCACTCGCCCTCCTCCGCAACCCTTTCCCACTCTCTCTCCTCTTTCTCAGGCCTGTATCTGCCTCGATGATGCTCTGGTTTGATGAGCCCTTTGGCCTTCTCAGAACTCGTCTGTAGTAGTCTACATTCTCTTAGTAGAAAAGTCCTCCCTCTCCCCTCTCTCTCTCTCCCCCCCTCCCTGAATGGTGGGAGGCGACAAGAAGGGCCTCTGGCTGAGTCGGCGAGGTCTCGTCGCTAAGCCACAGAGAGAGAGAGAGAGAGAGAGAGAGAGATCTGCATCCCGGGCCAAAAACATGAGGGAAAACATGCGAGATGGGAGGATCCGGAAGGTTCTGATGGGCCCCCATCTTCTTCCTTTTTCTTTTTCTGTATTTCTTGCCGCTCTCCGCCCGTCGACGTCGGCAGGATTTATTGTGATCGTGGGTCTCTCTTATATCTCCTCCCCACGCGTCGGGAGCGAGCGCCGGCGGCCTCTGCCTCCCGACATCCGGCAGTTCGGAGCTGAAACCACAGAAAGAGAGAGGAGGAGGGGAGGGTGGGCGGCGACGGCGGCGACGGCGGCGGCGGCGAGAGATCTGGTTCAGGTTGGAAGCTCTCTCCCCCGCGGCCGTAGAGCAAGCCTCCTCTCTCCTCCCTCATTGTTCCATCTTCGGCGGCGATAGGGTGAGAGAGAGAGAGAGAGAGGAGGAGATGAGGCAGCTGATCACGGCCACGCACGCCACATCTCTGTCTTCTCCGCACCCCACTGTGGTCACTCCCCCCGCCGTCGCTCCCCCGAGCTCCCGCCCGGTCGTCATCCTCCCAGTTAAGCGCATCAGCTCTCTCTCTCCCCCTTCTTCTTCTCGAAAGCTCTGCTCTGCAAGCGGAGGGTTTGCCTCGCATCGCATCCGCTTCCTTTCTACGACTCTCACATTTGTACGCGCATGTTCTGTGCCTGGTTGCTCCTTTCTTCGCAGGGCCTGGGGAACAACACCGTGGACTACGAGGGCCTGGCGGCGGCCCTGAAGAGCCGGGGCGTCCCCTCGGTGGTGGTCGCCAGGGTCTCGCGCCTCGACTGGCTGAGGAACGCCGCGGGGCTCCTCGACCCCAACTACTGGAGAGGAACGCTCTGCCCCCGCCCGGTGCTCGACTGGTACCTACAGCGGGTCGATTCCGCCACCTCCGAAGCCAGGCAGCTCTCCAGAGGTGCGTCTCAGGAAAGAATTATCGCTCCTGCTGTTACTACCCATCCATCCTAATCAATCTCGCCTCTTCTCTGCAGATGGCGATTTCTCCCTGATTGGGCATTCGGCTGGAGGATGGCTCGCGCGCCTCTACATGGAAGAATTCGGCTGCTCCGACGCTTCCCTGCTCCTGACTCTGGGAACCCCTCACTTGTACGGTCTCCTTCCCCATGTCCTCCTCTCCTGCTCTGCAAATCTTAGACCCTCCTTCCTCCCCAGAGCTGATACATTTCAGCTGCGGCCCGATTCACTGATCCTTGCGTCTGATTGCAGGCCGCCGCCAAAGGGACTGCCGGGGATCGTCGATCAGACGCGGGGCCTCTTGGACTACGTCGAACGGAACTGCCCCCCGGCCGTGTACTCGCCGGAGCGGAAGTATGTATGCATCGCGGGAAGGTAAGCCGGCCGGAAATCTCCATTCCTTCTTGTGTTCTTGCCTAGCTGGAGTCCCCCACCGGACGAACATGCCCGAGAAGTTCGCCGGCAGCTATCCCAAATTATGTTTCTGTTGTTCCGTTCCCCACAGGTACATCAAGGGGGTTTCTCTGATCGGGAGTTCGAGCTCGAGTGAAGGCCCAGAAGAGGAGACTCCCGACGGCGCGGGCAATGGCAGTGAGACGGGCTCGCCCGGCATGAACGGCCGCCCGCCGCCGCCTGCTGCGTCCACCCTCAGCGCTCGCTTCGTTGGTCAGGGCTACAAGCAGGTAAACCCCGCTCCACTAAATCCTCCAAAGAGGTCCTCCCCCACCAGTGACCCCTTAAAACACCTTCAGGGGTCCTTCACCTCATCAAACTCACAAGCCCCCGTTGGCCTTCCTGAGTTCAGTCAGGTCTCGGCTGTGCTCGGGCAATGACATGCGACTTGTTCAGTTCACGCTTCTCCTCTGCGTGCGTTGACACTGTGGGATCACTGCTCTCATATGCAGGTCTGCGGGCGTGCTGACGTTTGGGGGGACGGAGTGGTACCGGAGATTTCGGCTCACCTGGACGGCGCGCTGAACATCAGCCTGGACGGAGTGTACCACTCCCCCTTCGGTTCCGACGAGACCCGCCGGCCTTGGTACGGCACACCGGCCGTCCTGGACCAGTGGTTCCACCATCTCCTCGTTTAGCCTGGAAGGCGAGCGACCGCCATGGACAGACAGAGTCTGCTCCTCCTCCGCACAACGTGGTTGTTTCTTTTTCATCTCCATGTGCCTCTTTCGTGTGCTGTTGGGATAGGACGGATCGATCGACGTCATCCCCGGTGGGATGAATGAATGCATTGCACTGCGATTCCCTGCGGGCGTAATTACGTCGATTCGTCCTTTCCTGTCCTCCATCGTCCTCTACACAATGTAGCAAATGTGGGGGTGGCCTCCATTTACTGCTCTCTTGAGGGGTATATGGTCATGCAGCCGCCGCCGCCGTTGGGGTTGTGCTCTCTCTCTCTCTTATGGGTATATGGAGCTGTAACACGATCAAGAAGAGGCTGTCACACGGTGGTCAGAAAACAGAAAACATGGTTTACAAGAGAAAGATGGCGCACATCGGAATGCGCCGGTGCTTCTCTCACATCAGCGGGAGGATCAAAGTCGAAGAAGAAACTGAGGGTATGACTTCCAGTTGGGAAAGGGTTAATCAGAACCGGCGGCGAGAGGAAGGCGGGCAATCGAGACAGATATTTTAAGAGGAGGAGCTCCCAAAAGACTCGGTCGGCGTCCAGCACGTCAAGCCGCTGACTTGGGGATTTTATACTGCTTCTTGAGAAACTGAGAGGCCTCTGAATCGCTCCTGTGGCATAAAATCCTTATCAAAGTTTCGGAGTCAGCCCCGACCCTGCTTCTGCTCCCTTGGCTCATGCCCCTCAGCTCCTCAATCAGCGCGCGAGTCTGCACACATACACACACACACACACACACACACACACAACAGAAGAGAAAGAAAACCATAGATCAGCCGAATTTCAATAACGGGCGTCAAAGAATGGTACACCGACATTGGACAGAAACGACGTTCTTTCCTCGCCTAGTTTTCCCTGTGTTTACCGGCAGTTAAATAGCGCGCTAAAAGATAGCATATGCCATGAACGCAAAGCAAAGCGGACTCCGAGAGACAAAAGCCTAGTCTAACAACCATCAAGGCGTGCTGCCAAAACAGCCGGACCGGACCGGACCAAAGACCGTTTTGGTGGAGAACAAGCATTCAGGCAAACCTGCAAGGTTTAAAGATTAGGCGTGGTACCTCAACGCTGTTCAGAGATATTATAGGACGCACACGAGATACAAGGTTTTCAACTGTCCCACGAGGCAGCCCGTCTCCACCGGACACAAAAAATTCCTGCAGAACACGAACAAATTAATTCGTTAAAACTGTGCAAATGGGGCATTTCGGGGCCCCTCCTGCGAGCAATTCAACGAAAATTTATACTGTGCCATCTTGTGCATATTCAAGGTTCTTATGAGGTCTTCCCTTCCGCCCACACACCTTTAGAGTTTCAAGATCTTCTTCTAATAATTTCGCATCACTGGGGAAAAAGATACGTGAAGTGCCCCCATCCAATAACACCCGAACGAGCCCATTCTGAAAATGAATGTTGATTTTTAGCAGAAAAAAGTTCACGATATTTTTAGCAAAGTAAGAGAGCAGTCATCGATATACATACCACTGATGCTTGAAGAAGGCCTGTCACAGAGCGATCCCTCAGTGGATCCACAATTATCTCACAAAGTTGATTCAGTTCCTGTAGCAACTCCAAGGACGGCCATCCAATTCATATGAGATTAAATTACACTAGTGCCAGGATATTTACAGAGGAAGAAAGGAACAATTGGGGAACAAAAAAGTGTGGAACAACATGCACAAGCAAATGTGAACCCAGAAACCAGTGATTGACGCAAAAAACTCAAAGGGCTGATAGTTAGAAAATTCAAAATTTTAAGTTTATTTAAAAGAAATGTTTGATTTCCATTTAGCATTTGAAAATAATGGCGGCATAATATTTGGTATCTAAATTTTTTTTCTTTCAGGCACTCACTGGATTACTTGATTCCCTTCACAGCTGGCAGGAAGAACTCATGCCTGCTCAGGCAATTTTCCTATGCATCCCTCTATGTTACACCATCCATCCCAGTGCATCGTCCATCTGTTACAACACTCGTCCTTACCATTCCAAGCTGATTCACTCAACTGTTTCCTTTCACAAATCAACTAATTGGTGAGACCATGTGTGCCTACTCGTTGTTGAATGAATGAGTAAGAGTATGAGATCTAAACAAAAGAAAAAATCACTTCTTTTTTCTCATCCCTAGGATACATTCTTCCAACTCATACTGTATTCCATATATTTTGCCAATTAGATTACTCAACTCCCTCGTTGTCTGGGACAGCTGAACTGGCTGGACCAGCTATCAGCCAACCAATCTTTCACAACTATTGAACACTTGGAGAAATCTCGAACAGAAGCAAGCTGGCCTTCAAAATTTTAGTACCCATAAAATAAAATGGTAAAACCCATTATATATGCCCCCTGCCCCCCCTTCCAAAAATAAAACCTATCTAGGTACATATTCAAAATAAGTCACCAACACTCTCCTTCAAGCTAGAGCAGGTACATCAATTTTACCTCAGCACGTTACAAAAGACAACAATTATCACACGATAGACCATATAAACAACATATAATAACAGAAGACGCTAGAGCTGAAACCATGACGAGAGAAGTTAGAGATAAAGCTGGGGAAGAGGTCAAAGTTGAAGCTACAGGAAGAGACGCCAAACTTGACGACATAAAAAACTAGCCACAATGGATAAAACCAGAGCTGAAGTTAGAGTAACAGAGGCTAGAATTAAAAACGAAACAAAAGGCATTGATTTTGCAGCCAAGTCAAGAAAGGATAGTTTTAACACCACAGAAACACCTTCCAGCGTTAAAATTAAAGGAGGATGTGCGAGAGCTGAAGCAGGAGGAGAAGACATCAAATTTGAAGCCAAAGTAAGGGACTCACCACTACCAGACATAAGCAGTGAAAAAGAAAAAGTTGTTGAGCTGGAGTAACAGATAAAAGTGGAATATTATTTTATACGAGATTTATTGTAAGTTCTGTGATTCGCCTTCACTCGTTTTTCTACACAAAATCTACAAAAAGCTTCTTAGGTTTCTTCTCAGTTAAATCAGTGAAATTGACAGTCTAAAAAGATTCTTTTCAACAACCTTTCCTGCTCAGAACTGTCTTGTAAGGAAGCATAGCACCACCCTGCAGGTGGTGGATGTGGAGCGTATAAAAGGGTGCCAAATCCTTGCTTTTTCTTTGCACATGGATAAGATTGCGCAACCATCAAGTAAAAAAAATGTTTGACAACCATGAGCTTTAGAAACGAAAATTTATGCAGTACGTGTCCTACACTGACGTGGTGTGGATCAAATTAAACTCTAGTCATTATCATTGCATTTATAGTGACATTCAAAGCTCTGTACCATGTTTCCATCGCAATTACTTTATCTATGAATGCAATATTAATGGTGTTCTATCATAGATGCTTCTAAACCTATGCACTATTTGGTGTTCAACCTGTTCCCCTCTTTGAACAATATCGACTCGGATTACATTGTGAAACAGGATGTGATCATCAGATGTATTAGTCAGTATTGTAATGATTAGCACAATCAAGGAGAGGGATTTTACTTAATTAATACAAGGAAAAAATTCGCAGATATCTTCTCTAGATTTAAACAAAAAAGTTTGCCATCATTGGATTAAATGTAGTCCATAAATAATCACTTTAATGGGCTTCGGTTGACTACCCAACTAAACCCTATTGTCACTCAGAGAAATCCAAGGCTGTGTAACAGAAAATTAGTTCAGTATTGAGAGAATGAATAGTGCAAACCGCAATGCCATTTCAAATTAGGGAAACCAAAACTTACCTTATCAAGGCCTTCAATGACCGTATCCAATCTAGAATGAGAAACACCATTTCTGTATAGATTTTCAATAAACATCTCCCTCATATCCCAGAAAACAATCTTAGTTCCTATACCAAGAAACAAGAAAATCGCATGTTTCAAATCACCAAAAAGGTATCTCAGAACTAACAGATTAATACCATGAAATATGCTTACCCATAAATTCACAAATCCTGTCAATAGCTGCATTAATGTCTTTTCTGCTCCCGTCAAACGCCCTCGTTTTTTGGGGAGAGGAAGAGGCTTTTGATTTCTCAGCAATTGACCGCTCTATATTGGAAAAACAAAAACAAGAAGTCAGAGAATGTGCTTAAACTTCATTGTGAGCAAGATCTAGAAAATTCATCGTGGACAAGTGAATGAATCTTGACTACACGGGGAATGCATTCGATTGAAATAATAGTGTTGGAGAACCAAAGCATGAAATTTTTATTCTTCAGAAAACGATGAAAGTCCCTTTGAGTCCAAGTGTAACCTTTAGAATTAAAACAATGGGATTGGTTGTCGAGAAATGTCTATCGAGAAATGAACATCCTATTAACAGTTCATCAAAACCATGAGAAAATGAAATGGACCAAGTCTTCAATAATCTCGTAGCTTTCAAAATTTATAGCAATGATTAAAGTTAAAAATTGTTACATAAGCAGGTGCTGTCAGTAGACCTATCAATCCATAGGAACTATATATAGTGTCTTCCCTACAAACTTCACATATCATACAACTTCATGAAGTGTTAAAGAAAGCCTTACACTTTGGTTACATCATAAATAGGGGCTACTAAAAGGGACTAAAATCATTGAAATGAACAAAAAACTATGAACAGCAGTGTTTTTATACGTCACAAATCCTATGCTCTTATTTTACGGCGGTCATAAATAGAAGACATTATTTCTCATTCCTATAGTATTACGTATAATTAATAAATAGAGTATGGCTAAGTTTCTTATCCTTTTCATCGAGACAATTGGTTCATATCAATGTCTGAGAATCACTCTCCCAATTTTTTACAGCATACTATCATCCAATATGCTGAACTAAAAAAAAGTGGAGATTAGTGATTCTCTGCATATGATATTTCGGAGTCCAAAGTTCTCCTGGCTATTAAGAATAATTGAGATCCTATTGATTTGAGGAAATAAACAAACTACGAGCCAACTATTTTTCCACACATAAGGCAAAGTTGGCCATCACAATGACCATATATACTATGTTAGAAGAAGATATCATCCACCGAAGACATCTCCACCGCTGCTTCGATCTTATCCACCTTGGAAACTGCATCTGAACTATGAATCTTATACAATGTGAAAAATCTAATTTGATAAACCCTCCACGTGAATATGATTAAGTTATTGGACATGTATGACGCCAGAAATCTTCTGAGTGCATTAGAGCCAGACCACGATGTTGCGAACAGAGATAACTTTAGAGACAGTTATCATGATGAAGCATATGAACTGTATTGAGATGATTTTAAACAGGTGACGGATTAAATAAATTTATCATGCACGAAATTTATTTGAAAGTCGAAATCCTTTGGAGCTGACCGGGGGTATAGATTGTTTTGAACAAAAATAATGGCAAAATCATCTTAGCATTTGATACAATTCTTCGACATGGCCTCAAGCATACACACTTGAAGTGAAGCACAAATGGATATTAAATCTCTCACTGTGAATCTTAATCATCCAACGCTCCTGAATGTTGTCCTCCAATTTATTCAACTGAGCAACTGTATACTGTTCAAAGAAAAAAAAAACTTAAAATTGGCATAGAATAGATAGTCATCATTCCACGTTTCAAGTAAGCTAAATAATTATGTTGAGGATAAAAATGGTCGCATAGATAAGGTTATATGTCTGGCATTAAAAATATAAGTGAAAAAAGAAAAACGGAGGAAAACAAAAGCCAGAAAAAAAAAACTCCAGAGGCTTGCGCAGAGAATTTATAATCCAAGAAAACAGATGCGCACTGTCAGCCAGCTTGGATCCCTGTCCACCTCGTACAACAACACCTTCCAACTCGTATAACATATTTGCTTCACACATGTTCTCTATCAGATAAAAGATGAGGTTTTTAAAAATAACTTTTGAAACAGATTCCCTCTTGTGAAGAGTAGACCCACCACTTCTGAAAAAATGGGTAAAAGAAACTGAACAGGTATACAACTTTTAAAAGGCCTCGGACCAAGTTCACCCAATATTACCAACATAATATTTAATACAACATGAACAAATTTTCTCGTCCATGTATGGAGACAGGGTAAAAATTCTAAGAAATATCAATTAAAATAAAATAAATGACTAAAATGAAAAAGAAGCACATGAAGTCAGGGTCACAAGACTATGTTTAAGTTTTAATTTTCGAGTTTACTAGGCACTATACCACAGGATTCGTTCACACAATTTTGGGACAACATGAAAATAGAAAATTAGTCATTCTAAAACACATTTCCTTTGACATCTGCCAAAATAGAAATTCGCATTTGTTGCATAACAACTGCCCTCACATGACAAGAGGGAGAGCAGGCTACAGAGTACACAATGCGCACCATCTGATCATGAAAACAGGCTATATAACACATCAAATCCCACATGTGAATTGTCGCCCCAGCCGCTCAAGGCCAGTTTCAACCATCTGCCAGTCACATCTACTGTTCAGTCAGGAGTTTATTTCCATCCACTACTCTTGGCTTTGTTTTTTTTTCTTTTTCGCCCAAACCTACTGTGCATAATGGGGTTCTAATGCCGAACATCACCAATCAGAAGGGGAATAGACAACTCCAGTCAGGAATTGGACTCCAGAAGCAACAAGTCCAATGTTCATAGGTATTTATACAGCATATATAGTTGTCAAGAACTCATGTCACAAAAAATATCAAAAAATTGCACGTACTTTCACGGTGCAGTCCATCTCCAGCGAATTATGAGGGGGAAATGTCAATTAGGAGTCGTGATTCCAACCTCTATTGGGCTGATAGCAGCATTAAAGAAGCTTTCCTCTTCCCCATTCGGTTATACTGTTTCCAAGTTATAGAGGGAACTATTGGTAGTTTCCACTTCGTGAACTTCAATTAAGCAATAAGGAGATCTACCAATTTGCCTTGTGAAACTTTTGGTAGAATCACACAAATAAGTAACATTAACAGGATATATAAAGCTGATAATAGGCGGCCAACAAGTCGAAACTTGGGAATTATATAACCGTAGATTGATAGGATAGCATTAGTGACGAAGATGCTAGGAAACTACCTTCTCTCTGACTAATCATAACGAATTTTCGATCGATTTCATATCATTTATACACAGCATAGGCTAAACTACATAAAGCATACTCATCAAGATAGTTCATAAAGAATATAATTGATGCAGGAACAATGTGCAACTACACTTCAATTAAACCAGTTTCTGTGTAATCTAACACCATGAAAGTTTCGGAAAACACTCCCCATTTCCACTCCAAGTGTAGAAGAAGGAAAAATAGAAGAAACATAAAGAAAGTAAAATATTTTATTCTACTCACGCTGTCATAGTTCTAATTCATAGGTACATTGAAAAAAAAAATTGTTGGATCACAACTCACATGCAAAGTATTCAGCTGAACGCAGAGTACTGGAGTGGAAAGAATATTAATTTGACTGGACTTCCTCTCATCAGGTAATTGGTAGTTTGGAATTTCCTTCCTCACCAATGCTTTAATTCCAATTTCCTTTTTGTAACGAGTGAGAATAGGAACAGGCGGTATCAAATCTTCCTTGCTAGCTGTACCGAATGCAGGTTATAATGAAAAGGTATTGAAAATACAAAAAATGACGAAATATGCTTGAGTTTTCTTCTTTTCCATTCTTTCAACAAAATGAACATTCAATGCTGGAAAAAAATGAAAGGAAAAGAACACAAATCGACATTAGAAAGTGATGATCAATTGTGGGATTCTAAGAATGAAGAAGAAATATTTTCCTCTGGCAGTAAAGCATAAACTTCATTGCAGGGGAAAAAAATTTAACATTGGTTTGCCATATTGCTACTAGCATCATGAGCTACGAAGTTTTCTGCGAATTAAGTGTTTAAAAAACTGAACAACAAATGTTATAGAGTTCCTAAAATCATGGCCAAACGGATCTGATTTATATACTCGGTAATTAATCTAGTGACTGAATGGTCGACAAAGAAACTGCAAGAATCATGAAATATTTCTGATGAGATCCATGGAAAAAGTTTTTAGATAACAATCATTAGCTCCTGGTGTGTATGTAAAAAACCAAGCAGTGTCAGGATCCAAGAAAACGAGACACAGATGGTGCTCATTATGTTGGTTTCTTATGATCCTAGAAAACATCCAAAACCTTCTATGGAACTACCAAGCAAATGTAAAAAGATCATCGCTAGATACATAGGATCGAACTAATTCATTAAACCAAAAAGTCAGAAGATGACCGGGCAGCCTGTAATATAGAATGCATGGACTAAACGAAAACGGTGGCAGATATGTGATACGGAATGCTTTTGGCACGTTTGTTTGGCCAACTCCCAAAAGACATGCAATTCCTGATCTTAAAGTGATAAGGAAACGCTTTTTGATACTGGAAGTGATGGTTTTCGATCACTAAGAATCCATTCTAAGATGTAACTCATAAAAAATGTGGGCAAAGTTTTACACTGATGTAATTTAAATGAGTTTACTCCACTCATTGCCTATTACCTTTGAGTAAGATGAGCCAGGATCTGATGATTGCTCCTATACTGCGTCATTCTACTTCTATTGCCCACGTGGCAAAATTGAAAAACTTGGCTTGCACGTGAGCGGTGTGTTACAATAATTCAGCAACAGAAAGTGTAGATGGGCTTACTCTATCCATTGTCAATTTATTTTAAGTTGGGTGACCCAAACCTCCGACAAAAACTTTTTCCCTTTATTAAAGGAACTAAGCTAACGAAGAGAGACAGGAGCAAATCAATGTTGGTGCTTAAAGCTTTTAGAAAGACAAACTTCATGGCCTTTCGCCTTTTTTGATGAACACATTTGTTTAGCAGTGTTCCTGAGAAATTTCTACACAGTAGCATGTGTAAAACATAGCATTGATAAATAAGCCACAATCAAGTATGACGTCATCTTCCTATTCATTAATATCTTTTCACGCAGAGACCTGGAGGTAAAGAAAATCCACTGCAAAATCTTTCACCACCACAATTTTCCAAAATTTTCAGTCCGTTATTACCTTTGTAGGGCGTTGATTTCATACGCTTAAAAAAGGGAACGAGGAATCCTCAAAAGATAATGAGGACACTGCGATTGTGTAGGAACAAACATACCTATCTTTCCAACAATGTGCTGTGTGTATTCTTTGAAGGTATTATCGAAACCCCGGAGAAGGCTATTCAACTCTCCGACTCTCATTGGCACTTTTAGATCAAAGAATTGATCTACTGTCTGCATCAGAAAAGAGAATTGAAACAAAAAAATTGTTAACTTTTAAGTGTCACTCAGTTAGCGATATGGATTGTCTTCGGAGAAAAGCAAATGTTGTTAAGGTTATGGAAACTGACACACAAAATCCAACGAAGTGCAACTCATTTTTGGAAAATGAATGACAGTTGCTGCAAAGTTTGAAGGTTTCATCTACTTAATACAATTCAACACCATCATCAACACACTCAACTTAGCATGTGTATAGAGTCCAAGTTAACGTTCTTCCAATAATAAAACCATTCGAAACAGTTTCCATTTGTTCCTTCAGCATGATGGACGAAAAATAAATGTCATGAGAAAAAATAACATAAGCCCAGAGAAAAATGTGCATCATAATTAAAAAAACAAGGTTAGGAAAACAGAGAAACGGAAATAAGGGAAAATTAGAGGAAAAATCCACCTCCTCTATGATTCTGTAAACTTCGACAACTGAACTTCCATGACGTTGTTGAGGTGATATAGGTTCCCAGCGCTGAAGATTTTATAAGAAGAAAAATTAGTATAACAAAGAAATACGAAGACAGGATTTTGAATACAAAATTCCTGCGAAGTGTATATTCATTTGCAGTTGTTACAAGCTTTCACAATAATATACAACTCATAAAAAACAAACAAAAGGCCATACTACCTTGACAAAAAAATGGTGTTTAAAACCCACCTAACAGGCTTTAGCTATGCCAGGTACATGAGCATCAGAATAGAAATCCAGCGTCAACTGACATCTAAATTTTCCCAATGATTAAGATAGTTCTAGGAACCAATGAAGTGGGTAGACCACTATACTAGAAAGAGAAAGAACAACTACCTCAACATCAATCCATCAGGGTAAGGATGAGCCAAAGGTTTGAAGAATGGGACTGGCATCAGGTTTCCAAGAAAAATGAAGGTAAGACGGCATGAAGATTGATTAGCAATCGGGGCAACATTTTCATAGATGGTTCCCATACAGAAGCTTATACAGGCCTCCATAACTCTATCATTCAACAAAAGCCACCCTTAAGTATTTAAAACAGGTCAAAAACATTATGTGAACTGAGAAACAAATATTACAAAGTATGTATATATACATTAGGGGAAACATTACCTCCTGTTGAATGGCCCTTTGAACCCAACTGGAAATTCTTCCTAACTGTGCATTCACCCAGCGCATTACTAGTGTCCCCGATATGCTTTCAACCTAGGATCAGAAGAGATGATGTCTAGTCACGGACTATTAGTCCATACGTTTACCATAAAACTATACCGGTCAGGCAGAAAGATAAACAATTCGAAAACGCCAAAAATAACGATTGAAAATATTCAATTATAACAAAACAAATGAAAGAACACAAACTCAAGCATTATGCGGACCATTTGTCAATGAACAAGTACACAACCCATAGGAAAATCAGAATCATCAGTAACGCCATAATAGAGAATAATTATCCTAAAAAGAGCTATACAAGGATGAGGTACATAAAAAAGTGAAACAGCCACCAGCGGTAGTTGATGGCAAGCAGGAACCAGTTGCAGGGGAAAAATTTTCCTACGTCCCCATTCTTCCCACACACTCTAGCGGCAGTGTAGGTTGTGAGTCTTGGCTGTTCTTCCAGTGGAAATGGGTGAAATACTTAATCCAATAAGAAATCAACAAATCCGAGTCAGACCACCCAACTTATGGCGGACTCTATTTATTTTTCCCTCATTTTAAATTTCAATGCCAAGATTAGATTCACTTTTAGTCACATTGGAAATGACCGACTTTCTGTCAAAAATTGGCCCCTGGATCGCTACCAACTGGTCCTTCTATGGTGAGAAATATGCAAATTACCAATAAAGGAGAATATGTAGTAAATATAGAAAATGCAGTTATGTTGGTGACAAGAGGTCCTTGACAAACAAAAAATGTGAATGCCACACTGCACAGCGAGGGAAGCCACCAAGGAAATTGGAAAATCTAGATTGTCTGGATAAAATAATAAAAAGTGACGATATGTCACAATAGTATTGCTGGCTTTAGTCCTACATGACATGAGGCAGAAGGCAACAACAATCCCTAACCACTTGGCGGGGGTGGGGCTTCAGCTATGAAGGATTATAGCTCGTGATGGCCTGTATCTTTTCAAGATGTCTTAGTAAACGAGATAAAATGCAAAGGTCGGTTCTTTCATTCTTCTGTGAACTACGAATTTTGTAAACCTGGTAATGGCATCATGCAACCAGAGAAATAAAAGAATTCACAAAATCACATTCATACACAAACGACCCCCTGGTTTTCGTATAACATCATTTTTCTAAATCTCAGGACCAAGAGTGTAACACCAGTAAGCACATAATCCAAGCGTGCATAGGTTTGGGAAAACAAAGCCCCAAAACGCACCGACCATGAAATGTTCGAAAATACGAAAAACCAACATGACGTAAATCTCAGCAGAATCTAAAATCTGATTTCTTTTGCATCCAATTTGAATATAAAAAAGAGCATCTTCCGGGAGAAGGAGTTGTCAAGAAAAGTGAAACAAAACTTGCACCTGGTATGGAGATAGTTTTTCCATGCAGTAATCTTCTACGAGCTCTTCTTCACAAGCAGAAGAAATTAGGGACATTATATATTGCTCAAGAGTGGCAGCTGCTGGCAGTACAGATACAACATCTTCAGTAAGATGTTCAACGCGATCAAGAAACGGTCTCTGGCACAACATGTACGTGTGAGACCTCTGATATTGAACTAGTAAGCCAAAAGGAATTTTCTACGGATCATCTGCCAATTATTCGGATTAACTCACCAACTTGTTTCCATATAATTTATGAATAATAGACGCAGAAGCAACTGGTGCTTGTGGATGCCTCTCTGACAATATTGGCAAGAACATGGTTGCATCTCTTTTCAATAGTTTTACAGAGTCTTCTGCAAGGCATGCTAATACATGTTCCTGTGCTGTCTCTGCCCTAGTTTCAACAGCATTTGAAACCTGCACATGACAAACAAAGCACTGTACTAAGGCTGACCGAAAGGATAACTGAAGATTATCGACCACCGACACAATTATTTGGCCATACTTCTAACAGATAGGCTATATATCCGTCTATGTAAACAATGGAAAATAAAATGGCACTTTCACCAGGGGAGAGTTACAGTAGAGGGATTAGAAAATGACCAAAATTTCAATGATTCAGCAATTAACAAAACATATGAGAAAAAAGTTTGAACATTCAATACTTAGCCAAGGAAATCACGGACTTCTTTTACGGTGGTGCACACAAAAGCTTACTGAAAAAATAATTCATTAAAAACCAACCGGCAAAGCCTGTCTTTTGGGCCTAGTATATATATCACTTCCCCGAAAAAATAGAGGTGCAACGGTTAAATCTCAGGGTTTATAAATTGGGATTTGTGAAGGCAATCACACATCTGCAAAAAAGGAAAGGATTTTTTTTTCTGGTAAGGTAGATTACATCCATATGGTAGATAGTACATCATTACTCTCAAGCACGAACTAATCGCCTAAATACAGCCAGATCTTTTGAAAAGATGGCAGATTGGAACCTTTTAATTTTGAGAACAGCCAACAATATAGAGAAAAACTGCGGACCAAAAGACCAATAAACGTGCAAAGTTCTGAAACCTAATAATTCACGGTATCTCCTAGTCACTCTCAATTCCTCAACGATGAAGCTACCATCAGGACAAGGAAAGGTAGTCAGCATGAACAGTACATATGCGACATTTAACTCTCTGCGTAGAGCCACATCTAAGTCAAATTCAACCTACTAGAATACCATCTAAGATTTTTGATGTAATATTTCTATCAAATTCAAATAGCAGATATTCAAATCTTGGTTCCTTATTGATTTGGAAAGCAACTGTTGATGAGTAGGTATTCAAATCGAATCACTCACCCTTGTAAATGCACTTTTCATAGAAGTTGTGATATAGCCCTCCATTTGTTCTCGCTCCAGGAGAGATGATGATTGCGTCATCTGCTTTATAACATTATAGGGTTTTCTTAGGTTGTTGCAATAACCAGAAAATGAATAAATGGAGAAAAAAACAAAGCCCCCTATCCAGTAAACTTTATTCCATGTCATAATGACTAAAGATTCCAATTTTAAACATAAAAGGAGAACTCTTATGTTTTCCTAGTATCGTAATTTGCAAGGCTTCAAATGAATCTATTCACTGTTCAAGATTGGACACCGTAAGAAGATGTACATACTTGTTCAGATTCTTCTACCACGAGCCTCCGAACAATTACAGCAGCAGTGAGTATCTCCGGCATAAGAGTTGTCCCCTAACACAAAAAAACACACATCACAAGTATGTCAACCAAGAAAGTAGAACAATACACAAGAATATCCCTACGGGATCGCAAGGTCCCAAAAATGCAAAACAATTGAGATAGGAAAGTATTTTATTTAAATGAATACTAGGCGGGACTGTCAAAGAAACAAGAGTGCATTGTGCCCAAGCATGAATAGCTCAGCAGCTGATTACGAGAAGATAGTTTACAAAAATAAGAAACATTTGAGATCTTCACGAGGAAACAGGGATTTTTTTTATCTTCATGACACTGGAAACAAATCCTCAGCCATTGGGGCCCAGGTTAGGACGAGAGATTCATAAACAGAATCCTAAAAGAGTAGGACAAACCTCAGGAAAATGAAGATGGTAATCTCCGAGCTTCTTATCAGTCCACTTCTGGATTGGGAGTAGGAAAGACTGCAAAAATGTGAAATCCCGAGTGCCTTCATCAGTTTTAATTTTCGATCGAAGGCTTTTCAAGTGAAGTCTCTCTTGTGGCCCACGTTGTTCTTTTGCTGGAATTCTCCTCAGTTGCTGAATGGCTACTTGCAGCATTCTTTGTTCACCGGTAATAACAAACTGTTTGTGTGCAAGAAACTTTGATTATGAAGCCATCCAAATATCACATTCAATTCGGATAATACGAAGAACACAACACAAACATGTCGGACATCACTTAATTTTTACTGCATACTCATCTTCATCCAACAGCGAGATGTTTCAGTTATGTTTCTTAAGAACTTCTTCCATCAATTACGAACGCTTGTTTCCAGGTGTATTAATATATTTTTTATGATCCTTGGAATAATCATTTTGCACGCTGAATACTTATCGAATACCTTTTTCATGATAGGCCAAATGAATTATTCATCCCATACAATTAATTATCGAATTCAAATTTAACATAAATGTTAACCAGACCATGCAACATTTCTTTGTTAGAAGAATCAATATAATCATAAAGAGTATACTCGCAATGTTCCCAGTGGGAAAGTTCATCTGTGAAGCAGCGGCCGTATATTCAAAGATCTTTGTTAGATATTCCTAATCATAATAACATACATTTTCTTCTCCGATTAAACTCTCATTTTAATGGTTAAACATTAAAAACTTGTACCTGCCGAAATAACACCCAGGAATAGCACGTGTCATGAATGGTCTCAGTGATACCTAATATACGCCATGTTGATTTCAGAAGTTCAAGGATTTCTTCGACCTCCTGGATAACAAGTGTCGTGAAAAATCAAACCCAATCACTAGGAGCCAAATGCAGAGAAACACCTGAAAAATGGGAAATATTACTTCTAACCTCTGTAAGCTTTCCTTCATCCAAGATGTCAAAAACACTAAGAAGCATTTTTTCATATATCAGAACATTAAGATGATAGCCATCAGCCCAGTGGCACACATCCCCGGTTAAATCGCCACGTGCTGGCCTTTCCACAAGTGCAGTAGTGATATCTCTCAGAGATCTTATACATTCTGTGCGTTGGATTTCACCACCTGACGGAAGAGACTAGCAAAAGAGAAGACACTGTTAGTCATGCAGAATGCACCAGAATCACCAGGTTTAACAGAGCATTTTCTCGTGCCAGAATAGAGTACAAACTTCCTTGTAATAAACATAAAAGGAAATAATCTCCCCGCTCTTGCTTCTACTTTCGCTAAACAAGATAAATAACCTTCTCAACCCTCTACACAAAAAAGAAAATACGAAAAATGGAAGGAATCATGTGGTTATGACGCAAAGCAAATGATCCAGCACATCTACATTCTGATTTGCTGAATTAAAGAAAAAATCTTCTAAACCACCCAGACAAGGAATAATGGGAAAAAAGAACATAATCATGCAGATATAATGCACAGAGTTGCACCTCAGATTCCTCAATCTTTCTCAGAAGTATCCTGAGATCATTTGCCTTGCGTCCAGACTCTCCAAATCCAACAACAGGATGATTTATGAGACCCTCCTCTAGCATGTTGAGCTGAGTCAAAGATGGATGTTGTAAACAAAAAATAATCTGTCAAAGTTATCCATAATCTGTCAAAGAAGGATGTTGTAAACTACTGGACTCATGGCATTACCTGCCTCTTTTGCCATCGAAGAAAAGCCTTCTTGTCAGAAAATTCGGTTCGTGAAACACAACACAGAAGTTCAAGAGGAACCAATAGTGTGTCCATTCTTTTCCCCACTTTACCTACAAGAGCATTAAGCAAACCCTGCCTGGTTCTTATATCCATCGCTTCTGAGATCTGTTAAACATTAGAATCAAATGAATGTTTATTTCGAAAAACTATATAAGGAGAGCACAAGTTTACTAAACGATCGAAAACACTTAAGGACTACAATAGCAAAAATGAACTCATTGGTCTGTGCGTTTCAGATATACCAATTTCCCCTCTAAAAAACATTTTGTCAATCGATAAAATTGTGATCACCTACTTATTACAGGAATGTACAAAATGACCTGGACAAATATTTTCAATAAAAAATTACAATACATCTTACAACAAGAAAGCTTCGATAAAGGATGACAAGAGAATCCCTGATTCTCCATCTGCATCAAAGCATTATAGTTAAATAGATTTTTAACCTGATATTCCTTTAATAATGATTTAATTTCTAATATATACCAAAATGGCTTATTCCCCTCCGTTTTTTCCCCAAATGGAGCCACCACTGCGTCCTTCTCCATCTTACCTCGTCTTCCACTTCTTCTTTGGAACCTCAATTTTCCATGTCGTATACTACTGCCTCTGTCACCAGCAGCCCTCATTGCCCACTCCCGCTTTACTTATTTTATCCTTCTACTGTGAATATGAAAAGCCCAGAATCCGCAAAGGAGGTAGATTGGATGTAGAGGGTTTTACAGTAAAGGTCACTATTTTAAACATTTTTCACGTTTGCCTTTTTTAAAGTGTGAACCGAAGTGTAAAAATGCATCAAAGACTTCCCCAATGCATCTCGAACAACCTGCTTCTGTCTATTATGGTGAATCTACCAAAACAAGGATGCGGTAGATCTACAGGGTGCCCATTCGGTTTGAGCAACAAAACTCAGTGTGACCGCACACAGCTAATGACAAATGAAACATAGTAGCGAACATCTTAGCCTGAAATTTAATATCTCAGGACGCAAGTGTGCAGTTCTCTCAAACACATTCAACATATACTTCAAGACACAAACCAAGAATGCGTTTCAAAGCCAATAACAGACCACCTTCGCAAGTAGAGGTGCAAATAAGATCCCGAATACTACATTGAATTCTCAACCCCGCAACAACCTATGAAACCCACTTTCGTCTCTTATTTTTTACTCCAGAAAACTTTCTTCTCAAATAGGTAAAGGTTCTACAAGGGCATATCCCTACCCCCGATACCAGCAACATCAACTGCCAACATCAAAGGGAAATGGTTGTGACACCGGGTACCACCAGGCACCAAGTCCACAAATTGTGCACCACACCTGCAGTAGAATGACCTTCTACAAGCCACAGGTTGTCAAAGGATTAAATGAGGTGGCCAATTGATTAGAAAGCAACAACATTAAGGATCCAAGGTCAAAAGTGGAGACTATACTCATATAAGCTATGGTGTATGCAAACTATAAACCAGGTTTTCCAATAAGATCAATCTTAGGCCAGCTCAAAAGATCTGGATAAATTCACAAGATTCTGATCCCCAGCATGTAGCAAGATTGCCAGACTTTCTAGACACAGAATTCATAGGGAAACCATTGTTTTAAAAGGAATAAAACAAAAGGATCGCATAAAATACATTTAAAGAAAAAATAACACAGATGAGCAAAAGGAGAGACCTCCAATTGAATCCGCATAGTCTCCAACAAGCCAACCAAACCTGGAGCACGCTGTTCAACAATATTGTCACTCCTGCTTCGAGCAAGCTTCCTCAGCAATCGAGATTTTTTCTCTTTCTTCTTTTCTTTGGATGGAACTATGAGGCCCCTAATAGAATAAACAAATAAATAAACAAATCGAGATTTTTCTGACAGCCATAGGCCAACAATAAAAATTTATTTTCGGGAACCGATGAGTCTGAAATAACTTATTACAAAACTTTCTATCAAAACAAAAATCATGTAAAGATTAAGATTTATACCCTGCTGCCCCAGCAGAAGCCACCAGGATTTCATATGCTGTTTCACGGAGATCATCGTCAGACATACCTGAAAACAAAAGAGATACGAAAATTACATGGTACCATAATTATTAGAGCACTGCTTAAACGAGCTGATGACAATTTCTACAAATCATATCATAGAAGCAAGCCTTCATTAACGCAAAAGGAGAGATAAAAGAAACTTTGTTCTAGATGTTTGCCTCTTTTTCTCTGAATCAGAATTAGAGCATCTTTCTACTTCCTGAAGGATCCAACGTTCATAAATATTCAATGAAAGAGGACAATAGGTTAACCTGTTGCAAAGGAAGGGAATCCTAATGACAGATCGGTGGCATCATTCCGGTTCCATCTGGGCATCAGAAGGCTATTGACTTCCTCTTCCACTTCGTCATCTTCAAAATCCTCAATATCATCAACAGTCAACTCTTGATGATTTGCAGAATGAATGGACTGTGATTTTGACAGATTTGTTCCATTTGGAGGCGATAATTTTGTCTCAACTGGTAAAGATGATAAACTTCTCGTCATTGGTGAAGGTGATAAGCTTGTCAGACTTGGTCTTGGTCCAGATGGCAAAGGAGGAGGTGCTCGCGATGGTGCATGACCCGATGATTCTGGAGTAGTAGTTAAAAAGAAATCCTGGACAGGACCCACGGTATCCTGACAAGGAAACAAAGATTTATTTTACACAAATAACTCCGAAAAAATAATGGGCATCAAATCAACATGCAAGACTATAACATATAGGAATAAAAAACTATTAAACATTTAAAGAATCCTCCCGTGAGGAACCAAGATGTAACAGGACGCCATATATTTAGAATGATAGAGAAAAATACTCAGGAAAAATTTGTGTTCAGTGTCCCGATCAGAGAGTGGCGTCTATTTCGATTTCTTTTTGACTTTGAATCATCTTGTTAAATTGTATCAAAACTTTTTATGTAGAACACTGTATCATTATATCGAACAGTTCATTTTTTATTCGTTTCTTTGGCTTTGTGATGTTCTTTCCTCATAATTATGCCATATGCTCACCCTTACCATTGAAGGATAGTCGAAGCTGTCATATTGAACTCTAATAGCTTCTGAGAGATCAAGCATTTCACCTACATTAGAGACGAGTTTTTAGCAGTCTCTTTGCCAGACATCAAGAAAGCCATCAACAAGGAAAAGTGAGAAATAAAGAACAACCTTTCTTGACACAATTAAGGACAAAATCAATACTGACTTGATCCAGGTCAACATCATCCAAAGAAAGGGCACCCGGAGGCATTGAAACTTTCTTTATCAAGTTACCAGACAATATAAAGTTCAGAAGTACACGTCGATCTCGCCGATAGCGTTGGAGAAGCTCAAGAACATTTTGCCTAGTTTGTAATCAGACAACCTTAGAACTTGTCCACAAAAAAAACAAAAGAGTTTCAAAAAGCCGCAGTAAAAAGAACCAGAAGAATAGAATGCATACTCTTCGGTAGACATTATAAGGGCTGGCAAGAACCAGAGCTGGAGCTATGGAAGTGAATCTGAGAAAAGATACACTGCAGCGGCTTCTAATGCATCTGTAGCAAAGATTTCGCACAAATCACATAAACAGAAAACAATGGTACGTTCAGAAATGAAAAAATTGAAAAAGAGTAATATCACCAAATCCAACCTGCACAAGAAACCTGTAGCCAACAAAAAGTACAAATTCTGTAGGCATCAACTACTGATGTAGAAGAAGGGATGCCAAGATGCGAAGAAAAAGGAATTAGAAATCAGAAGTCTATTCATCATTAATATGTATCTCTTCCATGTCCTGGAAAGCTTGTTCAACTGACGCACCAGCACAGACTACTTAAGTAGGATGCAGAAAATGAATAGACTTCACAATCAGCCCGTCATAAACGAATTGGCCGGCAGCACTGCGAGCCCAACATCAAAAGGTTTCGAAATGATGAAGTCAACGAAAATATTCGTCATCACGACGGCGCGCTTCTTCAGGATAATTCTAGAGGGAAAAAAAACAAGCTAGTACACATATTCCCCTGTTCCCAGGTTCCAAGAGAAAAAGGGAGACAAAAAGGAATTCAACTCGCGTTAATCCCGCCACCTTACTATGCCCAAATCAGATCCCAGGGATTCGACTGCGCGAGCTCCACGTAATTCTGAGGTTGGGCTCCCTCGTCGTCCCAGGAGATCGTCATGGCAAAGACCGTTGTCGAAAGCGTCGACATAATGTGTGGAAGTTCGACACCCGCTGTGGCGGGGATGAGGCCCGGTGCAACGACTGGGCAGGGATTCTGACGGAAGGTGCGGGGTGTGGGGTTCGTGGGGTTAACAGGGAAAGACCAATTCAACGAGATCTGTGATGAGGGGATCAGAGGAGAATGGCGACTGCCACCGGGGACATTGCGGCTCGACGTCCCGGACGGCGGTCATTCGGGGGAGGAGAGTGAGTACCAGTACCTTCAAAGAACGATGGAAAGAGAGTCGTCCCTCCCCCCGCGACCACAGGCGTTGTCTCTGGGGACGCGCAGAAGGGTGATAAGTGTTTCGCCTTCACGCGTTCCTTAGAGCTCCCTCCTTCTCCTCCTTCCCGGGCAGCGGAAGACGGAGGAAACAAAGACCTGGGCAAGTCACGCCATTGACCCCGCCCCAGGAAAGATCATTTCCCAGTTACAGAGAAAGGAAGAGGCTGCAGCCCGGGTGCGAGGAGTGAGTGGATCTTTCGGCTAATACACGAAGTACGATTCGGCCACCCCGCGCCCGTCTGTCAGCTTGCCTTAAAAAAAAAGGAAGGGAGATGAGCCCCAGAGACTGGGCTGTCGGCTGGAGTGGACGAGATCCCAGCTGGAGAGATCACCGCCGGGAACGTAACTAGATCCCAGCACCCACGAATGCGAGCCGCATGTCACCGTCCCGTCCCCGTATGAGCCGTCGATTCTGCGGAGGATCGTTCCGGGCCCCTCAGCTGACGACGCTGTCCGACGCTTTTGCCCGACCTTCGAGTACGCACACCCGCCAGCACCAAGAAGCCCCTCCGCCACCTCTAAATAATACGGTCCCAACAGAAAGAAGAAGATGGCCTCATCTCCCTCGTTCGCATGCCCAATAGAATTATGCATGTATTTACAGCGTATTATACACAACTCTGACTGAAGACCGACGGCATCCTCCAGGAAAGAATCATGCCGCACCAGAGCCGGAGGCCGATCTCTGGATAGCCGCCGGCACATACGGTAAATGGGGAGATAATAACAGGCAACCCCGTCGCCTCTTTGTCGCAGCGTCTCCGCAGGAAGGGACCGTTGCGTTGGCGGCGGCGGCGGCGATGATGAGGCCGAGGCATCGGCGTCTCAACCTGTAGAGGGTAGGATGGGATTCATGCCAAGGCCGAACCCGCCACCGCCCAGTGAGCCAGGCTCGGCGTGCCTCACCCGGCCATAGCGCCGAATGTGGCGCAGGAGCCGGGCGAGGAAGGTGTTGTGGCAGATGGTCGAGCTGTCGCACACCACGGCGACGTGCTTGCGCGCCCTGGTGATGGCAACATTCATCCGCCGGCTATCTCCCAAGAACCCGACTGCGCCGAGAGTGTTCGACCGAACCTACGAGCATAAATGCGGGTTAGCGATGGAAACATGCCGGAAGAACCATCCTAGGGGTGGGATAGTCCAAGCGGCAATGAAAGTCTCGAGTCCAGACGCCATACCAGGGAAATAATTACAGCATCGGCTTCTCGACCTTGAAAACTGTCTATGGTGGAGACCTCGACCCCAGACGCCTCCGGCAGCTCGTCAATCCTGTCTCTCAGGAGCTGTACTTGAGCAATATAGGGAGATTGCACCGCTATGGCAGTCGGAGAAACTCCTGTTCAACACATTTTCACGATAATGAAGACACGGACGGCATGGACGGCAGAAAAACTCGATCACGAATGCAGCAGACCCTCGCGCCATATTCGACGCTAGCACTCATCGAAACAGACACCAAGAAAACATCGAGAGAACCGCAGATCAACCGGAATGAATTCATGATGGGTGTTCCTAGGCAATTTTTAGTTCAGCCGGGATGGAAACTTCGCATTAACCTAACCAAGCAATTAGAAGAAGCAAACAGTTGCCAACATGGGACGGCTGCCACGTAACACGCCTGTCTCAGACATTACCGGCCATGGGTCATTGACTGTCAAACTAGAGAATGATGCCATCTTACGAAAGGAGACATTATTCACGCTAAGCTTCGTGACGGAAACCGTTCTCTAGAAAAGCCAAAGAATAGCAGGGTATGAAGATGATAAGGCTTTCAAACATCACCGGAGGCCTACCGATGGATCAGATAGGATTGGGATAGAACAAGATCCGTTGGCGGCTATTGCAGATACAATCAGATGCAGAAATATCATATATCAGAAATATCATATATAGAGGCCTTGATCTGAGTAGCATAGCAGTAACGATCTATTATATATCAGAAATAGGCTATTGATCTACAGGTCAAATGAACCAATCAGATGGAGATTGGAGAAGATACATACTTGAGAACCACCCAAATATGAATGAATAGGACAAATTTTCAACTACCCAAGATAAAATTAGTTTCTGAAAATGGTTTCCAATGTCAACTTTCTTCGACAGAAGTGAAACACATCAAAAAGTTTGGCACTACCTAAAAAAGAAAAAAAAGAAGAATACAAACGAACTTGAAACCGCATGCGAACATGAAGAGTACGTGAAGAAATTTAGCCTCCGTATTTAGACTGCAGATTAACAAATTGAATCCATTTATTTCGAGCACGTTGCCAATTAATCCAATTCACTGACACGCCTAATGTTTAGATCATAATGCATGAATTGCGGTTGCGGCCATTCATTCAGTATAGGCCTCTATACTGCAGTAACAAGAGTGCAGACGCCAGAAATGGTCGGGACCAATGATTTGAGCCTTGACTTCATTTCGCAAAGTCAGCATTTTTGGATATTCACACACTCTTAAAATTAATATTTACTTTTTGATCTTCAATGGAAGGATTTACAATCATTTATAACTTTGATGATGGACATAAACATTTAATCAACAGATGAATTATGTATCTTGTGATCTTTCCATTTTCTAGAATCCAATAAACCAAATTAACTTATGTTAATAGAGTCCAACGGTTCTTTTCTCTCCTTGAAGTCTACATTATGAACTAGAGGTTATTTAAACACAATCAAAACAAAAAGAAATAAACGAGCCACATCCTCAGTAATAAGGGAAATCTATAGATTCACCCAAGATACGACCTGCAAGACAGAAAAGCAAGGAATCCGTACCAGAATAGATAAGGGAAAGGACATGCTGGACGACAATATCTGCTTCTCCTTCATTGTAGAAAGATCCGGTTCCCGCTGGATCCAGATGCTCCTCACAGCCAACAGATAAACTCCCATACGTCATTCGTGTATCAAGTAAGAGCAGTGGGCATTGAGTCATCCAATTCGCCTGCGTCAATACACACCATTCAGAGTGGACACAAAGTGATGCCCCACTTATTTTACAAATGGGATACATTCAAATATATTGTACACAGACAACAAGTGAAAAGCCATAGGCAAGGAAGTCTGATGCCATGTAATCCTAACCGGTTTCACACTAAAAACAACCTCCACCATAAGGTACTACCCCAGGTTGATAATTTCTCTGTTGACAAGATATGATGGTGGTTAAATTTTCATAACTAGTAGCATAGATGAAAGTCTAAATGAGTTGAATGCGTGTCAATTGAACCCTCAATTATAAAAATAAGAAGAAGAAAATCTCAGGTGATAAGTACGGATGAGACCATGACCGAGGTCCTACCCTACCTTGACAAATGGTGAGTCAATAAGAAGATGCGCGGCCACTGTTAGGGAAGATTGCAAAGAACCACTGTACATTTCTTTTGATGCCCAGCTGGCGATTGCATCATTCATCCTGTATTGCGTTGTTAACTTGGTGTCCAACAAACCTTCATGCATACCCGATGCTCTTTCAAGAAGGGAGACTCCAAGCCCACCTTCCAGAGCTTCTCTTGAGAAAACGACTGGAGCAAGCTGGCACTGATCCCCTGCCAATATGCAACGCTTCCCTTGCAAAATTGGGATCCAGCAAGAAGGCTCAATTGCTTGCCCTGCTTCATCTATGACCACCAGATCGAAGGCTTCCAACCTCCGAATGAGGGGGTCGGCTGCACCAGTATTTGTAGAAAGTACAACCTGAGCATTACACAAGACTTCCTTTATGGTTTCCTTTTCTTTCTTCTTTAAAGACTTCCCAAGTTGCTTCAGGAGCTGTCTTATTCCTGCTGCAAGCGAATCATCTTTCAGGCAGAGCCTCAGATCCTTTCTCAGATCAGCCTTCTTTCTCTCAAATTCTTTTTTATAGGCTGAAAGCTTTTTGCTGACTATTTCCCCTATAGATTTTGAAGCGACAGATGACGATATTCGTGCAGGATTTCCTACACGTACAACTCTGATTCCAGTATCAGAAAGCCTTTCAACCATGTTGTCCACAGCAGCATTAGTCGGTGCAGTAACAAGTACACGATCACCCTGCTTAACAGCGAGTGTTATCAATTCCTTGAGCATGCCTGTCTTGCCGGTACCAGGAGGGCCTTGGACAACTAAAAGGGGTCGTTTCTTGTTCAAGCCTAAAGAAATAGCTTTTAATTGAGATTCATCATATCTCCCATCCTCAATCAGCCCGTCAACCTTTGCTGAACCCCACTCGACCAATTGACTCTCCTCTAGCCTCTTGAGATCTTCTTTATCTCCAAATAGCGTAGCAATTACTGCAATTGAGGGATTCTTCTTGTGTAATCCATTCTTCTGGAGCAGCATTAATGCCTCACAATTGCGCTGTGAAATAAAGATGAACAAAACGTCAAAAAAAATCGGACCTAGACAACTTTTGAGGAGAGTCCGCTAACAAAACTAATTTCTCCTATAGCTTTCTCCAGCTAAGTCACTCATAGCGTAGTGAAACAAATAAAGTAAATTTAATAGTCCCGAAAACAGAATCTCGTAGAGTATTCTCTAAAATAAACGTAAGTGGATTATTCCACATAAAATTGAACAATATGACAGAAAGGAAAAACGAGGACTACGAAGACCATTAACTGAAAATCTTTCAATGTCCAGTCATGCACATGCACAGACAGATGCCTGTGAGTAAAGATCAATTATACACGGCCAAACTTGGGTTGGGTTCCTCTAAACTATATGGGAGGCAGCTGTCATTGGCAGATCCCGTCTGAGAATGACGTCTGCTGTCAGTCCCCCCAGTTCAATCTCAACCTGGAAAACATTTATATGCGACTTAAAAAACAGAAAACCTTAGTTGCAAGAAGATTTGTACGGATATGAGGTCTCCTGATCCCAAGAAAGAAAACATCAAAAGGAAATCGGCATAAAACTTAAAGAAAAAAAAAGAAAATTGTGGGGGAAAAAATACTGCCTGCAAGAAAATGACGAGTAAATCATGACGCACGGACATATATAGAATTTATCAGCTTCAACATCTTTCACATACCTCATATGTAAGAGCATCAGCCAATCCATGTATGCGATCAATGCGGACAGTTTTCCCAAATAATCTGGAGAATGTAGGATCACCATGTCGAGACTCCAAGGCCACAGTGATACTACAGCCATCCTCACCCAGGTTATTAATGAATCCTTGCATGGAAGAAGTTGCACCAGCACCCCTACTGTCACATGTTCTTACACAAACCATGTCACCAGGGGAAAGGCTAGTTGGTGGCAGTCGATGGTTTCCTTCTACTCTAAATAAGACCAAGTGCAAGCCTCCCAAACCTGTAAAAAAGGAACCATTTGGTAATAATTATCTTTTGAAACAGAGAACAAAGGACAGTACATCTTCAGCCAGGCGACACAATAACAATATTTATGAGAAAATGGATTAACATCATCGATAGTAATTCTCTTTCACAGAATCACAACTAGCATATGTCAAATCAAAGTCAGGAAGAAACAAAAGCAACAGGTTGAATTTACCTGTAGAGGAGCTAATTGCATTCAAATTGCATATGGTGTCACACTGCTCTTGCTGTGCCTGGCCGTGACTAACAAGATATTCAACAGGCTTTGATGAATCTGAATTCTCATCAGGATCAGAAACGGCATTCAGTTCTTCCTGAGTGAATTCCAACTCTGCATCACGTTCAATTCGAAGAAGATCAGACATTTTTTTGACGAAATCATCGATCTTCCCTTGTATCAGTCTGGCCTTCTCGACACCTATGCCCAACCCGCCGTGCAAAGCCTTTGACTGGGGAGCTTTCCGGACAAATGCTCGATGTTGTGCTGCAAGAAAATGAACTTTCCATTAGCAGACAGGAGGGCCTATGCATACAATACCAATCGTTCATTGTTAAAAAGGCAATTCTCTTCAAATGATAAAGTAGGGCTTTCCATAGCCGGGATCAATGTCTGTAAATTACCTGGGAAACGGCAAAGAATGACAAAAAAATCACATTTTTAACACGAAGTTGCGTAAGAGCCACGCTATCAGATTTCAGGATGGTAAGTATCCTATATGAAGGATAAAAATATAATAAAGAATCATAATCAAGCAATGACTACAAAGCTTAATAATTCTTATCTTTTAAAGCTGACTTCATTTCTCTACAGACCTAAAGCATCATGCTATAAAATGATTCCACTAACGACTTGGGTGCGGTAAGAAAAAAATGAAAAACAAATAAAGGAATTGTATCAATTTAATGAACAATAGAAGATTTTTGAGGGAAGAAGTCGCCACCAGATGCAGCAAACTCCTTGAGGAGTTCCCAAGACTTAGTGGCACGCCAGTCGGTGATGACTCCCTGTCGCTGGAAGTCCTGCAGGACGTCCCTGAGCTCGCGTTGGAAGTGGTCAAAGAGCGTGGGGTAATGGGCGCAAGCCTTGAAGCAAAGCGCCTCCAGACCTTTGGGCATAGGAACAGCGTAGAGGTACGGCTGCGCCTGGATAACGAACGCCAGGCCCCCAGTCGCGGCCCCACCATTAACAAGCCCCAGCCGCTGCCGGACCTCCTCCTCGATTGGGTGCTCACCCTGGAGCTCAGCAGACGCAAGGTCGGAAGCCATGGCCCGTATGCCCTGGCAGATCCAGCGGACCACGCACTTGCCTAGCTCCTTGCGCCCCAGCGGATCCCCACCCTGGTAGATCGTCCGGACGCTTATAGACGCATCCTCCGCCGATGGGATGCACTCCCCTCCATCCTCATTCTTGGGCTGCAACCTGCGCCCGCTCCTGCTCCCGCGTATCGTCAGGGGTGGTGGTGTCAGCAATTGGCCACCAGGAGGAGGATCGACTCTTCTCCTCGCACCGCTGTTCTTCCCATCGCCTTTGCCGCTTCTGTGACTGCTCTGGTCTCTGGGCGTAGGAGTGGCGACGCTGCTAGTACTGGCATTGGTATGGCTGCCGCAGCGGACGGAGAGCGGGCGGAAACGGGGCGAGGAGCGAGAACAGGAAGAAGAGAGAACAACGGTCTGGTAGGAGAAGAGCGGTGACTTGGTCCCAACCGCAGCAGCGGGGAACACGGGGGCGCAGGAAGCTTTCATGGCGGGCGATGCCCCCCGTTTCTGGTCGCGTCCTTCCGTCCCGCCTTCAGATCCTCCCCTTGTTCCCTCTATTACTCTCCCCCCTCTATGTCTCTGCATATACACGTGTGTGGCGACGTCTACGCTCTCTCTCTCTCTGGCTCCTGTGCTCCCGCTGCGTTGGCCCAGTTGTGATCCGGTGATGGACACGGTGGCGGGCCGGCGCTGGCCGTGGCCCTGGCCAGTCTCTGGTGACCACAGCCGTATGCCCCCACCCCTCCCCCCCCACTCAATCGGTCGCCGTCGCCGCCGAATCGGATTTTTATGGGTTCGATATTCCTGGCCGGAAGAGAAGACCTGGACGTGCACGAACGCCATTCACTGGCTGGCTAGGCTGCCATTCACTGGGGATATTTACAGGATCTCTCCGTCTCTCTCGGCGGCCCACCCGCGGCCCACCCTCGGCCCACCCTCGGCCCACCCGCGGCCCACCCGATGACGGCTAGTTAGTGAACCGGGCTCCACGAGACGACCCGTTGCGCGCGCCCGTGCCATCAAGGGGCGACCTGCCTGCCGCCGATGGGCTTCCACGAGGACTCCAGCCGCAGCAGGTGGAGCCTCTCCACGAAGGGCTCCAGCACCTCCACCTCCTCCTCCGGCGCGAACGCCATGCAGATGCTCAGCTCCCGCACCGCCTCCCCGTACCTCCTGCAGCAGTGTCGCCCGTTAGTCTCCCCACTCCGATTGAGCGCGCGCGACGACGAAAGCAAGAGGATTTGCCTGACGACTAGAAGCCTTACCTGCTGTAGTACAGGAGCATCCCGTGGTCCCTCCGCAGGGTCCAGTCGTGGGGCTGCAGCAACAGTAGCCTTTCCGACGCCATGACGGCCAACCTGCACCAAATCATCAAGATTTTGCCCGATTGAAAAATGCCGAGATGAACATGACAGATAAATTTTCCATCTTGATCATAAGGAAAACGGGCAAGCTTGAAGGGCATCGGTGATAAGAAAGAGGAGACAAAAGGTTGGTTAGGTTAGGCACCTCAGCTCCTGAGGCCGCAGCAGAGGTATTGTCGAATCATCATCATTGCTCAGGTTAGTGTGAAAAGATCTTAGAGGAGAAGTCAGCATTAGCCCATGGTTGGTCCTTGAAGCTCGTTTCCAGTGAACCCTCTACAATTAACAGAATGGAATTTCAGAGATCATTTCGGGTTAGACCGTAGGAGACAGAATGAGGAGAGTGAAAGTTTTAAAGACCATGTTTAAACGCTGGCATGAATGGGCAACGTCGTATACGACTTACAATCAAATCAGCCAGCGCAATCCCAATAATATCCTTGTTAGTAGCAATGTCAAGTCCGAGAAGTGATTTGCTGTTCAGGTCAGAAGCCTTCGTTCTAGGATCCTCAACACGCCTCCCATTGACTCTGGCAAACAGACTGTGCCCCGAGGAAACCCTGAAAATCTCCTACAAAAGAAAAGCGCAAAACGACCCGATGAATCTGGATATTAGGAGCAATTCCTCGGAAGCCGGAGTCGATATTCTTAAAAACAAGTATTATATGAAGCCTCTCGATGCTTTCCATCAGCCCCTGTCAACGATAATTAACGACCTGCTTTCCTGAGATGAAATGAAGAACGCCCCAACGCCATTGACCAGGGGGCACAACAACACACTATTTACCAGAGGACAATCCTGCCAAAAAGGATCACGGAAGACGGATCGAGCCACTACAAGAGATAGAAGATGAGGGAAAGTATCTCCAAAACAGCATCCACAGTTTATTCCAGGCATGAAGAACAACGAAGATGAGGGAATCCATAAGGATAGATTAACCTCAGAGTCGAGATACAAAATTCGAGAGAGGCATGAATGAGCGAATGACAGGCCCAAGTTACCTCTGGGTTTTGTGTCTGGGGCCAAATCAGAAAATCTTCCCCAAATCGAGAACCCAGAATGGTTACTCCGAGTCTTCGACAAATCTCTATGTAGATGATGCTAAGAATGACGGCTGTAAGAATCAAACAAGTCTTGTTAAATTCACCAAGGGACAGCGGAGAAATTAGTGTGCAAAGAAATAATATTTCCACATAAACAACATGAAGGCGGAGAAAATCTCAGTTAGAAAGCAAGATGTAAAATAACGCGTGATGGGAGGCATGAGGATTTACCACTGCCACGTCCAGAGTTCAGTGCAGTGTGGAGATAAGAAAGTTTTGAATCCACAAGAATGGGCAATCTTCTGAAGCATCTCTGTTCAAATAGGACAGCATTGACAGCTTCGAGCGCTTCTAACCGATGGTAAACTATATCTCTTGAAACCAACTCTTCCTCTACTTCCTTCGCTATGGCATCCAACTCATGTAGCCATCCAGATATGCTCTTGCCGGCTAGAGGAATGCTTTCCAGATCGCCATCCTCAGTCTGGGCCTCAAATGCCACTGGAGTATCCTTCCTTTCTCTAAGAACTGATTGCACATCTTTATCTCGATTGTGCGCTATGAAGATTTCATCTTCAGCGGCTATATAGAGCAACCCCTGCCACATTTGTTGCCGCACTTTTAGTGTGTTCTGTAATTACTTTGCGCGCAAAGATATCGATACCAGAAGCTCGATTGGCCGAGAAAACGCATCAAATTTCGGAGGAAACCAAGCATACGGCTAGACAGAAATCAATCTAATGGATCGTAGCTCGTAGAAGTAGATAGCCACGCGCGTGAAACCCTAAGGAGACGTCCCTCATGGGAGACAGGAAGAAACGAAAAGGGGGAAAGCAGAAATGATTCTGTACGAAGGTTCCGCAATGGGGCGAAGTATGAAATTACCAGAGCAATGGGTAACAGGGTGAAGCAAGCCGACTAAAATAACAGAAAAAAGAAATCGAGGATGCCACGGCCTAGAGGCAGAAGGTAAAACGATGCCGGTAGCTCACCGGTCACCAAGCACAATGATAGCGTACTATGATCGGTCGTATAGGTGATTGTACCTTGGCGAGGGAGATGTCCTTATCCTCGGACCTGAAAGAGACTTCCTCCGTAAACTTCTCCCTGGAGGCCTTGAGGATCTGCAGACAAGAAAATCATTTTCGTCCACGAGGTCAGAGATGATTACATAAATTAAATTGTGGACCTAGGTTCTTGCAGGGCAAGGGTGCGTGCGGGTCAGCGGAGGATTGTCGTGGCCAGTAATGGATGCAGGTCGAGTCAACGCCGAAGCATGTGAACGAACCTCGAGATCACAGTCTCCAGGGAGGTGATCCCTCCTCGCTCCAGCCGTATGGCCAGCAACTGCCAAGAACGTCACGGGGACCACACGCGGCGCCGCTTTGTCATTCCTTTTGCTTTTCGGCATCTTGCCGCTACACCACCGCCGGTGAAGACGATCGGACCTGATGATCGTAACAAGAAACTAGTGTGGCTGCGAGATGCTGGACCCTTGTACGCAATCTACTGATTTACATATATCGCCTTCGTTCATAGTAGATCTATTTCGACGGGGGAGGGAGGGAAAGTGGAGGAGAAGCGGGGAGTAGCGTGGCATACGCATACTACCTCAAAGAAGAGGCATTCCTGCATCCAGTTGAGGAGATGCTGCTGATTCCGACGCCGCCGAGGGAAGATATACTGCAGTGGTCTCTGGGTGAAGGGAATTTACGGTCTCGGGGACAACATCGATTGATCGCTGGAGGAGGAGAAGATGGAGAGGAGGCGACACGGGGGACCAGGAAGCCACCAGACCCCATTTTCTTCTTGACGGTGGAGGAACGAGGAGAGAGGAACAGAGCAGACTCCACGGAGAAGACTCAGGATGCTGGTGGGAGTGGGGGGAGGGATCTTCCGATTATTGCTGCAGTGACGGAGAAGAATAGATGTGGTGACTAGCTGCTGGACAAGCGTATCAGTGGGGAGGTTCTGAGGAAGGGTGAGACCGGGGGAGAGAGGAGAGAACGGCTGGCGCCGGATGATCGGTGTAGGCGGAGCAGGCTAAGTAATGTGGACGGGGAGGGGAGAGGGAGGAAGGGGCGCCGCTGGCGTCCACAGCCTTGACGGACGAGACCGACGTTGATTGCGACTATGGAGACAAGGCGGATGAGGGCAACGTGGTGAAAGCGAGATCAGGCTGGCAGATTGCTCTTCCGCTGATGACGCGGATGCAGTCGCTCAGCTCTCGCCACCGTCGGCGAATGCTCTTTCCGGTGGCCGGCCTGCCGTCCTTTCTTTGTACGAAGGAGCTGATGAGATCACATCTACCGCGGCCGTCACCGCAATTCACGCAGTGGCTTGCAGGCGGGCGGCCCCACCGGGAGTCCAGAGAGGGAAGATGACGCCAGTGGCTTAGCTTCGTCCTCCCGCCCGGAATAAGAGAGAGAGAGAGAGAGAGTGAGATGGCATTTAAATCGTCGTCCCAAGACATCCGAAACAGAGGGAGGGCTCACCCTCGTCGGAGAAGGCCTCTCTCTCTCTCTCTCGCTCCCTCTCTCCCTCTCTCCCCTGGCCCTTGAAATTTCTACATAAATTCGGCGTCACTGATAAGGTTTGTGGTGATCCACGAACGAAGGATGGACGGATCAGGTTACCCGCCACCTGTGGGACCCAGACCACTTCCGCATTCCGGCTCGCAATGGCTCCGACCGTCGACGCCTATTTGCGCGCTTCACGCGCGGACGGCGGCGTCGTTATCCACGTTGACATGCGCGTGCCGGAGACCGTCGCCCGTGGAAAGGCCACCTCTGGCCCCTCGGCGCGACGTGCTTCACGAGGGAGATGGGCTGGGTTGAACGCGACGGCCGATGGCTGGTAGCGTCAAACGCTGATGTTATCCGATGGCATCGCGATGGGAGCGGAGCCACGTCACGCGAAGGGAGCCGATTATCTCAGAGAGGCATAAACTATTCTTCCAGGTCGACGCGAACCCACCGAAATTTCAGCCTCATCGCCCCTCCCTCCTCGAGTACTAACTATTTCGTGGCCATCCTCCTGTAATCGCCCCACCCTCGACGTCACTTTCGCGTCGCTCTCCTCTCGTCCCCACCCTCCCCCGCCGCCGTATGGATAGATAGGATGCGCCTGTCAGCTCTCTCTCTCTCACTCTCACTCCTCTCACTCGTGTTTCCCTGTGCCGTGCCAAAAATCCAAAAAGTCCGGGTGTTCCCTCCCACCGCCTCGGCTGTCCGAAGGGCCACTGTCACCGAAGATGCGAGGTTTCGACAGCGGCACGGCAGCCACGGGACAGCATCGCGCGCGGCGCGGTGCTCCGCATGGTAGTGCTGGAGAGCGCGCAAAGGCGCGCGGCATGGCACGGCATAGGACGATGCGGGCAGCGCGAGGCGCACCGCGGGGCCCACCATGAGAACTCGATTGGCTTAACCACCGATTCTCGGCGGCGGTTAAGGTGCTCCAAGCTGTTTAGACGTCCCAGCAAGGATATTATGGGGAAAAGCCATGGGTGACTCTCCCTTATTGTGTCTCGGAGCCACAGAGTGACAGGCGGAGGAAAGAAGACTGCTAGGCGTAAGTGAACGACTCGCTCGTTTCCGGTCGCCGCTGGGGAGGAGGCCTTAAACCCTCCTGCTCAAAAAGTTCGATTCTATGGAGAGGATGATCATGTCCTGAAATAAAGGGGGGGTAGGAAGCAAGGCACGGCGCGGCGAGTCCTACCTATAACGAGGGGGGACGAATGGAATTAATTGGAGGGGGATACCGTCTCTTGTAATTTTCAGAAGCCTCAATACCTTGGTTGAGGGCGGCTCTCTCTCGCGCTACTCCTTCCCTTGATTGGCGGCGGACACGAGGCCTTCTCGTCCGTGACATGCCAATACACCGAAGACATCGTGCTTGCTGCGAGTTCCATCATTTGCTCAGGATGACGGGCGATCCGCCGTTATTGTTTATTTGCCGGACAGAAGTCCTCGCGAGGTTCTTTGAATCCTTTTAGGAGCCAAAGATCCATGAAATACTTCTCCTGTTATCGGAGAATAATGAAGCCGGCGTCGTCATTCCCTTCCTGAAGGAGAAATGTTGCTCGATCATCGATGCTGACCGTACGCCCTGGACTGTCCAACAAATGAAAAAACTCCAGTTGGCGGATGGATCAGTCAAAAATTGGAGACGGATATGGCTCCCACATCACCTTGGATTTTGCAATTTCGTCATTTGCATTTTTCCCTGGAGATGAATGCGCGGCAAGTATTCGAGAAACAAACAGCACGTAACGTAAAGGAAAAGGTTCGAGAAAAATGCGTGGATGTAGGAACTACTGAGAGAAATATGAATATTTGAGAAGTCACGAAATAAAATGTTAATCGGTAAATGTGGGAGATCGCATATGCGTAAAAATGGAGACTCGTATCATCAGTGATAGACATTCTACCGCAGTTGATGTGATGTGCACACAGATTCCGACATGTACACAGATGCCTCATTTCACATACCGAAATCAGTACAGATGAAGAGATGTGTATAGATGTGTAGAGAGAGGGGCAGGCACATACACACACACACAGATGCCCCCTATATATCGGGAGACAGACAGCGGAGAAGTGAACACAGAATGGTAGAGAGATAGATAGAGTTGCACAAAAAAGTACAAGCACGCGCACAAGAGTAGATGGAGAGAGAGAGAGAGAGAGAGAGAGAGAGAGAGAGAGAGGCGGGGCGGACTGGGACATGGTCAAAGGTAAGTACAACAAGATGATAAGAAGAGATCACAAAACGGTGGGACTCGGCTGGAGACGCCTCCGCTCGTCTGGCTCTCTGCAGGCTGAGGCGGTGCCCGGAGAGATCCGGCCAACGAACAGAGGATCCCCTCTGTCACCAGTCTGCCGCAGAACTGTGCGTCCCGCCATTTACGCCCAGAAGAAAGGGGGCGGGGACGGCGAGAGAGCGAGGGAAGAGGGGTCGTAGTAGAAATTCGAAAAGGGATGGGTCGCACTCTCAGGCCCCTCCTCCGGTCAAATAAGTTAGCAGCAAGACTTTACTGGCATTTATACCACGCTGGGCCTCACGTGACCTGCTCAGCCGTCCGGGTTTCTCGAACTCGGATGCTTGGGTCATCCCGGATAATCCATCCGGTTCTCGAAACTGCGACTCAGGATTTGGGGAGATTGATTAATTAGTCTCGAATTTGCTCGAAATCTTTTACGTGTTCGGACGGGTAGCTCGAGCCGCTGTCCCGTCGGAAGCAATTTGCAGCAGCGGAGCGGGCGGTCGATCAGTCAGTCTTGGAGGGAAGAAGGGAACGGAAGGGGAGAGGGGGCGGACGAGAATAGGGGCGGTAAACAGCGAGAAGCGCGCGGCAACTGCATGCTATCGTGCTCCGTTAGTGTCGTATCGATCGCGGGAGGATCGAGGAGGTGGCGGGAAGATGAAATCTGGAGGCGGCGCAAGGAAGAAGGGCGACGGGGACGGCATGGTGTCGGCGGGGACCCAGATGCTCGAGACGGAAGGACCGGCGGCGGGGGAAATACAGAAAGGGAATATGCACGTGGAGGCCGGAGAAGAAGCGGCGGAAGCTGTTGGAGGGGACGGGCATGGGGCTTTACCCGGTGAAGAAGAGGAGCAGGATGACGAGGGGGGTGAGGACACGGATGGGGAGGAGGAAGAAGAGGATGGAGAAGAGGAGCGCCCCAAGCTAGAGGACGGTTTCTACGAGATCGAGGACATCCGGAAGAAAAGGATGCGCAAGGGCCAGCTTCAATACCTCATCAAGTGGTGGGTCTTCCTTCTTCCTCCTTCCATTCTCCCAACAGATTTTGTACAGCCTCCTCAGTTTTCCAATCGTTCTGAACCTGCCGATCGTTTCTTCTTTTTTCTCTTGCTGTTGGTGCTCCCGCCCATTCTTTGTCCTCTACCCGCTTATGCCTCTACCGTTTGCTGGTCGTCAGGCGGGGCTGGCCGGAGACCGCCAACACTTGGGAACCCTTCGATAATGTAAAGTCCTGTGCCGATATCATCGAGGCATTTGAGGAGAGGTAGCTCTCTCTCTTCATCCTCCTTTACGTACGTCCATAATCTGCCATAGGTCTCTCTTCCTGTTCTTCTGCGTGCCCACGAATAGATTGTTAACGCTTCCCCTGCAATATGCCGAACTGGCCAACGTTTAACATAGGCACAAGGTCCCGAGGGCCACTAGGAAGCGGAAGCGGAAGGGCTCGGGATCTTTATCTATCGGCAGAAAGAAGCGGGACAGTGGCAAAAAGCAAGGGGATGATACCGTGGCTTCCTCACGAGAAAAGGTTAAATCCAAGGCCCCTGACTTGCATAACATCAATGGTTATGTTAGTGGTGTTGGCCCTTCAGAGACTGGCGGTGCTAAAGGATCATTAGTAGGTGGAGGAGAGGATCGTGGCGGCGAGGGTAATACAATGCATGTGGATAGCAAACCGAATGGGGATGACCGTGAGCAAAAAGAGAAGACGGATCATAACAAGGAACCTGGTTCCATCAAACTGGGTGGACTGGATTCTACAGAGGAAGGCGCTGGGCCCGTCTCCATCAACTTGCGCCTTGAAGAGGATAGGCTTTCCAAAATTGAATCCTTGGCCCAACATCAGAGTGGGGCCCGATTTACTGGAGCGAAAAAGAGGAAATCTGGTTGCATTAGGCGGTTCAAGCAAGATGCTTCTGACTATGCTAGTAGTTCCCAGAGTTTAGTAACCAGAAGCATGAATAAATGTCCTACAATGGGTGAAAAGATGGGAAATGAAGATGCTGTTCCCACAGGAGTTGAAGCTGGTGATAAGTACCGATCGGATGGTTCCACAAGGAAAGATGCTTTGATGAAGATCCTTAAAACTGTCGCATGCTCCGCTTCCATATCCAATGATGTCCAGGACGTGTCTGTTACATTTGTTGCCCTAAGGTTTAGATTCTCTTCCTCTCAACTTTTAATATTTTTTCCTGTAGTTCGGTCAGATTTCATTATCTATTCGTCTCATTTATTTTTCTATTTAGGATTCCTCGTTCCCACTTAAAGACTACTTTTAACAAGTGGAGATAGTGATTGAATCGGTGATAATGCTATCAAGACTACGTAAAGACTACTTCACAGTGCCTAGCTGTTACTTTATAATTCATTCTTTGCTCAGATGCTGATTGAATCGAGGTGCACAGCGTCTTGTTAATGTTAGTGATAAAAATAAAGCCATGGCCTACCGGTTTACTGCTTAAGCATCACTTCATAGCCCGGGTGAGATGTTGTTTTTATCAAATATTTAATTAAAATGCGGATAACATCAAAATTTTCCATTAAAATGGAATTTGACTCAATGACATTCTTGAATAATTTATGCTTTATTATAAATGTAAAAAAACAAACGAATACCTTATTACTCCACCTTTTGTGGAAAAATAATCAAACAAACCATTCTATGTTCATAATAATTCTTTTGGATCAACTTCTTAAATTCATTCTTGTACTGCTTATTTTGCTGTATGCTAAACTGCATGCTATCAATCATAGTTTTTTGTGCCGTTGATTTCATTATGCACATAGACTTGAGTTCATTTTTTATATTTTTCTTATATTACTTGTTTCCCTCGTTAAATTTGTTTTGACCGATTACTGCCCTTGGGAATAGGTAATTTTTCCATCTCATGTATTTAGTTTTGTTGAGAGTTTCCAAATGCCTGCTCCAGGTGAGGTACAAAGTTACTACTACACCCGCTTTGACCTGTTGAATGCCTTCTGTGCATGCTAGCCCAGGGATGCCGATTCCTCGCGGTCTTATGGTGCCATGTCGCCTTGTTAGTGTCTAAAGGACGCATGGACAATGCCTTAGAATTATGATTTACCCCCCATCCTATGTTGCAGAATGTAATTGCTTAACCGTTGTGCATCTCTCTATTCGGTCGCAGTAAGGAATTCCTTTATTTCTCATTGAGGACACTTCACAGTAACACTGAAAGATAGTCGGAGCACTGTCAAACGCACTAAGCAGTCTTGGAATCTTGGAATTAGATTATAATTTCTCGAGTGGATGGGGAATTCTAGGTTCAAAGTCATGGCCTTTTAGAGCAGATCCATTGGTCGCTCTTCTGCTTCCAAGAAAAATAGGAGGATAGGACCATTTTCTAGCTTTCTACTGTTTCTTGTAGTGCTTCCTTTCCGCATCTTTACAAAAAAATTCTTGTTCATTGGTTTGACACATCTAAAGCACGTGGTATGATGTGAAGATACATTTTCCCCCATGAGTCTTCTGCCTTGGAGGTCACCCGATGACGAGTTTTATTTATGCGGTGCTGTCATGCATTCCCGAGCAGGTGAGTGTATTTAAGACAAGTTTTCAAAATGTACAGCATATGAGCACTTTCTCCAAGTATAAAACGCTTGAAAAATCAATATTACCATGTTCGTAATGCACTTACGCGTCCAAAAGTAATTAAGTATGATGCAGAAATGATCTCTTTTGAATACTGTTGTATAGTAACCAAGCAGTTTGGCGAGAAACTGAAAACATGGAATGTAAATTTTAATTAAAGGCATAGTTTCGATGGCATCTCCCGGTGCCATTGAAATAATGTAAATATGATTGTCGAATTATGTGTTTATATGACGTGCTGGTGGGATTGAGCTTTGTTGCACTTATACAGAGGGGCATCAAATTAATAGATGCAGGTTATGGGCGAGCCTTCTCAGTCATCATCTAATGGTTGTATCCTAGAATCTTTCATGCCCTCAGCTGAAAAATATGTTTTTCCTTCAGGAATCCTTTTGATTGTTGGAGTGTGGAACTCGGCCCTTTTCTCCCTCTGCACATTAAGGGGACACATCACATGTGTGCATTACAATCCCCTCAAAATCGCAAACTTAGCTCACCCATCAACATAGGTAAAGAACTGTACATGTAAAAATCCGTTTGCTCGCATGTAGCTTCCCTCCTCTCTACCGTCTCCTATGGATTGTAGGATTGTTTTCCTAACCATGGATCCATATTGGGCGTCTAGTTGATCTTTGGTTGCAGTAGCAATCGTATTCTTGGAAATCCTGTTCTCTTTTTTACTCACCTTCCTTTATCAATTTCTCTTTCGAAGTCTTCAGCTTTGGATGCTTTATAGGCCTTAGAAGTTTATGCTTCTAGTCTCGTATTTGCAGGAAAAAACCAACCTTCTCACCAGGTGGTTCAACACTGTTTCACCTGGCAGTCTTTTGGGTTGCATGCTCTTAAGATTTTCGTGTAGAATTCGCGATGTGGTGCATCCAATAGGGTTATAGCGCGTCTGTAATGTGATTCTCTACTGTGGGAATTTCTCATCTTCAAATTGCAATCGTTTCCCCCTGTTTTCTTTCTTGTCTCCGTGGTTTTCAAATTCATGGTTCTGATGTCTTTAAGATTCAGTGCATTTCCGTCAAGTGTTATAGTCCAGAACTGTTGCTAAAATCCGGATTAAAGATGTGATTGGCGATAAAGTTCTCCTTGTTACGAGATATAGTTGATTGGTGAAAATGAAGCAGCAAGTAACAAGAACCAAGATGGTGCCCCCGTTGGGTCCACCTGTGGGATGCCAATCAAATAGGCCTGGTAATTCTGCTATTCATGTGTTTTTGTCTGATTGGATATCAGTACCCAAAAATCTGAAGAAAACATGTTGGGAATTGGGAATTGTGGTGTTGTGGTGTCAAGATGTAACATCTTGCTGGCAGATTTAAAATTGCTCCTCTAGAGTTTGTTTTGGGGCCTTGAAATTGGGTTTGCTTGCCCTGAGTTGCGCAACTTTTTTTACCGTCCGATAGAAAAACTAGACCTCTGTGAGTGTGCGGCCGGACTGTTGTTCTTCGTTTTCATAATCCAGAAGAGGAGATGAGTTTTAAAAGGGCGAATTGTCATAAAGAGGTGGTGGCAGTAACGGGGAGCAGTTAGAAAGACCTCTCTGTAGATTGCCTGTTTGGTTCTTTTGTCTCCACCACCCACTGTCTCCTGAGATTAAAGCCACAGGGGGCTTTCTGCGGGACCCGTCATCTTGAGCACATCCTAAATCCCCTCGGGGACGCGCGCACTGCGTCGGAGGTTTGTTCGCTACAATTCTTCCCCTGAGGTTTCGATGTTCCTGTACGCGATCCGTTTGAGGGCATCTGCGGCGGCTGGTATTTGAGGCCTCGTGGTCGCAAGTTTACCTCACCACCCTGCTGTGTTACTTGCGATCGCCGTTCGAGAGCATCTGTGGCAGTGGTTATTTGAGGGTTGTGCTAACAATGGCGCTCTTGATTTAGACTCTGCAGATGTTTCGCGACGTGGCGATGCCTCTGAGTGGGAGGATGCTAAAGCCAATACTCCGTTCTCTTTCTGCATTCTGCCTGCCCTTAGATAGTTGTTGACGGCGGCGCTTTTGCAGGTCGGACGGGAGGGAAGTCCAAGTCGACAACGAGTTCCTGAAGGCTCATTACCCTGCGATGGTACGTAGCGACGGCCGACCCTATCTATTATCGCGTCCGTGTGCCCATCTCCTGGATTATTAGGGCCGTCAAATCTAGGGAATGTGACGTGTGCTGGTTTGCCTGATAGCTGATTGACTTCTACGAACAGCACCTCCGCTTCGGCTCCTCGTAAGGTGGGACGATCCGGTGGTCGTCGGTGCGCGTGCCCAAGTGGTTCCTCGTTCAGCTCCGGATCATTTCGCTTCTTCTTCTCCTCTTCGTCATTTTCTCTGAAACAAATACTTGGGTTGGACTTTGCTTCCAAATTCCTCTTCTCGTGCCCGGAAGGCTGTGGAGCTTGGCGGGCGCTGGATGGCGCCTGCCTACGGATGAAGAAGACGGCGAGGGGAGGACGCGTCTCGCTTCTCAGGCGAAGGCCCAACCCAGGAAGCGCTGTTAGTTGGGTTCCTTTGGGAGGACGGGGAGGGGTGAGAATTTCGGATTATTTTTGTTAAATGGGCGGAGTGATCTTGGTCTTGAATGGGTTTCATTGCCGCACCTGAGTTCTTGCGATTTTGTGAGAGGGGGATGCACTCAATAGGTAAGCTGGGGGGAGGGGGGAGGTCATGGAACTCCCACCGTTGTGGACTAGGAGGGCTGGTTTTTAAGCGCTCTGGGCTCGGCGGGGGTCGAGCCAGAAGAGGTCGGTGCGGTCCAACGGGCTGGCACACACCAACGAGTTCTTGCCATAACAAGGGTCCACCAGATGTGCACGTGTATATCTACTCACATCTCTATATATACATACGGCTCTATATATGCTCTGAGATGGAGCTGTCTTCTCTCGGGTTTGGCAATTCGCGCCCGAGCATATCGGGCATCTCGTGGCAAGCACCGGAGTTGGGGTTAGGGTTAGGGTTAGGGTTAGGGTTAGGGTTAGGGTTAGGGTTTCTTCCTCCGCCCGGCAAGAGGAACAGCCCCGGAGCGGCGTCTCGTGGCCGTCGTTCGAGAGAGGGAGGGAAGGAGTGCAGGCGTTGCATTACCAAGGAGGAGATGACGGGAAAGGCGAAGCCCAAGAAGCACACCGCAAAAGAAATCGCCGCCAAGGTCGACGCGGCAACCACCAATCGCGGCGGCGGAAAGGCCGGCCAGTCCGACCGGCTGGGGCAGGACAAGGGCGGTCACGCGAAGCTGGAGTGCCCCCACTGCAAAATCACAGCCCCCGATATTAAGTCGATGCAGATCCACCATGAGGCTCGTCACCCCAAGGTCCCCTTCGACGATACCAAGCTCAATGACCTCCACGCCGTCAAGGTCCCCGATTCCGCCAAGCCCAAGCCCGGCATCCGCGGAAGTTTCAAGAAGTAACCGCTGATCTTTCATATCTGCGCCCCAAAATCACATCGCCCCTGCTCCTATTTCTAGTCTATTAGCCGACGTCGGCGACGAAGATTTCCTTGTCCTGCTTGTCAATAGTTTTGCACTTGCTGCTTGTTGCCTGTCCATACCATCGATCGTTGTCTTCATTTTCTCCCCCGGTCCTTTGCGTAACAAAGGGGATTCCCTGTTGGCGCGCTGTGGAAAGGAACCAGACCGTCCGTACCATCTCCTGATATTCTGCCTGTCTGCTTCGTACTAGACTGCAGCTGGATCGCTGAGTACAGACGGCTCTGCCCCCCGCTCGTCTGGATGGTGATCGGCTCTTGGACGGCGTGTAAGTAAAGTATTCTCCCCATATGCTTTCTGCACCCTGCATCCTCTCACAGGCCTTGTTTGGCGAAGTCGATATCTGCTTGGTCTCTGTTCAAGGGACTGGATTGATTACCAGAAAGTGGGAGCCTGCTGGAGTCTCTTCCTGGTTCCTGTTGTTCTGCACTTCTCTCTATCTCCGTCTCCCTCTCGTTTGTCAGCTTCCGTCTGGGGAAGATATGTGTTCTTGGATTTGCACGAGTAACGCTTATGTGATTGTGCGTGGGCTTTCTTTCTTTTTCCCTGAGCTGCAAAACAATTCCAGAAGAGCAATACCCTCGCGACAAACACGGGCTCCGCGTCGAAGAACAAGGGCCCTTCCATTGAGGACGAAGCAAGCGAACATTACTCCCTGCATGCGCTAAATTCTGTCCTCTGCACGGTGGTAATCTGCCTGGGTACGAATGGAGTTTCGGCTTGTTGATGAGGTAGGTGGTGGTTGCGTCCGGCCGATCGGCTCGCTGATTGATCCCCTGCATCTCGGATAGGTTATCCCCGGGTCGGCGTGGGGGGGGGGGGGGGCTTCTGTGTTCTCTTTCCTGTGGAGATTGCGTACGAAGGGTTTCTGTCATAGGCATCCACCTGACAGGGTTGAGTGCCCGCCTCGACACAAAGGGTAACGCACACTCTTTACGAAGAAGATAAATACATGAGATGTGGGATGATCTGTCTTTTGAACAAGGCAGAGGTTTGTGATTTTTATAGAACACTCAAAGCACCACTTGACTTTCATCTTGTTACAGTTCATGTTTTGCATATCTCAGTTGGCGTTTCGTCCTCCAAGGGTTGATCTGATGTCACTGGTTTAGCGAATTAAGGTTCTGAGAGTGGAACTACAGTGCACGCATGAGATTGGGCAGTGATCCATGTAGGCGTGCGTGGCATTGGCGTAATGTGGCATGTACGGAGGAGCAGCACGACAGTGCATCACGCGTGAGAGTGCACACAGCTTGAGTGAACGGCATGGTCGAGGTGGATTAAGGATCAAGAGGTGTATACACGTATGTGTGGAGCTCAGGTGGGGGACTCTAATAACAATGACTGCTTCCAGATATGTGTTCGCCGAACCATGGAGGACGTTGCTGATGTGGCATGATGGCGTGGTGTGGTGCGCAAGATTGGACGGCTTGGCGCGGCAGAGGTGTGCAGAGGTATGCAAGCCAGGGCGACGTGGCGTGATGTGTGCATGCGCACAAATTGCAGGCAATTACATGAGGGCGGTGCCTGCGTAATTGATGTACGGACGAGTGAATAGGACGCATAACGAGGACAATTGGTGGGCCATTAATCTCGCTTTTGGGCCCATAATAATATAACGGGATGGCATGTCAAGTAGAGGCGACCGCCCCTTCACATAATAAGAATGCCCTTATTAGGGAAGGAGGAGGAGTGCAAGCTAGTAGGTCAAAACGAACAAAGCTTTAGGGCGACTCTCCCATATAAATGGAGAAGGATTTCAGCCATTGGATGGTAAGCCAGCCCCAACAAATGGGTGCATTCGTACTCAACAAGTGGAGTACTCATCCCTTGAGCAAGTCTTTTGCAACACAAAGTGAGGTTGCTCTGCCGACGACAAGGGAACCAGAGTTGACATGAGGTGAAGAAGAAAGATACGTTCTTTTAAACCTCTTCATGGCAATTGGCGTTAGAACTTGTAAGGGTTTCGAAAATGGCTAGAGAAGAGTGGGACCCACAATCAACAAATCACTTGCTAGGAGGGAATGATCATCCTCTCCAACTCTTTGGAGGAGTGCCTACAAAACATGTAGGGGATGTGAGAGAAGCAATTACCCACAATCCGTGGGCAAATGAGGTGGAAAAGAAAGGGCTACATAAGACACTAGAAGCCTTTGCCATCAACATCATGTCGGTCAAGTGCAAGTGTACTAGCACTGGTGCCACGACCAGTCAAAAAAGCCATTGAACCTAATATTGATACCCAGAATGGCTACCACCTTGGAGATAGTTTGGTCATGAGATAGTATTAATATGTGAGGCGCAAGGATATCTTTGGCATATGTGGATGAGCTATGTTGTAGCTAATGGAACTCTTGGAGGCATGATAAATCCGTCTGCCGAAGGTGACATATGGTGCACCTGTTCTCTTCTAAAAGAAATAGAACTCCCTTCAATATTGCGACAATCAAACCCTGAATAAGGTAACGGTGAGGAATGAATACCAAGTAAGTGTAGAGTTCTACAATCTGTTGGGTGGCACAAAATATATTTTCAGATAGATTGGAAGGCAAATGCTTTTTAAGTATGGATCAATGAGGAAGACCAATCAAATAATGTGTGTGATGCAATACGGTATGTATAAACTACTGGTGATGGCATTTGGCTCACCAATCTATTTGCAACCTTTTGCACATTGATCAATCTCATTTTTCGTTAGTGTATCAATTATTCAGTCATTTTGTGCTTAAATGATCTTTTAGTCTATAACTGAATTTTGGAGAAGCACATGGACATCTTCTTGGGATACTTGGCAAGTTGAAGATCCATTAACTGTCTCTCAACCCTGCGAAGTGTGACTTCGAATTGGAAGATGTGGCCTTTCTTGACCACATTCTGAAGAGAGATGACATGCAGACATGTCCATCAAAGATCCAGGCCATCGATGAATGTCCTTCATTTAACATTGGATGGGAACAAGGTGACATTGGACATCAAAATGCCACCAAACTTTGGATGAGTTCAAGGATGTGGTCACAAGTGAATTTGGTCTTATGCTTGTCCAACTTCAGTCAACTTTTAAAAATACTCACTGATGCATCTAATTTAATTATTGGTATAATCTTAATGCATGAGGAACATTTGGTGGCTTACACAAGTTGTAGAATCAATTAGTATTTACTCTTTGCATGAGAAAGAAATGAAAGAGGTTGTCTACTACATGAGGATATAGTGACATTATTTCCTTGTAGGATACGATATTGTCTATACTGATATTGTGGCCAGAAGAAATTGATGCCAAAGTAGGTGTAAAACTTCATAGTGAATACGATTTCACATTGAAGGACAAATTAAGGTTGGGAAATGGGGTGAGTGATGCCTTTAGTCACAAAAAGTTTGAAACAAATCTTGTAGCACACTCAACGGCTGTCAAAACCATCATAGACTAATGATACTATCTTTATCTTGTAGACAATCTTGGAAAATCCCATTTCGAACCATAACAAGACACAATTCCCAATGTTGGATTACACCCTGTGTCAATAGCCATCCATGAACTTCTTCATCAAGTGCGCTGCACACACCAATACTTTGGGCACGTCCTCTATACATTTGACACGCCTTGTGAACAAGTGTACAGCCAAGTTATGCATTAGCCTTGATTGTTTTGTTAGCTCCAATAGAGTTAGCAATTGCCATTAGCCCAAATGATGATTGTTCCATTGTTGAACTTTAATGAAGATTGTAGGAAAAGTGTACAATGTCTAGTAAATCAGCCCAATTATCTTATCACAAGTACTCTTTGAGCATTTCATTAATGATGTTCATCATTTATTCATCTATAGGTCGGAACTTCCAGAGAATTTTAGTTGAGTGCTCCAAAGCAATTTCACTCCTTGAGTTAATGAAGTCATTGTGGAATGAACTTTTAAGACATGAGCACCAACAAAAATTGCACGATATGACTTTTTACCTTTGCTTGCTATTTTATTTTTCATTAGAATTTTATATAAGGCCCCCTCATGTGGTACTATTGCTGTAGTATGATGTGTTTGGTTTTATTTTTGTCCATGTAAGCTTTACTTTTTTCATTGCTTTTCTCTCCTCCGTAATAAACTGAACCAACCCGGTTTTCTCTCTCTCATATTAGCGGGCTGGTATAAAATACCAATTTTTAAGGCTTCGGCCGACTGCCTATCACTCTCCCTTTCATTCTTCTGCAACTATCGGAGATGACCAGATGAAAGAATTAGGTTGGACGACAAGAGGTCAAGCGACTAGTAGCCATCAACATAATATCAGAGCCCTAGGTGTGACCTCTCCAACAACCTGTTTTACCTTCACTTTATTGTCGCTGGTCTTCATTCAGTAACATTTACCTTCTTGTTTCAAGAACATTTAGTTTTTGAATTGTCTGACACAAATCGTTATTTATTGTGTTGATTCTAAACTAGTTTATGTAAGAATCAAGTGTCATTGATCATATTGACAGGAATTTTTCATTTGTGTCCCGATTTTATCTTGCTTTGACTGGTTCCTGTCAATTCATTCGTCCAAAATCTGTGCATTGAGTATTTGTCTCTATCAACTAATTTACTTAGTACTTTTTGGTTCACTTAAAATATCCATCAATCAAAATGTGTGAGGTAATTTCAAATTCAAGAAAATCTCGAATCATAGGGCTGATCAAAGCAATATTCATGGAGACTTACTTGAAATAGATCACCTAGCTGGTTATAATTATTTTGAGTCATCTTAGTTGGTTAGAGAGGTTCCTTAATGGACAATGACTATTTAGTCACCCTCTAAATTCAAGACCTAAACATGGAGATCCCAAATTCAAAACTAATAGGCCCCCTTTTTCTACCCTTTGGATGAATGATGTTTAAGAATCATGGTGTGGCTATGAATCACTATGATTCTTGAGATTCGTAAAGTGTGCCTATGCCTTCCTACAGTTCGAAACATTTAAGACAACTTACATCAATCTATTCATGAGAAAATGATGTAACACAACTTTACAAAAAAAAAATGAAGATGATGACTTTGAGACAATGAGTAAAATTTATAATTAACTATACAAATGAAGTGTGGACATTATGCCATGAGTTTGATCGATACAAAATTGTTGATATGAGAGATTTAGTTAATGCATCCTTAAACTGAAAGAGATTAAACTTTTGGCCACCTGGTCAAGCTGAACTCTAAATTTGATCAAGTTAGAATTCAAATTCATAGTAGAGAAAGATTACCCCCATTAAATGATTGAGGGAGAGTACGGTTGTAGAAGTTTAATGATTGGGTCACACGCGACATAGTGGCTAAAAGTAGTAAGAATGACGAGGAGTATGAGGAGCAGAATTAACCCCAACAACCATCACCGGCAACATGTACTCACTGTATAGGTCCCTAAACTGAACAACTAACATTAGGTCACGCAAAGATCTATTAGAGCTCGAGTAGCCCCCACTCTACATTCGTGCAACATTATATGGCGTGGCACTCTTAGAGGAGCTGTTAGATCTCGCAAAGTGAAGTGGTGCGAGTGCGGCCTTGCCGCTCATCCTATGCCATACCCCGTATGTCACACTGAGAGGTTTTCGTATCCGCGCTTGTGGAGAGGATCTAAACATTAGCATACGGATCAAGCAACGGTTTGCGGTGGAGCGACGGATCGGGCGAACCGGCGGATAAACGTTGTGGGTGGAAAAACCCTCTGGCGTACGCTCTCCCCCATCACGGAGCGGAGAAGTAAACCAAGGGACATGGTAGGATTTCCTAACAGCCCAAATCGAAATCGTGGCCTTTAGGATAAAAACGGGGAATTATTGTGAGTAACCTGACCTCCCTTATAAAGCGGAGAAGCACACCGTGGCCAGTCTGGTGTACTCATCGAGGTCCGCGATGTGGTCTCCACAGCTTTCCTTCCGGTGGTACGGTTAGCGATAGTTCGGTGTGCGCCGGTGCACCAAAGGCGCAGTGGGCCCCCGCCCGGGCCGTATCGTCTGCCGAACCTTCGGGGCTCTTGGCTACCCACGTCGTCTCGGCTGTGTGGACTCCCCCGTCCCGCGCATCCATGGGTGCTCCGGCTGATAACCTTTTTATTTTTCTGTTTCTTCTCTCGTCATCGCTCCCGGCTGCCCCGCGAAGTCTTGTCGGTTAGGATGCCGAGACGTGCGAAATGCGATCTCTGATTCCGTCGGACGCTGTCACCGATAAGCACCCGCTTCCTGCATCTATCTGCCAGACTATGCGGCGTGAGAGAGCGAGAGGTGAGTTTGTGGGTGGGAATGGAGGGGGGCCCCTTGTAGGCTCCTCTGGGTCCACTCCGTCGTAGACTCCTCTCTTCTTCTCTTTTTTGAACGGTCGGCTTTCACGCCCAGCACCTCAAGGCCGGAGAAGCGCCATCGAGTCGGCCGCATCGCCCCCATGGAAGTCTGCAACGCCCCCTCCACCTTCCCCTCCTCACCCGCTTCTCTCGCTCACCGCCTCCCATCCTCTCCGAAGGCATGTCGCCTCCGCCGCCCGGATGCCTCCTCCCCCGGCCTTGTCGGACGATCTTTCCACACCATCCCTCGGCGCCCGAGCCTTGCTGCCCATGCTGCCGCCTCCGCCTCTTCCACTCCTCTTCTGCCGCCGGCGGAGGTCGAGCGGAGATCCAGGGCCATCGCTGGCGACTTCGACGGAAAGAGCAGCAGCTCGGCCATGGAGCAGCTGGACATCGAGCGAGGAGTTTGCGTGCCTTTCCGCAAGTACACACCCGAGGGGGTGCGCCGGCGCGTGCTGGGGGAGCCCCCGACGGTTGCGGCTCTATTCTCCCTTGCCTCTCGGGGGGCCGAGATTGTGTGGAATCTGGGGTTCTACTGGTCCACCCTCGCCTACGATTGCCTCGTCGGCCGGGACGAGGAGGTCGTCCCATTTCGCGCCCGCCAGCTCCGAAACCTCCTCTGCGATCTCGGTCCGTCTTTTATCAAGGCCGGCCAGGTAATGCCTCCCTCGCTTTCGACCAATTTCCTCGGCAATTCCGTTCCTTCCCGTCCCCCCCCAACAACCCAAACTTGCTGATGTTTTGCCGATGCTGGCAGGAAAGAGCCTCAATCGATTTTATGCCCCTATTCATGAGTGAATCGAAAGTTCACTAGTACCATAATTGTAATGGAAATTATGCTGCTGATCGGTGTTGCAGGTGCTTGCTAATCGTCCCGACATCATCCGGGAAGACTACATGAATGAGCTCTGTATTCTCCAGGACGATGTGCCTCCCTTCCCCAATCAGGTTCGTCAGGCAATAAAATACAACGTATTTTCTTTACTTCTGCAATGGCTGCTTGTGCCTTGCTTGGGTCTGTCACTCCTTTGCGTTGCTTGTTTTTCAGCTGTTCCTCGTTTAGGATGGGCACTACTTCCCAGAAATTATAAAGTTTAGAAACTTAGGCTATTGTGAGTCTCATTTTTTAATTTTTTTCCCCTTTTGTTGCTCATGACTCAGGTAGCTTTTGATATCATTGAAGAGGAGCTCGGTCAGCCCCTTGAAAAAATTTTCAGTAGGATATCCTCTCGGACAATTGCGGCTGCCAGCCTGGGTCAAGTTTACCGCGCCACCCTTCGGGAGACAGGGGAGGATGTAGCCATCAAGGTGCATTTCAAAAGTTACCATTCCAATGCCACATCTGCTAATTCAATGCTTGTTTGGATCTTGTTTTCTCCCCAAGTATTTGACCACTTTTTTTAACATTCTGTTTAAATTACGGAGAAATGTATTAACTTGAAGTTGCCTACAGGTGCAAAGACCAGGGATCGAGCCTATAATCTATAGGGATCTTTTCCTCTTCAGGACGCTGGCTTCTTTTCTGAATGGGATCAGTTTGCAGAAACTGGGCTGCAATGCGGAGCTTATTGTCGATGAATTTGGTGAGAAGCTCCTGGAGGAGCTCGATTACACTCTGGTATTAAAATCTTCTTGACTCCATCTTTAAGACTTTTTTTCCATTTCTGTACTTCATCCAAATCACACATAATTTTGTCTTTATTTTTATCGTTATTTTTTTGTTCATTTTTCCTTTTTATTTGGCGGAGGGGCGACTGAATGTGTGACTATCACATGTTACTTGATTCTTTTTTAATTTGAAATTCTTGCGCAACTGGTTACATAACTTGGTTGCTTTCCAGTTATAGTTTTGTGGTTGATTTTTATTAGTTTACTTGAGTTATGACAGTTAGTTTTTTATTGTTGACTGTTCTTAGAATTTATCTCCATGTTTTGATTTTCCTTATGTTTAGGAGGCGCGAAATATTCAGGACTTCGTAGAGAACTTTAAGAATGACCCCTCTGTCAAGATTCCTCGAGTTTACAAAGAGCTTTGTGGTCCTCGTGTTTTAGTGATGGAGTGGATTGATGGTATACGGTGTACAGACCCACTGGTAAGATAAGAAACTGGAATGATCTACCATCTGCTGAGAGTGTCACATGCTACGAAGTGAATTTAAGTTGCCAACCTGTTAACTATCTATTATATATTGATTATCTATTCTCTCTCTTTTCTTTTGGTCTCTATTTGACGCAGGCAATTAAAGAGGCTGGGCTTGATGTTAATGCATTCTTGACAGTTGGAGTGAGTGCAGCTTTGCGACAGTTGTTGGAATTTGGATTATTTCATGGAGACCCACATCCAGGGAATATCTTTGCGATGCGCGATGGTCGCATTGCATATGTTGACTTTGGAAATGTAGCCGTGCTTAGTCAGGTAAATTTGTTTCGAGTTATTGCTAGTTGAGTTAATCTTCATCTTTGAATCACTCTGTCAGTTGTAATTGATGGCGAGATTATTTGTCGTCTTTTTGTTGGAATTGGAAATTATTGTGGTAATTGCAGATACTTTGTGGAGCCTAGTTCTCTTAACTGCATGCTTTCAATAATAATATTTGAAGTACACACTTTCTTCACAATTATCTTCGTCTTTTATGTTACTGGATGCTCTATTTTTTTTATCATATACACTCAGAAGGCAGCTTTTCGTTGTACCTTTTGCCCAAGCATTGGATAACATGATGGAATTTGGGTGGGGACTCTGGTCGTTTCTCAGGTACATCAGGAAAAGAGTTCTCATATTTTTAGCGAAAAGTTACTGGTGACAGGATGTCTGTTAGTGTCTTGGACCAGAATTTGTCTAGGAATCGAGTTTCTTCTATGCTTGTAGCTTGATATCCTTCTGGCATCATTTTAGTTATGACGTATCTCTTATGACTTTGAAAGTCACCCCAAACAGTCCGTGTCATGGTCAGTGGAATAACCGTGGCGTTTCAGTGAATTTTGTTTCCTTGTTTATATATTTACTGACATTTCATCGTCTTCAAAATATGTGTTTTCCCCCATTTTCCGTTTTGGTTATTTCAAGTTGTTGAAGTCATGTGCGAGCTGGTGTACAGACCTGTTTAACTCATTTCTTTGACTTTCAGCAAAATAAACAAATTTTGATCGATGCTGTTGTCCATGCCGTGAATGAGGACTATGCCGAAATGGCAAATGACTTCACTAGGCTTGGTTTTCTAGCACCTGGAACAGACGTATCTCCCATTGTTCCAGCTTTAGAGGCGATTTGGCAGAACTCTGTTGGAAAAGGACTCGCAGACTTTAATTTTCGTAGTGTAACGGGTAATTTTTTCCTTCTACATTATCTGGTTGTTTTCTCACTTTAAAACTGCTGTCAAATTATTGATTTTGGCGTCTTTAGTTTTATGATTTGCTCTTGCACTTGAACTCGCATTATGATGTTACGGATTACTAGAAAGGAGTAAAAGATGAACTATTCCTGAGCTCACGTGGAAATGGTTTTTAAATACTTGTGCAATCCATTCATTTCCTGAAGGCAATTGGTGAGCGCGGGATTTTCCAAAATTCGCAGGACGAGTCTATTGGATTGTTTCATATTTCCTGAGGAACTTAACAAAACTGCTGTACATAAAGGAACATTCCTAACAGTTTTGTTTTCTTTTAATTTCTTTTCTTATTTGTTTGGTTAAAGTTTCGTGGAGGGAGTAAAACTTTAAAAAACAAACCGTTTTACCTTTTCCATCGAAATTCTCACAAACTTCACAATTTCTTAAATTCTTCTTTTGTTGGATTTTAATTTCAGCTACATATTGATGACAAACATACTTTTGAAAGTCACTGATAATGTAGCTGCTTCTTATTTCTCCAGGGAAGTTCAACCAGCTTGTCTACCAGTACCCTATCCGCATACCTGAGAGGTTTTCTCTTGTCATTCGCTCTTTATTGACACAGGAGGGCATATGCTTCACTATCCAGCCAGATTTTAAATTTCTTGAGGTGAATGAAGTCCCGATTTGAGTAGCACAAAACTGGTGAAAATCTAGTGTGTTCATCTAGGTTTAACTTTATTCGTTCTGGAAGATATTGTCCACTCATTTTTCTGATTATCTTTTACTTATGTCTTCTTGATAAACGTTGTGCAATTATTTAAAATTACTTTTTGACATAACTTTCAGGTGGCCTACCCCTATGTGGCTAAGCGGCTTTTAACTGATCCAAATCCTGCATTACGCGAACGTCTTATACAGGTCAGTTACCTATGGATCTTCTGGGAGGAAAGAAACTACTCTGTCTCTACATCTTAATGTCACTGCATACCATATGATGTCAATAATTTATCTTATTACTATCTTATGTTGCATGCCTACTTTCTTCAATTCACTTTATAAAGAAACACATCTTAACTGGGTACGCCGGGAACACTGAATTGTAAGGATTTTACGTTTTTCTCTCCGTGTTGATACTATCCACTACTGGCAGAATTGCCATTTTTCGTTTGAGAACTGCTGCATTGAGCATCCATTTGTTAAGCAGGTCCTTTTCAAGGATGGAATTTTCCAGTGGAAAAGGCTTGAAAACCTCATAGTTCTCGCCAAGGAAAATGTCGCGAAGATGAATCTCAACCCTGCTTTACAAGCGAAGGGCATGTAAGTTGTGAAGGAGTGTTTATATCATTCTTTCCTATACCCAAAGTTTATCTGCTCCTGACATACCTCTGCTATTCCTGTAGGCAAAGGTCGAGAAATTCTCAGGCTGAGAGAAAATTAGACCTCACAGAGACTATTAAGGATGGGGCAAAGACGTTCCTGATTGATTCAGGGATCAGGCGACAACTCCTTTTGGCTCTCACTGAGGATTCTAGGTTGCATATTCAAGAGGTCTGATATCTTACCCAGTTTCTGGTTCGTTCAGCGTTTCATTCAGATGAATGCCATCTGTGAACCAACCTAGGGTTTTAGAAGAGTGTGCTCTCCATGGATATGTACTTTCGTAAACAACAGGATGGAGCTTGTCTCCTCTTTCTTTGGTGAATGGATCCGCATGACTCTTCAGATGTTAATGATTTTATGGTTGCAGCTGGTGGACATTTATCGATTGGTGGAAGACGAATTGGACGTACGGTCAGTTGCTTTTGAGTTCCTTAGAGGTGAAGTATTAGTTTCATCAAGTGTGTGTGTGTTTTTTTTTTCTTTTTTTCTTTTGTTTTGCGGGACTCCCAGCCCTTGTGCATAAGCCGCTAAAAACATGCGCTCGGAGCGTGATTTGCCTGTGCTTCTTCCCTCTGTTGCAGATTTGCCTGCCGTAACGCGTGATTTGATGCTCTCCTGGAGCGACTCGGTCTTGTCAGATCGCTCGTAAGCACTGTTATGGCCCCAGTTCTATAGAGTCTGCCCGACATACGCAAAGAGGTTCCAGGGGAGGAGTCTTTCCCAGCCAAAAGCTTGGCTTCATTTCTTTTTCTTCTTCTTCTTCTTTTGTTAGGCGTAGTTCATACATGCGGTGTCCCTGTCAGATCACACGGCGGCAGTGTCTAGGCCTTGGATTCGCGGCGCCCATTTGTTAATTCTTGTAGATAACTGTAAGCGTCATACGTGGAAGTAAACCATGGGTGTACACACGGCTGGCTCGCCTTTTTTTCTGATGGAAACGGAGGAAGAGCGATCTCACCTCTCAAATGATATACTGATTTTCAATGCCCTGAGATTGAAAGTGTGGCATCTGAAATTTACGACGCCCTGCGCTCGCAGAAGATTAAGCCGTTTTGTTCCTGGGGTAGTGGGGGGTGGTCATCACGCGTGGATTTTGCGGACGCCCTCTGTTTATCCAGATGTTGGGCCGATCTTGTACGAGCGACCAGGCCTCCTCCTACCAGCGGACGGATTGATCGCACCAACCACCAGTGCCAAGAATGGGGATGCAGACATCACCAGTGCCATGGACAACCTGAGGAAAGAGATCAAGGAACCTGAGGCAGCAATTTGTTATGCGTGTTCTTGTATGAACTCCAATTAGATGGCAACGCTGTACGTGCCCCTGGTGATGTTTCTTGTGCAGAAAAGAAGAGCAAACCTTGCAATAGTATCTGAAACTTTGTCGTCATGTCAAAGCGCGAACAGGAGTTCAAGTCAACGCGTTGCCCACAAAGATAGCCTCTCGCACACAACTCGGAGCTTTGCGACCTTGACCTTTTGGGTTCAGGTCGCAACGAATCTGTGTGCTCTTCTCAAGGCCAAAAAAATGACCTTTTTTCCACCATCCCCCCTCCTGGCTCTCTGTTGCGTAAGCGTGGAGGCAATTAGCGGTGTTCCACGTCCAAGTCAGTGACGCCAGCCACAACGTACCGTGAAGAACTCCATCACGGAGCGGTTCGTCCCTGCAGAATTCGGGTACCACTTCAAAATGCCCATTTCTCTCCGGGTTCGTACGAATCAGCGCTACGTCTCTTCTAGGTTACCGTTATTAAAACAAGAACAAATAAATATGAGTCGGGGACAAAAAATTGTGTCGTGGCTTGTAGCCTTCGTTCTTCCGCAGCTTAGACTCGACGTTCTCAACTCTCGACCTGATGCCTGCCCCATCGCCCGCCATTTTTTACGACCTATCTGAGATTTTACTGACGCGGATGCTATCGGGAGATTCAACTGCAAAGGAGATTCAACGTCAAAGAGACATCTTCTTGCTTTTCAGTCGTAGATCTTGCTTAATTGAGATCGAGGTCCCTTCCCATGGAGATTAGCACAAATGTCGAATATTTTTTCCCCCGGTGGACGCAAGTAGACGGACGCAGCAAATACGACGTACGCACCAGCCCCCCTGGACGTCTGCGGCCTGCTCCCTGGCTGACTCTTACCAACGTGAAGGCCCGACCCATTCATTATTTGCGGTTATTTTATACACTACACGCGGCGCCCCTTCTCCCGCGAGTGCCCTCGCTTCTGTTTGGGCTGCTGCGCCAGGGGAGTTGCGCAGGCGAGGCCTTGTCCCCTCCCCTGGTCTGTTTGCCTGTCGATCCTCTCAAGCCCTCTTTGTGTATCCCCTCCCTAGTTCTTTGTCAGTGTCCCGAGTTGTCTGTTCGGCTCGTCGCGAGAAGTGGGCCGGCAGTGTGTCGGTGAAGGCGGAAACGGTGCGTGGCCGCGGCACAGGAGGTGAATCCTATATTGTTATTTTCTTTTTCCTTCTGCCGCGCATCCGAAATAGGTTTAACAGATTGTTGCCTTCTGCACCGGGCGAATACGGGCGAAAGCTCAATACATTTGGCCGCGTTAAATCCTCAGTAGGGAAACAAGAAAGTAGAACAAGACCTAATATTCGAGGAAGGCCACCATTAGAATACTGGTATGGAACTCCTGGGTCTCTTGTACTGAGAATCTTGAATTCCTTCTCTATATGATGAATTTCGGCAACTGCTAAATTGTCACTGTCTGGTGGGATCACTGAACTCCGGGACTGAATTTTTCCCTCAACATTTTCAAAATAAGCGTTTGAACTGAGGGTTTTGGGAGGATTGAGCGCCAAATGGTACCATTGGCAATGTGAATGGTTTTGATTTTTTTTTTCTCCTCAATGTGCCTTTGTTATTTTTGGAGTGACAGAATAATGTTGGATTATGTGGGGAGCTGGGTTGTTGTGGGGTGCAGGTGGATCGATGAGCAGACTTGGAATTGCTAATATGAGGTGCTTGTTAGCAATGGGAAGGTGACGAGGGGACTGGATTTTGACGATCTTGTCCGTTGCAATTTGTATTTGCGTGGTGATTATTTGAAATCCTCTCCTAAGAAAGAGACCATAGGATATTCGGTTCTAAACAAGAAACTCTTGTATGATTTCTTTTCGGTACCTCAAGTTTGTAAGTGGGAAGTTCTTCAAGTTATTTGGCAGAAACCATGGACTGTTAGTTTAGTTTGGATCAAGGGCTTGTATAAAAATGGATGATATTCAGGAATATCCAAGTGGCTCTGTTCTACTGTTCTGCTTTTCTTCTGAGGGTAAATGATACCGGCACGTGAAAGGAAAAAAAGGGATGCGCAACCATGTGCTAGCATTTATGGAAGGGTCCTTCATACGTACAAAAGAAATCAGTTCTAATTGGTTCCCTAGGAGTTATAAAGGTAATAACCATAAATTTCCTTCCACTCCATTTCCAAACTATTGGGTATGTATATCTTTCCTGAGGAAGTGAAAATAGAGAATATGCTTGTTAATTCCCCTTGATGGTGTAATTCCTCTACCTCATGCGGGTCTTCCAGTTTCTGAGATAGGATGGAATATTACCGCCTAATTTCGTGCACAGATTTCATCTTCATCAGGGCAGAGTAAAGCATTTTCTGCCGACGAATATCTCCGGGGTGATAGCCAATAACTGAGGACATCTGAAGGAAAATTTCTTGAATTCTTTTGTTTCGGGAACGTAAGTTCGAAGTGGAGGCAGCAGTGCGCCTTTGAAGATGGGATAGAGATTTTAGGAGTAAAACTGTTGTAGTTACTGGCTTGATTACTACTGAATATTTCAGTGGAGTTTACTTTCTGGGTATGTGTATATTTCATGAAATACCTGTATGAGTTATGATTCTGACAGGCAGGCACTACAGAACCATGATAATTGGGGACTTTAGCCTTTTGTTAAGTGCAACATATTCCTGGTTTCATTAATTACTTTTCAAAGATCAGATCTAGAGCCTGTCACTGCTATGTCTCAAGGGGAAATGATCATTGCTCTCAGCAAGTCCAGCAATTGGTATGTACTGTCTAAAGGCAAGAATCAAATCTACTACGTAGATTCTAGATGACTGAAGGAACCGAGCATTGATTTTAAGATTTAGAAGCAACTTTCCTGCTCAGGAGTTGGACGCATTCCGAACACTGCAATAAGTACTGACCAAGAATCAGGCGAGCAGGTCATTGGAAGAGAGAAAGACATGTACATGGATTCGTAAATGTATTTTTGCAGTCAGGTTATGTGCTCTGTATTAGATAAACGGAAGTAAAGATGGTCGGTAGAATTTGTCTGAAACATGCAGTTTAGTATGAAGAGGAGACTGCTTGCTGGATTTGGGAAACTTTCAAACTGATGACGATAAATGTTGAATCATCCATCTCGTGGAGGATTGTTTTGAACACTGTAGAATCGGAAGGAATAGAGATTGCTGAGGTAAATGGTTTTTTCCGCCGCACTCTCTATTCACTGGCCTTCCACAGCCTTGAAACGCAATCCTCCAAGAGACGGATGATTCCACCCTATAGAACACTTCCAGTATAGTCCTCTGGCCGCCCTCTATAAAATCTCTTGCATTGTTGAAGAGCATCGAATTTCATTCTCCCTTGTTACCCTTTTTATTTCAGTGGTGACATAGGCTACGCCATATAAGGTTTGCTGATATTGTGTTACTTTTATGGTTGAATATCAGAGAAGGTTACTTTTATGGATGAGTGAAATGCTGAATCATACTGAGTTGCTCTGTTATCTCTCAATACCAACTCGGGCCACCTCAACCACAATTGTTGAGAGTTCGTATTTGAAACCCTGGATCTTTTGAGCTGGCTTATGCACTTGACACGATTAATTTCCATGTACATTAGATTCCATAATCAGTAACAATTGTGTTGACTTTTGTGAGTTGGCACGGTTCAGATGGATGTGCCAAGTCTTGTTCTCTAGAAATCTTGGAGGTTATTTATCCCAATTCTTCATTAATCCTATCTAATCATCTTAAAATTATTTTACGTGATTTTAAAATATAGGTTAAGGTCCTCTGCATTAACTTTTGGGAAGATGGTTGAACAATTGAGATATACTTTTGCTAAATGTGGTGCTGAAAGTTAAGCACCTCATTTAAATGGACATAATGAGTTAGTTTGCTGTATCTTATGGTTCGGTGGGACTTGCCATCTTCGACTCCAATTACTGGCTATGATTTGAGCCATTTGGCATTAAAGGTTAAACTGGAGATATCTAAAGGAGTGTCTTTGCTGAAGTGAAGTATAATTAACTCATAATCCTCTTTAAAAAGGTGATTAACTTCTTGATCCGAAATTCGAGTATCAGAAGATTACATTTAGTTCAATTTTCATAGATCAAAATCCTCACTGGCTTGGAGGCCAATGACTGTTAAACATTAGCTAATAAAATTAGTGAAGTCATGTTGGTGCTTCTGGATTCGAACCATTTTCCAGAAGAAAATTAGTGTGTTTGTAATGAAATGGAGCAACTGCTTTTATTAACTATCGGAAAAAAAAGAAGTTAAGAGTTTATATCTCTGTACAATTGAATCGTTTTGTGTTGACTACAACATTGAAAAAGATGAGACAGATTGATTGGTAGACATTGTGCTTAAAGATATGAATCTAAATTGATTCTCCTGAGAATGTATACTTGTATGCTTATTATGGATGAACGATGGGGGAGAGGGAAGTTGATTATAATTTGGTTCTAGAATTTCAACCATAGCCAATTTTCTTTAGGAGTTAACGGTGCATTTCTAGCAGTGTTACTCAATCAGTTTTATAGATTTTGAAACAAAGAGAGCATGGACATAATGGTGCAGAAAGAAATGGAATTTGTGTGGTGAGGGATTCTGAGTGGCGATATAGTAACATTCTTGACACCTTCTTGAACCACCGTGCTATCTGGAATTTGAACTTGTTGTTTTCCTTGATGTAATTATTTGCGGGGTAAAACATATTCTCACTATGTGAGTCCTGTGTGACTTACCCCCTTGAGTAGACTCATAGGTTGCTGTTCAATCCCTGTTTCTTTGTTTCCTGTCCACTAGGTAAATAGCATGTCATAGTCATAGCTAAAGTACTTTTCCATTCATTCTTCAGATATTGTTATTATTATGGGTCCGTATTTTGTTTGCAAGTCCTGCATGTAGACTTTTATTGACATTTTATATTCTCTATGGACAGCAACTTCTGATATTTTGGTACAATGTTGTAGTGGAGTTTAAAACTTCACAACGCACACCAACTGGGCAGTTCAAGTGCATATGGCTGGATCGTTACCAGAAGGATCAACTGGGCATGTGACAGCAGGCAACTGGCTCTATGGTTCCTCACATGAGGGTAGTGATTATGGCGAATCTGAGTGGTATTTTTCTAGAAAGGAGATCGAAGAAAATTCTCCTTCCAGGAGAGATGGCATTGACTGGAAGAAAGAGACGTATCTCCGCAAATCCTATTGTACATTTCTACAGGATTTGGGGATGAGACTTAAAGTGTAAGTTTTTTTCTTTTCAATTCTTTCTTATCTTGCTTCTCGGCCTTTACACAGACCCCTTACAGGTAAGTTTCATTTGACTTGATTTTTTCTCTTTAATCATCCATACAGAATGTGCTGTGCTCTCCTTGTCAATCCCTATTCTTGCGTTTCATGAAAATCTCTTTCGATAAACTCATAGCTGTCTGCCAGATGTGTGATCTCAGCTTGCCTGAGGTTGAGGTTTGTAAGTCCTGTGGGTCTGTAAGTTCCATATCGTTGGCCTTTTTCCAAATTCCTTCATTATTTGAGTGAGGTGAAATATGAACCTTTTAACAAGGGATCTCCTCCTGTACGTCTCAATGAAATCTCCTTCATATATGTGTCACTGAGACCGGCTGATGTCACACATTCTTGTATTTATAATATCTGCGTCATCTAAAGCTATGCTTTCCAACATTATGGTGAGCATGTTATGTTATTAATTACTAACTGATCTTATCATATAGTTTTCCTTGCTTAATGGCTTCCTCAAACGGCCAGAGCCGGCTTATTAGAATGAAATGTATGTTCTAATGTTAGCATCCGCAAGTTCTGCAGCCATGCATGGATGAAAGATGGATTTTATGTTTTGCTTGAATGATAGATGATTCTACCCATTTTCAAAAGTATTTCAAATTTCTCTGTACAATCTGGTGGAATCACAGTGTATATTCTGCATTAAATGTGCTGAAATGATGTGATATCTGCAGAGAGTTTGACATTCTATGTACCATTACTTGCTTGATCAAGCAGGTATATATTGGTGCAAAGACCTGATGCCATTTTTGATTTGGAATTCCTCAAAAACATGTGCGAATTAAGTTTCCATAATCTCTAGAGCTCGCTTGTATATTCAGTAAAGTTCAGAAGGATGGAGGACAGAAAGCAGTGGATATAGATTATTAACAATGGAAACCGGGCTCTATGATGGGTTTAGGTTCAAATGACTATTTACGTTTTCGGTAACTGATGAATGCCTAATTTTCTAGCATAGTTCTACCTGCTCAGTTGTTTGCACATTTCTTGTATTATATGGTGGGGTATTCATGTTGTTATTTTTTGAATAATATGCCATCACGGGAATGCTTATCTATTCGGAATTTTTTTTATTTTTATAATATTGTTTCAGTTGCAATGTGGACAGAATTTTCTTGGTATGACTCTTACCTGAATCTAACATAAGATGGTTCTCTAGTCCTCAGGTAACGATAGCCACGGCAATTATATTTTGTCATCGGTTTTTCCTACGGCAATCTCTTGCAAAGAATGATAGAAGAGTAAGTGTCGTATGTGTAATTATTCCTAATTTTTTTTCCGGTCACTAGTTAGCTATTTTAGGGTTAGTAATGCTTTCGATATTTGTTTCATGGATTCCCTAATTATACTCTTTTTTTATTTTGTTTGCACATTCTTATTTGTTTGCTGAATGTTAGCAATTAGTCTCGATTCTCTTAATTGAGTGATGAATGAGACTGAAAAATCATCCAGGGACATACGAAGTTCTTAATAAGAATAAATCTTAAGTCTTGGATTAATGAATGAAAAATGGTGTATAGACACATTACTCGAAAAATGGGGTCGAATATGCTCCAAAACCTCGGCGAGTCCTGCTCCATTGTTAAAGCTAGCTTTAGTGTGCTTACAGTACACATAAGCGTGTTGGATATGACAGTCAAACTATAAATAGTTCAATGACAGCATATTCTTATAAGTTCACAGCAGCCTGTTCCATCCCATTTTCACCTTGTTTAGCAAGCTCATGCATGAGATTTGCTGACTTATCTAAAATTAATGTTAGTTAATGAATGACCTTATAATTACCTTTTTTTTTCGTGGTAGGGATGACATTGAAGTGGGCTTTGTTCGTTCAATGAATATCTAGGCTCCAGTGGAAGTTGTGTGCAGCGATGATTTGTTAGCCAGTGGATTTCGAAAATAGCATCAAAGGAATTGTGGTTTCCATGACCTTGGGGAAATACTATAGAGATCAAGATAAATTGTGCAGTTAGGTGTTGCATAGGCCGTTCATTTCACACCCCTCTATAGAAGTACCCTGAAAAATCTTCGTCAGTGCAGAACTCAATATATTTCAATTTTGGGAAGGGAATTCATTTGTATTCTAGGAGATCAACTGGCCTGTGTTCCGCCTTTGGTATCTAACTGTCTGGATAAATTCTGTTGCCTAATGATGATAGGCAGACTAAATGATGGGTAAAAGGGCGCCTCACAGAGTGAAGTAGCATATTAAAATTGTGAACAGATTTTGTTGACCTTTGAACGGAAGAATGCACCAGTTTATTCTACTTTTGGTGCTGGTGTGCATTCAACCCGAGACAGAAAACATCTTGGAGTTGGAAAACAAATAGGATTTTCCTGGTGAAATCCTTATTTGTATTTATGATGGAGTTTACATAGTGTTTTGTGTAACAGATTGATGTGGTTGAAACATATTTCTGCGAAGTGAAGATCTTCAGAAAAGACAACGAATGCTTGACTTAAAGGGAAAAGTGGAGAATTCCATAAGTAGGCTCTCATCTTTGGCGTTTTGGCAGCTTTGCAAGCAGTACCAGTAGGAACTCTGGTCATTGTGACCCCGTCGTGACCTTCTTTGGCACTTCAGGGGCCTTGTTGGTGACATTATTTGAACTTTCTAAAGACTAATGTGTTCAATTCCTGAGTCCACTCCTATTGATGTTTGACATCAATGATGTATGTGCCAGTAAATAAATTTTGAAGTGCTCGATAAATTAGTTGCAACAAAAAATGTTTCCCATAAGTATAAAGATCACATAATACGCGCAAAGTAAAAAAAAAACTATCGATAAGTATTACGGTGAAGATAGAGATAAAGTGCTTTGTGCCATTAGGAGAAGATATTAGTGCCACCTTAAATTACGCTATCCTGCAGCCTTTTGCTTCCTGAAGATTTTCGGTTATGCATTAAGAGAAAATCAACAACTTGAACTTCATTAGATGATCAGTTACATGTATGAGGTTCATACTGCATGACCATTAATTTCACGGTTAGCTTTACCATCCATTGGAGTTATTAATACATCTATGTGATTAAGTGTACAAAGTGTATTGATATTTTCTCTTTGTGATCCTTGCTGTCGATTGTGCCTTTACCAGTGTCCGGTATTGTTCTCTGAGGGATACGATGCACTCACCCATGTAGACTTTGCAGACTATTGCAACAGTTTGCATGTTCCTTGCTGGGAAGGTTGAAGAGACGCCTCGCCTGCTCAAGGATGTTATTCATCTTTCATATGAGATAATAAATAAGAAGGATCCTGCAGCTAGCCAGAGGATTAAGCTGAAGGTAACAGCTCATGAATCTATTTCTATGGATTCTCTATCTTCCAGGAAAGTTTCTCCAAGTGTTCATTTGTATGGATCTCGCTTTTGTCTTCTGTCAAGCAGGAGGTGTATGAACAGCAAAAGTTGCATATTTTGCTCGGGGAAAAAGTGGTGCTGTCTACTCTTGGTTTTGACCTAAATCTGCTCCACCCGTATAAACCCCTGGTTGAAGCGATAAAGAGATTCAAGGTTGCACAGAATGCCCTTGCTCAGGTTGCATGGAACTTTGTGAATGATGGGTGCGTCTATGCTCCGGTTTGATGCCATTATGCCAATTAGATAAATGGATTCTCCTTTGCAGTAATTTTTTACATCTCTAGATGGGCTCTGCAGGCTACGGACTTCTCTCTGCCTGCAGTATGAGCCCCATCATATTGCGGCGGGTGCCATCTTTCTTGCCGCCAAGTTTCTTAAAGTGAAGCTGCCATCAGATGGTGACAGGGTCTGGTGGCAGGAGTTCGATGTCTCCCCACGGCAGCTGGAAGGTTCTCATGTTTGTCGTTTTTCCGCTGTTGGATGTCTTGGCGGGTGCCTAATTTTTCTATTGATACCATTCCCTATTTTTCCTGCAGATGTTAGTAACCAAATGCTGGAATTGTATGAACAGAACCATTCTGTTCAGGCTCCCAGTGGGTGTGAACTCGATGGTAGTACCAGCAATACTACTGCTCATCGCTCTGTGAAAACAGCTGTCAGTGGGCTGGTATCAGCGATCGTTCTTTCCCAGGGTGGGGGGTTGTCCAATGTAAAGCACGGAGCTTCATTACCATCATCTGCGAGATCCTTAGCCAATCAACTTTGCTCTGAGAATCAGAGTACGGCTCACCTAAGTAACGAAGTCGGAAATTCTGAAAGCACGATTGGTGATAGGGGCTGTGGCATGAATGAAGAGGGCAAAAAATCTGAGCTGCTCCCATGTGGGAGCGAAAAGCTCGTAGAAGCTTCGAGCATGTCTAAGTTTCGGCAGGTGAAGCATCCTTTGGAAGTAGGGGTGGAAGGTGACCAGGGTGCAGCTGCAGCTGCAGAATGCGGGGGGTCGAAAGATGGAAGGTCATCATCATTCAAATCCAGTGGGGAGGCTAGTCAAAGCTCCAAAGAAGGTGAAGCTCCGAAGCTCCGCTGCCTACCTGACGTCATGAAAAGGATCGATAAGGACAAGGTAAAGGCTGCCCTGGAGAAAAGAAAGAGGTCCCGTGGTGACAGAGCTAAGAACACGGAGTCGGTCGATGAAGATGATCTGATAGAAAGAGAACTCGAAAGCGGTGTTGAGCTGGGAGCTGAGGACGAGAGAAGAGGTCGGTCCAATGGCTCTTCGTATGAACCTGAGGGAGCTGAGGATCGCGGCCACGGAGAGAAGGATAACGCAAACAAAGCGAACCATGCATCTTTCGACGAAGGAGATGGACGAGGTAGGGTGAGTGACCCCGAAAATGGGCTCATCCGGAGACCGCGGGAGACCGCGGGAGAAACGCCATCTATCGACCGGGAAGCTTCCTATCCTCATAAGTTCGACAGTTGCAGGGACAAATCCGTGAGCACCGTCGGTGGACAGCTGGATGACAAAGTGCAGCGTCCTGCGAAGAGCGGGTGGCCCGATTACATGGAGAGAGATGCCAAGAGGCATCGACAGGAGGCTCACATCTGAGACGTGACGTCAATGTTCTTTTCGCTCTGCATGAACGGGTTGCCTTCCCTCTCCTCCTAAGGGCATGGTGGTGCGAGGCAGGCTGTTGACTCTGGCTTGTGGGCGCGGTAAAGATTGTCGGTATCCGTCGTTTTCCATTACTCTGATATCATTCATTACTCGCATCACACGAGCAAAATTCGTATTTATAATGTGCCATGTTGAGTGCTCGCTCCGCGAGAGTTCAAATTCGGGAGTAGGTCTGCTCCGGGTTAACTTCTGTGCTTCTCCTCTAGTTTTCTTCCTCGAGGGGGGTGCCTATTCTCTTATTGAAGAGGAAGTAACGTCCTCCCTCCCGAAGGCTGGCGCCTATTCGTCGGGCCTCGTCGAAAGGAGTCGCCATCGGCGTTGGACCCACCGTCGATGGCGTGTATTTACTTAGTCGTTGCTGCCCTTCGGTGGCGGGAATGCCTTCGTAACCTCCGTTTACATCATCATGCCATGTCTTCGGCTTTATAAATCATCAAAATGAGAGGAGATAGCCCGGACACTCGGAGGGCGTTCTCATGCATCCCCCCCGTAGGGGGTTGCTGTCACGCGATGCTTCTCCCGGTTTCCGGTCCGCGGCCTCCGTCCTCTTCTTCCATCTCCACCCCCACTACCACAGCACTGGCTCTGGGGTCACTGCGGCAGCAGCCGGAGGGACAGATGCAGTGTATGATTGCGGCGACGAGGAGAGCACCCCTCCGATCAACCCCTTCTACTGGAACAAGAGGATCCACCTACTATGCTCTGGACGGGAGTCTGGCGGCTGCGGCCACGGGGTCGACGAGGCCCTCCGCCTTCTCGACCGTCTCCGGTTCCGCGGCCACCGCCCTGATTCCCTCGTCCTTAACCACATTGTCCACGGTCTCTGTGACGCTGGCCGCTTCCTCGAGGCTCACAATCGCCTTCTCCTCTCCGTCGCATCCGGATGGGTCCCTGACGACCGTACTTCCAACGTTCTCGTCGCCCGCCTCCTCGACGCCCATTCCCCTGATATGACCCTCCGTGTCCTTGAGCACCTTATCTCCACCAAGCCTGCTTTCATCCCCTCATCTACCATCTATAACCGGCTCATAAATCAGTTCTGCATGCTGTCCCGACCAGCCGATGCCCGGAATGTCTTCCTTGACATGAAGAGCAGAGGACACCACCCGAACATCGTCTCCTACACGACGCTGATCAACGGGTTTGGACGTGTTGGAGGATTGGATGTCGCCCGGCAACTGTTTGAGGAAATGTTGGCGAGCGGGATCCTACCCAATTCACTCACATACAGCGTGTTGCTAAAGGGTGTACTGCGGAAGAGGATGGTCGAGGAGGGAAGGAGGATGACGAACGAGCTTTGGGTGAGAATGGCGAGTGAGGAGGACTCTTCTATGAAGAATGCGGCTTTTGCAAATCTGATTGACGCCTTGTGCCGGGAAGGGTTCTTCCACGAGCTCTTCAAGCTTGCCGAGGAGATGCCACCGGAAAGGTGCGTAAACGAAGAGTTTGCTTATGGGCAGATGATCGACTCGCTCTGCAGGGTCGGGAGACATCACATGGCTTCTCGTATTGTTTACATGATGAGAAAGAGGGGCTTAACTCCTAGCGTCGTCTCGTACAACTGCATTGTACACGGCTTGAGCAAGGAGGGGGAGGGTGGTTGCATGCGAGCATATCAGTTATTTAAGGAAGGTATGGAGTTTGGGTACATGCCTCCTGAGTCCACTTACCAGTCCTTGGTTGAGGGTCTTTGCCGGGTCAAGGATGTTCAGAAGGCCAGAGATGTTACTGATTTTAAGCTCAGGAGGGAAGGCGTTGCTACGACACGAATATACAATATATTTCTCTATGCCCTGCGTCTTGTTGATAATCCGAGTGAACAGCTAAATGTTCTGGTCTCAATGTTTCAGAACCAATGCAGGCCTGATGTGGTCACCCTCAACACCATTATCTACAGCTTCTGCAGGATCGGCAAAGTTGATGAGGCTTTGAAGATTCTGAATGATATGTTGCAAGGCAAATTCTGCACACCGGACGTAGTTACATTTACGACCATTCTGCATGGCCTGCTTGATGTTGGGCGAATAAAAGAGGCACTTGACATTTTTCACCGTAAGATGCCCGAGTGTTCCTGCAGCCCTAGCACAGTGACGTATAATGCTGTTCTTCATGGTCTGTGTAAACTTCGAAGTGTAGAGAAGGCAGTATCAATTTTCCATGAAATGGTTCAGAAATCCGTCAGCGCTGATAGTAGGACTTATACTGTAATTTTGGAAGGGCTATTGAGCGCGGCCCAGGTGCATGAGGCGAAGACATTTTGGGAGGATGTTGTTTGGCCTTCAAGCATCCACGACGATTTTGTTTACGCCACAGTCCTCAGGGGTCTGTGCAATTTGGGCAGACTAGATGAGGCGTGTGACTTCTTATATGAGCTCATAGACTGTGGCATCAGTCCTGGGATTGTGAATTACAACATTCTCATAGATGGTGCCTGTAAAATGAGTTTGAAGAGAGAGGCTTACCAAGTGGTTGCTGAAATGAGAAAGAACGGACTGATCCCAGATTCTGTTACATGGAGAATTCTTGACAAACTTCATAAAGGTAAAAAAATAGGAGATACCCCTCGTGTTCATCCTCTAGTGTTTGAAAACTTCTCACAGCAAGAGGTAACAACCACTGCTGGAATGCCCACTGGCGACAATGAAGCATCTCAAGAGAAGGAAGATGACTCAGACAAAGACAGGAAGGGAGTTGCGGCAGAGAGTAATATAGATATGAATTGTTCCATTTCCAGTAATGAAGAAAACAATAAGTATGGCAATAGGGAAGCCTCAGAAATTATTCTATTTACAGATGAGAATGAAACTAAGGAATCGAAGCTGAGGAAGCCCCTATCGAGGATTGTGCAAAGGGTGTTTGGGCTTATGTGAAAATACCTTGAACTGTCATTTCCGTGTGCACAGCTAGGGCAGCTATCTGCAAAGGGTGTTTGGGGTTCAATGTTTTGTCCTCCGCAGTTCCTTTTGAGAATTTGAACCCCCGTCTCTCAGCACCTAGGCATAGTTGCCTCCAATCTCCAGGTGTCTGTTTCTTCTAATATACATACTCTCTCTGCTGCTACCAGGTCCCGGTTGATAGGACCTGTGGAGAAAAATGTTGTCCTTTGTTGTTTTCTGACAGCCGCTCAGTAAGACGTTCTTCAATGACTGGTGCTTTCATTTGTGTTTTTACATTTGCATAGCCATGTTCAGCCAGTGCCATGAAAACTTGATCTGTGGGAAGTCCTGAAGTTCTATCCATGTCATATCAGAGCTAACATGATTAGTTAATATAGAATATAGAATTATCTGGTATCATGCTGTTCACCCGGTTATGGATTATGAGATAATCTGGAAGTAATCTATTCTCACAGTTCTGAAGGGCAGTAAAATGGATAAATTGCTTGGTATGCCGTCAAGATGATGCTTAGAGGATTTTGATCCATGCGTAAGGTAGTGGCCGAGGTCAGAATCGAAGGTCAAAAGATTTAATGAAAATCAATTTTCATCCGTAAACATCTAACAGTTCCTGAGTGCTCCCATTCTACAGTTCCTGTCTGCTGGTACAAGAGATGGGGGTCATTCTGTGGCCTCATCCTGCTCATGGAAAGCTGTGGAATTCATTGTCCATTCCTTTGCGGAACTTATGCTCAGTGGACATCTATGAGACTCTGATAAGAACCCAGATCAAAGTACTATGAATAATTTGTATTAGATGAAAGAAACAATCTCTAGAACAGAAATACTAAAGATAAAGTATAGTAAAAGAACTCAGAATGGGTGGAGGGTCGCATACAACCTTAGAACCCAGAACAGATGGAGGGTCACATACAACCCTCCAAACCTTTCTTGTAGATTCACAAGATACTAACACAGATTTTCTCCCCCCTTCTTTTATGATACACCCATCTTTATATCCTCTCCTTTCCCTCTCTTATTTAAGTAGTTAGTCTCCTGTCATAACTGCTCTTGCCATAACCACTCTTTGCTAAACTGTTCCTTGTCATATTGTTCATGGCCATAACTGTGCCTTCCCTTAATCATGCAACTGTTATTAACTTATTGGGCTTTGGGCCTTTTTCCTTCTAGCATATGTGCATGGAGCCTTACCAATACTTCTCCCCATGAGCTTCACCTTGTCCTCAAGGTGGAAGTTTGGAAATTGCTAGTGGAAGGATGAAGTTAGTTCTCACATAGCTTCAAAATCAAGGAGATCAGCTCATTTGACCAAGATTTCTATGTCAAAAGAGGAATTTCAAATGGTGAGAATATCTTGGGGGGTAACATTCCATTCTATGGTGTCAGTCAATATGCTCGAAATTTGTTGACAGTAAGCAGAATTCCTTAGTGCTTTGTGAAGTTGAGAAATGTGAAAAACTGAGTGAATGTTATGGAGTTGGGGAGTTCTACTTTGTATGCTACCTTGCCAATGCACTCTTATATAGGGTAAGGTCTAAAAAATATGGGACTTAGTTTTTCATTAGCTTTTTTGGCTAATGATTTCATACGACAAGTTTGGAGCCTGATATAAATCAAATCTCCCACTTGAAACTGTCTTGTTGATGTTTATCAGCTTGTGCCTTTATCTTGGACTGTGCGGCCAAGAGATGTTCTTTGAGAACATGAAGTGTATCATGTCTTTCTTTTAGATTAGTGTTGACTGCATCAATTGGTGACATAGGTGATCCATAATGTGTAAGTGTGGAAGGGTCTCATCCATACACTACTTTAAAAGGGTCATCTTGATGACAAAATGATGAGAAGTGTTGTAACTAAGTTCAACCCAATGTAAATAATTAATCCATAACTTATGTTTATCATAAGTAAAGCATCGGAGATAATTATCTAAGCTTTGGTTCACAACCTCAATTTGCCCATCTATTTGCGGATGATAGGAAGAACTCATTTTCAATTGTGCCTTAATGTTTGTTGAGTGCTTTCCAAAAAGCATTGGTAAATACAGTCCCTTTGTTAGTAAAAATAGATCTTGGAATGTCATACAACTTGACGATTTCCCTTGCAAAGATTTGGGCAATGTCTTTGGCTATGAATGGATGTTTGAGGGGCATAAAGTGGGCAAATTTGTTGTCTGTCCACTATGATGAGAATGGAGTCATAACCTTTGGATTTAGGTAGACCTATAAAATCCATAGAGAGGTCTTTTCTAATCATATTTAGAATAGGCAGTGGCTGCAAAAATCCTATTGGTGACAAAATCGAAATCCTGCTCTTTGCCATAACCATTCTTTGCCATAACTATTCCTTGTCATATTATTCATTACTATAATTGTGACTTCCCTCAATCATGTTAACCATTATTGACTTATTAGGCTTTGTGCCTTCTTCCTTCTAACATATGTGTGTGGAGCCTTATCAAACTCTTGCTGTATGATTGTTCTCTTCTGCTTTTCGCCATTGGTAAGTTAGAAACAAAGTGGTAGTTGGGAATCATGGAGTTGGCATTGTGTCATTTTAGTTGAAGTTCTAACCAAATTAGATAGCTTTCATCATGCTCACATTTCATGGTGATGCTCTATGATTTATCACTAATATTAATACTATTGGCATGGATCTTATCCAGTCCATTTGGTGGGGTGATATAACTTTTCTAGGGTTGAAAGCCTCCTTTTTTTTGTCTGTGCCTGATCAATATCTTGTTTGAATGTCATTCAAAGTGAGCTAGGTCTCATGATTTCTGTCAAAACTATGACATGGACTAAAAAAAATATTTTTGTAAATGACATTAATTGTAGATCTTTTCACCTGGTTGAATTGTTATAAGTTAGTGAGGGCATTGTCTTTCTTCTTGGGGATCAAGGACAATATGGTTGTTGAGGCAGCTGCCTCTCTCGCTCTCTATCCAGCCCTTCTCTCATTTTGCATGTCGTACTTTTAGATTCCATGCTTCTTGGGGTCCCCACTCAATTTTGCTTGAGTGAGGTCGAGTCGTTGCTCTCACTCTCTTCATCGGTATTATTTGACGGCATAGAGAGTCTTGTTGTGCTATGGAAGTCAGGGATCTAGTTGAAGGAGTTGTTGATCTTTGTCGAGCCACTTGTGCCTTCTAGCTAAGGACTTCTTCAACCAATATGAAGAGAGTGGGTGATAGGGGATCACCCTACCGTAACCTTCGCATGGGCATGAAGAAAAGTGTGGAAGTGCCATTCACCAATAAGGAGAAATAGTTCTCCCAAACACATATATCAACTAGGTCAATGAACTCGTCGATGAATCCGAAGCATCAAAGCACTTCAGTAAGGAAATTTCACTTGATCTTATCAAAAGCCTTTTCCATGTCTAATTTGATAATGACGTTGGAGCCACAGATGATTAAGTTACTAAAATTATTTAATCATCAGTAAAATCATACATTTAGGGTTTAGGGTTTAGGGTTTTTTTTTTTAAAATAAAAATTGATTGAGTGCTAGAAGTTTGACCTCATTTTGAGGTTACATAAGTGAGATCTCATTCGCACAAAGGACGAGGATGAGATGGGGGAGAGGATTATGGATAATAGTGGAGATAGACTCCACTACGCTCATAATGTTTGAAGAAGGCGACTGATTTGTAGTGGACTAAAAGAGCCATTGAGTTCATGAAGTTGGAAGATCCGCTCAACAGTAGTAGACGTGTAGACCTCCATATTGTGCACCATGAGGTGTTCTTACAAAGACAGGAGTTTGCTATAGTAAGTGGTTATAAGAAATAAATAAATAATATAAAGTAGGTGAGAGAAGAATGGTTAGGATAGTGAGGAGTACAAAACTATGCTAGAGCATGACAATAAGCCCAAATATGAACTTGCCTTCCTAGTGTTGCATGCGCCTAATCCCTCTGGTCAAGATTTTGTTAGTACCATCAGTTGCCGTACTTCCTCTAAGTAGGTAGGTGACCTTTCACCCCACGAAGAAAGACTTGGTCTCTTTTTCTAACCCTTTTCTTTTCTCTTATTCTCTCTCTCTCTCTTTTTTTTTTTTGTTTGTTTTGTTGAGGGCCTCTTCTTTCACCCTCCACTAATGCCCATGATTTGGCTAGTGATTAGGGGAAGGGAAGTAGGTTTTTTTTTTTTATGAGGACCTTTTCCCTCACCCTCCACTAATCGTCTATGATAGGCTAGTGATTTCGGGAAAAGAAGTAGGCTACCTATTTTCTTTTTTTTTTTCTTTTTTTTTTTGAAGAGAGAGAAAGGAAGGGAGAAAGAAATAGAGAATCGAGAAAGAGAGAGAGGAGAGAGGGTCAATCCTATGGATATAAATCCTTACCTTCTCATGGGTTCAAGCTGACTAATGGTACTAATGAGATCTTGAAAGAGGTGCTAAGTTGGCAATTTACAACTAATTTGGCAAGTTTGATGTGCTATAGACCTATAGTTCAAAAGTGGGCAGATGCTAGCATGTGCTAATAGTTATGTGTCCTCACTATTTGAGGGTGATAGATAGTAGAAGTGAGATGATTATGAGGAGAGTAATGATTGGAAGTGGTGTACCCGGGTGGATTGTGATGTGCTTTGTCGTTCGTCTTGTGTTGACGTCGACGTTGAATTACTCTAAGCGATACCCCACTACCTAAGTGTGGCAGGTAGAAGCTTTCACCCAATGCATAGTGCTGGTATACCGAGTCGTTCTAAACGGTGTCTACCTCGAGCTTCTACAGGAATATCCTACCAAGAGGTGAAAACATGTCTTAGATGAGTGCATACTGCATGTGTAGCAAGTGTGTTTGCAGTCTGATTCCCCTCGCATAGCTGGTGTGTGATCGCATTGATCTTCTCACGACAACACATGATATCCATCCAGGTGCTCCTAAGTCGCCAATGAGAGCAAGTACCTACACGTAACATTTCAACTAACACTCTAGAGTCGGATTCTAGGACAATACCATGAAGGTTGCATTCCTCATAGAGGAGCAGACCATCGTGGATTGCCATAGCCTCCGCTACTGTGTTAGTCTGAACGTTGTAGTAGTGAGAAAAGGCAAAGATAATACTTCTTGTATGGTCTCGTAAGTTGCCTCCTCCCCCTGCAAGTCCAGGGTTCTCATGTGCTGCCCCATCCACATTGAGCTTCAGGTGTCCTATCAACGGTGGTCTCTAATAGATAGTTCACATAGTGATTTGTGTATAGGTCTGTAATGTTGGAATTCCCCAAGTCTTGAGTGCCTCACAAATAGAGGCCAAGCGTGTGGTGACAAACGACATTAGAGGATGGACACTCTGTAGCCATTGTGTGACATGCCTCATATTCTTTAAGGCACGCATCGATCATCTTGCAAAACGAGATAGATTTCGCCCCTTTCATATCTTCCATAACATGTATGCTATGGAAATACGTAGGTAGGGGTTACCCCTAGTGCTCTGTCATGAATCAAAGACTCTCCTGAAGATCTCTAGGGGTGTGAGAGATGGAGGATGATGAAAAGCGGGTGACCAATTCCTTAAGAGTTGGTTCCAACATTCCAAAGCAACGACACTATGAAAAAATAAGTGATCTATAGTTTTGTTTCTTAGAGTGGTGTGACAACAATGACACCTAGAACATATGTGGTGTCTAATGATGGTCATACGGTCATCAGTAGGGAGTCCTCGGTACATCAATTTTCACATGAAGAAAGAGACTCGAGGTATGATAGTATGATGCCCAATAAGATTTCCCTAAACTTGTTTTAGGGATTGGTTTCTAAAATAGTTCCAAGAAGAACTACAAGAGAAACTCCCATCAAAGGTGAGAGTCCAAATGGCCTCATCATCCTTAGGGCTCAGCTCTATTAATGAGATCTTGGGTAATAAATCTAGGGAGAGACCATGCTGCTCGATGAGTAGTTTAGTATCCCCCTCGAGAAGTTGGACCACCATGAGTCAGGGCCAAGATGGCGTGAAGGAGATATAGGATGCCAAAGGGGTATTTGCAAGCCAAGTGTTGTACCAGGCATTGATAGTGCCTTGTCCCACACGCCACCGGATTAAAGGTTTCATTTGAAGCCAATGTCTCTACCAATCCACCCACTGCTTCCCTCCTTTTATGTCTGCCAATTGGTTAGCCCACTCGTCATATTTGGCAGACACAAAGGTCCCTAAGATTGATCTCGTCGTCCTCATCCGCCATACGAGTTTCTTCTGAAGCATGTCAAGTATGTCTTCAGGACGTCTAATCCCTAGTCCACCCTCTACCGTCGGTCGGCATACTTTCTTTCAAGAAACTTGTCGTTGGTGATGAGGTCCGTCGAGTTGGCCATCCCACAAAAAAGAGGTACATATCAGCCTCACAGATTGTGAGACGGTATCCGGTACCTCATGTACTACTAGTAGATGTAATGGCATACTCATGAGGACATGACGTATCAGCTGAATGTGACCTCCTGAGGATAGAAGCTGAAGTTTCCATCCGGCAAGTTTCTTCCTCAACTTGTACAAAAGGGTATCAAAATAATGAATCCGAGTGCATCCAAGGAAGATAGAACATCCAAGGTAATCAAAAGGTAAATGTCTACGTGAGAATCTTGTTATATCTTGTATATGGCATATGGTGCTAATGGTGGTAGAAGATGCCACTATAAAGCTACTCTTCAAGATATTAATGAGTTGACCTGTGGCCCACTCGTAGCTCGAGACAATAGTCATGAGTCTCTTAATGGATGCCTCATATTCATTAAGGAAGAGTATAACGTCATCGGCAAATAAAGAATGTGATATGATCAGGCAATCCCGCTTTAAATGATATAGTTGAATAAGTCTACGTGATATTGCTCGAGAGAGGGTTCTACTAAAGACTTTTTCAACTAATATGAAGAGAGTGGGTGATAATGGATCACCTTGCCGTAAGCCTCGTGTGGCAGTGAAGAAAGGAGTGGAAGTGCCATTCACCAGTAGGGAGAAGTGATTCTCCCTAACGCATGCATCAACTAAGTCGATGAACTCATCGGTGAATCCGAAGTGTCAAAGTACTTCAGTGAGGAATTTCCACTCGATTCTATCAAAAGCCTTTTCCATGTCTAGTTTGATGATAACATTAGAACCACGAATGTTTTGATCAAGAGACTGTGTTAGTTTATGAACTAACATGATGTTATCGTGAATGTACGTCCCTTGACAAATCCGCATTGCTCCGGAGATATGAGCCGATCAAGAAAAGTCCTTAGTCGTGCTGTAATGATCTTAGATACAACCTTATAACATACATTTCAAAGACTGATGGGCCGAAAGTCTTTAAAAGAGGTTAGGTTAGTCACCTTTGGGATGAGGGTAATAAAGGTGGCTTTCCAACTTCATGGAAAGACTTTGCGGCGGAAGAATTCCTTGATGGCATGTACTATATCTATTCCAACTATGTCCCAACATGATGTATAAAAATCAGCTGGGAAACCATTCTAGGTGCTCGGTTCCTACTCATCGAGAAGACTACATTTCAGATCACTTCTCTAGTAGGTATGGTCATGATGTCTTCTATCTCTTGGTGGGTGACTAAAGATGGAATTGATGAGAGGATATCCTCAGAGATTTCAATTGACTGAGAGGAAAGGAGGGTACGAAAGTATGCAATTCTTGCCTCTTGCATACAGGATGTGTCATGATCATACACCTCTAAAAGAGATGTATAATCAGATCGAGATTGATGTGTGATCAAGGCATGAAAGAAACGTGTGTTTTTATCACCCTCACGCAACCATTGGATGTGTGATTTTTGGAGATAGTATATCTCATGTCCTCGCGCGGCCTCCGTTAGTTGCTCGTTCATTCGAACTCGTCTCTCCCAAGTAGTGTCACTCCATTGAACTTGTAGTTGCCTCTCAACATCTACTAGCTCCTTCTTCAAATCCTCCACCTGAGTGTGTATATTTCCGTATACATGTCAGTTCCACCATTTAAGGTGGAGTTTGAGATTCCTTAGTTTGTAACTGAGGTTCTCCATAGGAGAGTTAGAGATATCTCTATGCCAATGACTATGCACAAAGCTCTGGAAGCCTTTGTGTCAAGTCCACATATTTTGAAACCTAAAAGAAGGTCTAAGAGAACTAGCTCTCGAGTCAAGGATAATAAGAATCGGCGTGTGATCTGACTTATAGTAGAGTAAGAGTATGACTAATATGAGACATTACATTAATACAATGTTATTAGTGAAGCAATGATTGATGCACTCATATATCCTTGCACCTCCTTGTCTCTCGTTACACCACGTCCAAACCTCGCCAAAAATAAGAGGCCCTATGAAGGCTGCGTGAAAAATAAAATCATTGAACATCTCCATATGATAGGTTCGAGGGATCTGCCCCCCTTGACGTTCAGTGACTCTACGTATGTAGTTGAAATCTCTAGCTATGAACCAAGGAGAATCAACTAGTATGGGATAATCCTATGTATATCATACTAGATCTTTCCAAAGAGTTTCACGATCTTGGCGTCTATGTGAAGCATAAATAATAGAGAATATAAACTCTTGGCTAGAACCAAGTACCTTCATCGTGACATGTTGTGGCCCCTCAATAAGTAACCTTAGAGAGTAAAGGCTCTTCCAGAACAATCAGATGTGATTTGTAAGGTTAGAGTGGAAGTGATCCATACCTAAGCGTCTAAGCAATAGATAAATATGATCTGATGGAATCATTAGTTCAATAAGCCCGACTAGGCATAGTCGGCACTTATTAATGAGTTCAATGATATGAGACTATGTTTCGAGGTTGACCAACCCTTGACATTTCCAAACAAGGCTGGGTATCATGGGCACTATCTATTGTCACGAGCCCTAGACCTCGTGACGTAGGGAGAACATTGTCGTGAGGCTCTATCGACTGCTTCTATTTGGTACCCTCTCTTAAGGTCAAAGCCCTCAATAGGATAGCCAGATGATGTCTCAGATCCAGAGTCCTCAACACTCAATGTAGAGCGCCCACTAGTGTCCGCCCTTGAAGATGATAAGGAGATGACTCGACAATTTGTCGAGCATTCTCCCCTACTAGGGCTCGCTAAAATGTCATCAATCTCCAAGCCTTGTCTAAGATCGCTCTCTGTCAAGGTCTTTAGAGGTGTGGTCAAAGGAGGATCTAGAGGGTGGGGTGGAAAAGGAGGATCAGAAGGGGAAAGGCATGGGGGGTCTGATGGGGAGGTGTCTGTTGGGGTCATATCAAGGACCGCATCAGGTGATGGAGGGGGCTGAGAGGATGTGCAAGGTGTGGTGTGGGGGGGTGCGATGCTAGGTATTATGTTGCAAATAGGTGATGGAGGACGGGTGACTAGAGCGGGTGTAATGGGTGAAGTGGGGATAGTTGACGTCATAGAAGTAATAGGTTTAGGAAGTCTAGTGGATGGAGAGAGACTGGTTGAGGGTAAAGTAGTAGTAGTAGTAATTCCCCGTTTAGGGGAGCATCGTCGAACTCATGGGCTGTCACCTTTCCCTATAGTAGGAACACTATTAGTCTCCTCAATCAAAGTACTGAGAGCATCGAAAGCATTTGACGTCTAGGCTATCTTTCCTATGTCTACTGAGACAAGAGGTGATTTTCGTGCTACCATCTTCCTCCTTTTACGGGTGGAAGTAGATGCTCAAGGAATAAAATGTGTCGCCAGAGTAAGTGGAGCTGTCTTGTGAGAACCTATTAGTAGGGTACTAGCCTAGAATGTTGATGGTCGGGATGGAATATGTGAGGTCGGTGTAGGACGACGACTAGACGTAGTCTTTCTTGCCTCAATAATATAGTCGTCATATGAGAGGGGTGGTAAGTGAAGAGAAGCAGACCCTGACAATGATGAAGTATTTTTTTGTCGACATATGTGAATAGTGTGTCCAAAAACCATATAATGTGTGCAGAAATGAAGTAATATCTCATATATAATATTTTGGTAGATTTTCTCATCCCTATTCTGCATAATAATCATATGCTGAAGGGGGGCTAAGAGGTCTAACTCGACACATATGCGGGCATATCCTAGACGATTGAACATTTTAACACCTGGATTTAGGCGTATAAATGTTCCGACTACATTTGCCAAGGACTCAAGTGCCTTGAGCATGAATAGATGTACTGGCACGCTCGGAAAACCTATCCAAACTAGAGTGGAGTGGGGTTGTTTCCCTCGAGAGGTGCCGTCAAGATATGGGGTCCATCTATGAGTGTACATAATGGCATTTTGAATCTCCCATGTAGTCCGGCTCCAGGCTTTCCGATAGTCAGCCTCGAGCTCGAATTGGATGAAGACACTCTGGTAATCATGAGCACTAATGGCTACATTTATCTAAAAATGTCTAGGGGCTAAATATATTTTCTAGATGTCATCTAAATGGGGACGTTTTGTGGTAAAACGTCTAATCAATGCAAATTGAAATGCCTCAGCTAGCTGAGAGACCTCGTTCGAAAAGAATGAGACTATTCTCATTCTTTCTTCCTCAATATAATCTTGTGGTAAGAGGTTCGTAGTATACATAGGGAGTAATGGAGCTCGGTGTGTGTTCTGAGTTGTAGGAGTTGACTGTGTTCTTGTAAGTTGCTGGGCCTAAGTCTGGGCTAAGGTTTGAGTGGGCTGAGCCGACATATTAGGAATTTGTGTGGGCTGGATTAGTATGGCTGAGGCTTGAGTTTGGATCTGGACTGGCTCTGCCCGCATAGGTCTTACTTTGGCAGTAATGGGCCGCACATGTGCTTGGGCCCGGACATCCTTGGGTTTCGCGGCCTTGAGTGTTGATGCCTCAGCCATAGTGGCGCCGCCCTCGTCAGCCCCCGCTAGCGGGGATGCGTTGGCTGTCAGGACCGAAGTGACGGCATCGACAGAATGCAGCGCCTTTATCTCGGCTTCCTCCTGTCCGTTGATCTCAAGATCAACGGTCAGATGATGAAGAGTCGATTCCGAGGAAAAGCCGCCACCTGACGCCTTTTCTCCGGAAGCTGACGAGTCCGCGTCAGCCTCTGCTGGGGGGGACGCCATGGGTACGAGGACCGAGCTAACGGCATCAGCAGAATGCGGCGCCTTTATCTCGGCTCCCTCCTGTCCGTTGATCGCAAGATTAACGGTCAGATCAAGGACCGAAGCTGACGAGTCCACGTCAGCTGACACCGCCCCCACATCGTCGGCCTTTTCCTCTCGTCGATCCTCACCGTTAATCTCACGATTAACGGTGAGGTCAGGGGAGACGGCGCCACGTGCCCTCTCCCTTTCCCGCAGAGCGAGGGAATGGCTCAAGAGCCATTCCCTTGTTTGCGGAAACCGAGGGGACGTGGGCCAACGGTGAATCACTGCCTTTCTCAAGGCGGCCGTTCCGCCCATTGACTGCCCCAATGTCCGGGTCATCAATAGGTTCCTCGGATGGCGTTTTATCGCCGCGGACGAGTCGTCCCCACGTGGCGGTTTCCTATTCGGTCGCATGCTTCCCTCATTTTTTCATCTGGGGGACATGAGTCTGCCGATGAAATCTCTAATTTACTCATCAAGTAAGCATCAGATGAAGATGGTGAAGAAGAGAAAAATATAGAGCACAGAAATACGATTCAAATGATTTAAAAATATTAAACTTGGTTCAAGTAACGAGAGAGATATTACCTTTAGAACGAAAAGTCCAGAAAAATACCTCTCAATGAAGAAATCCCGACAACGAAGGCTTCAATCCACTATTTTCGACGATTAATAGCTCGAAGTTGATAGATTTTGGCCTTCCAAATCCAATGGAACTGATTTCAGCGCGATCAGAAGTCACACGAAAAAAATATCGCCATTTCAGATGGAGGTCAGTTGAAGGTAAAGAAAGAGAAGCTCTTGCGAGGAGAGAGAAAAAAGTTGAACAAATGCCGGGTTTTGAGGTTTAGAGTTTTTTTTTTTTTTTTAAAGAAAGAAAATTTGATTGAGTGATAAAAGTTTGACCTCATTCTGAGGTTACATAAGTGAGATCTCATTCGCACAAGGGGCGAGGATGACATGGAGAATTAAAGACCTCTTTTGAAGAGGGGATGTGATAATATTAGAGATAGACTCTAGTACGCTCATCATATTTAAAGAAGACAGTTGATTTGCATTAGGTTGAAGGAGCTTTTAAGTTCATAAAAGTTGAAAGATCTGCTCAACAGTAGTAAGACGTGTAGACCTCCATGTTGTGCGTTATGAGGTGTTCTTACAAGACAAGAGTTTGCTGTAGTAAGTGGTTCTAAGAAATAAATAAAATGATATAATGTGGTGAGAAAAGAATGATTAAGGTAGTGAGGAAGATAGAACTATGCTGAAGCATGACAATAAACCAAAATATGAACTTATCTTCCTAGTGTTGCACATATTTAATCCCTCTGTCCAAGATCTTGTTAGTACAATTAGTTGTCGTACTTCCTCTAAGTAGGTAAGAGACCTTTTACCCCATGAAGAATGACTTGGTCTTTTTTTCTAAGTCTTTTCTTTTTCCTTATTCTCTCTCTCTTCTTTCTCTCTCCTTGAGGGCCTCTTCTTTCACCCTCTACTAATGTCCATTATTTGGTGTACAAGAGTAATTTCCTTTGAAGTATTAGGTTAGTGATTAAGGGAAGGAAAGTAGGTTGCCTACTTTTTTTTTTTTGAAGGCCCTTTCCTTCACCCTCCACTAATTATCTATGATGGGCTAGTGATGTTGAGAAGAGAAGTAGGCTCTTTTTTTTTTTTTTTTTCAAAAGAGAGAAAGGGAGGGAGAAAGAAATAGAGAATCGAGAGAGAGAAAGAGGAGAGAGGGTCAATCGTATGGATATAGATCCTTACCTTCTCATAGGTTCAAGTTAGCTGATGGTACTAATGAGATCTTGAGAGAAGTGCTAAGTTGGTGATTCACAACTAGTTTGGGTAAATGCCAACATGTGCTGATAGTTCTATATCCTCACTACTTAAGGGTGATAAATAATAGACGTGAGGTGATTATGAGGAGAGTAATGATTAGAAGTAGTGTACTCGAGTGGATTACGATGTGCCTTATTATTCGTCTTGTGCTGATAGGCAAAGTACATTCCATATCAGTGGTATGGGATGAGCGCCATGATGATGTAATGGTTGTGGCTTGTGACAGACCTGAAAACAGAAATAAAAGAAATACGTACCTATATCTCTATTGTGGTCTTCAGTGGCCAATAGTAACCACCCTTGATCTCCTCCAAGTAATATGCTACTACTGTGGAAGAGTTGGTAGTGGAGTGTGGTGTATGCGTAAAGAAGGTATGCCGAGTCGCTCAAGTCTATGAGCACCTCGGGCTTTGAGGGGCATGTCCTGCCAAAAAGAGAAGACTGTCCTCTAATGCGATTTGACTCCACGCGTAGCAAGGGCGTCAGCTGTCTAATTCCCTTTTCAGAACTGATGCGTAATAGTTGTGATGCATCCTCGACATTGCATAATGTCTACCCAAATATTCTTGAGCCTCCAATGAGGACAAGAGTTTGCACGTAACATGTCCACTAACATTTTGGAATCATATTCTAAGACAATATTAGTAATATTTTGCTCCTCACAAAGAAGCAAACCATCCTATATTGCTATAGCTTCTGCCATAGTATTAGTTCGTATATTATAAAAGTTCGAAAAGACAAAGAGAATGCATCCTGTAATATCACGTAAGATACCTCCTCCTCCAGATGGTCCTAGGTTGCCTTGAGATGCTCCATCGACATTGAGTTTCTACCATCCAGCCTTCGGTGGTGTCCATCTAATAGATCGGATAATAGTCCAAGTTTGTGTAGGTATGATATGAAGTCCCCAAAGCCCAAAAGCCTCACAAATAGAACACGTGCGTTTCGTTTTGTTTGGCACTAAGGAATGAGTACTCTGAAGCCATTGTGTTACGTGCCTTATAATCTCTGTAACACGCATCACTTGGCCTACAAATCGAGATGAGTTACGTCTCTTCTATATTTCCCATAACATATATGCTATGGAGATACAGCTGAAAGGACTAACCTTGACACTCGTTGGTGAGTCAATGACTCTCCTAAAGACCTTTAGTGGTGATCTTGTAGGTCTGTATGAGAGCATTGGAAGCCAATTCGCTAGAAGTTGACGTCAACACTCGATAACAATATCACTATGGAAAAATAGATGTTCTATACTTTCGTCCGTCGTGATGGAGCAACAATGACATCTCCTTTCCACCTCCTGATCGGTGACAATCACTCGATCATCTATGGGTAGTCCTCGATGCATGAACTTCCACAGGAAGAACGAAACACGAGGTGTGATGGCCGGATGCCATATGAGATTTCCCCAAAATATCTTTGGGGAGTGGTTTTTAAAGTGTTCCCAAGAGGAGCTACAAGAGAAATTGCCATCTATGGTAAGTGTTCAAATGAGTTGGTTCTCAGTAAAACTCGTCTCAATCATGGTGATGGTTGGTAACAAGTCTGACAGTAGTCCATGCCTCTCAATAAGTAGACGAGTGTCTCCTTGGAGAAGCTGGGCTACCGTCAAGCAAGGCCAAGAGGATGTGAAAGTGGTAAAACAAGCCAATGGTGTGTCCTCTAGCCAAGTGTCGTATCAGACACTGATCGCGCCTCGCCTCACTCGCCAACGAATAAGGGGTACCATCTCCAACCAATGTCGCTGTCAGTCTACCCATCGTTTGACTCCTTTGATGTTGGCTGGCCGTCGAGCCCACTCATCATATTTGGCTAACACAAAAGAGCTTAGCACCGATGGTGTGGTCTTCATCCTCCAAATGAGTTTCTTTTGAAACATGTTGAGTACATCTTGAGGGCGCCTAATATCTAGGCCACCCTCATCCGTAGGTCAACATGCTTTCTCCCAAGAAACTCGGTGTTGGCGACGAGGTCCCTCAAATTGTCCATCCTAAAAGAAGGACGTGGATATCCGTCTAATAGTTTGTAAGACGGTGTCTGGTACCTCATAGACTGCCAAAAGGTGTAATGGCATGCTCATGAGGATATGGCGTATCAACTAGATCCGTCCTCCAGGGGATAGAGGCTGTAACTTCCATCTCGCTAGTTTCTTCCTCAACTTGCCCACTAAGGCGTCAAAATAGTGTATGCGCCTACGGCCGAGGAAGATAGGACATCCTAAATAGTCAAAAAGTAAGTGTCCACGAGAGAACTCCGTTAGGCCCTAGATGCGTTGTATGATCCCTATGGGGGTAGAAAGGCCTACTATGAAGCTATTTTTCGAGGCATTTACGAGTTGACCTGCAGCTCGCTCATACCTCGAGATAATACTCATGAGCCTTCTAATAGATGTCTCACATCCATTGAGGAAAAGTATCGCATCATCAGCAAAGAGGGAGTGTGAGATGATTGGACAACCCCTCTTCGAGTAGTATGGTCGGATAAATTCTTGATTGATCACTCGGGTGAGGGATTGACATGACTCAGTCGTTGTATATTAAATCACGCAAATATAAAATTTATAAAACTAGAAAATACGAATTTTCAGATATTTAGAAGTATTTCTAAATAAATATATCAATTATAATTTAATAAAAATTCCAAAAATAGCGGTAATTTTCTAGGTCAATCACAGGGATGTAATATAATATATGGTAATTATTTAGAATTTTTCTCAATGAATACGATTTTCTTATGAGTTTTATACTAGGAAATAAAAAGGAAATATATTTAAAATTCACAAAAAAAAGGAAATAAGGGTGCGGACGTCAGGATGACGTCAACTCCCGGCGAACGCGAATTAGGCGGAAATAGAGTTTCATCCGACGATTCTTACATAAGCGATTACAGATGACTTAATTAATCAAATTAAGATCTGTAAAAGTCGGAAGAATCGTAATTGAACGAAGTATAGTTTGGTAAATTAAAATCATACAAAATATCATTAAATGAAGCGTAAATTAAATTGAAAGCAGGAACACAGAGTTTCGGCGTCGTGACAACGATGTGTCAGCGATGCACTGGAATCCTGAGCATTCAAGAGGATCGTCGTGCAGTGTCCATGGCCTCGAAGGCTCTCCTTGGACAAAGACGACGTGGGCAATCTCTAGATCTTCTCGTGAAGTCTAGAGATCAATGAAGTGGGTCGTCGAATTGTCTTTGGCAGCTGTCACCCGGCAGAGCGGAAAAAACGGCGACTTTGCGGCTCTTCGGCGGCTGTCACCCGACGGAGAGGAGCTGGATGGAGGTAGGGCGCGTGTTAAGGAGCTTCATCCTCAGGTCCGCGCAGCAAGAAGAGGCTCTTCATCGCATCTGGTACGCTCTCAGGAGGTGGCGACTAGTCTCCTAGCGGATCGTCCTCTTCCCGACGACGACTTGTTCGTCGATTAGTCGGAGATGATTTACTCGATGGATTCGCGATCCTGTTATCGCGAATCATTCAGCAATTTTAGTAGCAATGCTCCGTGAATCGCGTTGACAAGATTTTTGCCGATGATCCAACGATTCTCGTTGCTTAATCCTTCACTGGCGATCTACAGGAAAGTCGCGATAATCAAATAAAAATATATGAATTTTGACTCTGGAAAGATTCGAATGCGCGTCGGTCGCCCGCCTCTTTTGAGGAAGGTGTGACGGGGATTTAGTCCTACATTACGCCAATTTTTCGGGCGAATATATAGTAATGTTAGCTTTGTGAGCAAAGTCCCTTCTCTTGCGTGTATGACCACACCTTGCCCCACAATTGGCTAGCCACCGGTGATGTGGAAGGGGAGTGGCGTACGCGTGCCCTGTCGATCCCCAAGCCAAGCCGCTCGAGCCCCTGCTCACGACTTACTCCCCGACTGCACTTCCGACTCGCTTGCAGGCCCAGCTGGCCGGCGGGTCCCCCCATTTTTGCAATATTTTTATTTTTATTTCTTGTTCTTCATTTATCTCAAAAGTAAGACTGTAAAAATCATATAAAATCACATAATTACCCAAAAATTCACGTTAATCAATTGAAAACCAAAAATCATTCTTTAACACAAATATAAGTCTATTTATCATGAGTAAAGGCTAAAACTATATTATTTATTAATTATTAACTCATGATAATGAAGACTTATCAGTGATCGACTGAAGACTTCTATGACCAAGATGAAGAGGGTGGGTGATAGTAGATCACCTTGTCGTAGACCTCTCGTGGCCGTGAAGAATGATGTGGAGCTACCATTCACCAATAAAGAGAAATGATTCTCCTTAACACATGCATCGACTAAGTCAATGAAGTCGTCGGTGAACCCAAAGCATCTAAGAACCTTAATGAGGAAACTCCACTCTATCCTATCAAAGGCCTTCTCCATGTCTAATTTGATGATGATGTTGGAGCCTCGACAGTTATCGCTAAGAGACTGTACTAGTTCATGTACTAGCATGATGTTATCATGAATGTACCATCACTTGACAAATCTACACTATTTTGGAGATATAAGTCTATCAAGAAAACTACTCAATCTACGTGTAATGATCTTATATACAACTTTATAACACACGTTACATAAATTGATAAGTCGAAAGTCTCTAAATGAGGTTGAGGTAGTCACCTTCAGTATAAGTGCAAGGAAGGTGGTCTTCCGATTTCGTGTAAAGACTTTACGATGAAAGATTTCCTTGATATCCTGGCTGAGATAAGTACCAACAATATCCCAACATGAAATATAAAAATTAACTGGAAAACCATCGGACGCAGGTGCACGATGTTTGCTCATAGAGAAAACTACTTCCTTAATCTCTTCTCCCGTGGGTATGGCCGTCGTGAGAGAGCTCTCATGGTGAGTGACCAATGATGGGATCGAAGTGAGCATATCATCAGAAATCTTGATCGGCTGAGAGGTTAAGAGAGTACGAAAGTACTCAACTCCTACCTCCTATATGCGGGAAAGGTCCTGATCATATGTCTCTAAAAGAGAAGTATAATCTGAACATGAGTGGTGAGCGACCGAGGCATGAAAGAAACGAGTGTTTCTATCACCCTCTTGTAACCACTAGATGCGTGATTTTTGGAGATAGAATAACTCTTGTTGTCGCACAACCTCATCAAGCTGGTTGCTCACTCGACTCCTCGTTTCCCAAGTAGCATTTGAATATCTAGCTTGTAGTAGTCTTTTAACTTCTGCTAACTCCTTTCGCAATGCATCAACCTGGGTATAGACATTCCCATAGATATGTCGATTCCACCACTTAAGGTGGAGTTTGAGATTTCTTAACCTATAGTTAAGGTTCTCCATAGGAAAATCTGAGATATGTCTGTACTAGTGATTCCGTACGAAACTTTGAAAGTCTTTATGTTGGAGCAACATGATTTGAAATCTGAAGGAAGGTCTGTGGGTGCTCATACTCTGTCTAGGGAGTATAAGGATCGGGGTGTGATCTGACCTATAATGGGATAATATTGTGACTAATATAGGATGTGGCAATGTAGCGATGTTGTTGGTGAAGCAGTGATCGATATGCTCATAAATCAAAGCATCCCCTCGATTGTTGCTCCACGTCCATGCCTTGCCTGATGTAGGTGGCTCAATAAGAGCTAATCGAAAAATACAGTCATTGAACATCTCCATGTTACAGGCCTTAGGGATTTGCCTGCCTTGACGTTCACTAGTATTATGAACATAGTTGAAGTCACCTGCTAGGTACCAAGGAGACTCAACTAATGTAGGGTAGTCCTTCACGTACTGAACTAGGTCTGCCCAAAGAGTTTTCTTTTCTTCGGATCTATGTGATGCATAAATGACTGAAAAGGTGAACTCTTGGGTGAGATCTCAAACCATCATAGTGATATGTTGGGATCCCTCGACTAGCAACTCCATAGAGTATGGTTTAGTCCAAAAGAGCCAAATATGATTTGTGGGGTTGGAGTGAAAATGATCCATACCCAAACGCCTAAGTAAGGTTTGGATACGATCTGATGATATCATTAGCTCAATGAGGCCTACTATATCTAATCGGTACTGTCTGATAAGGCTAGCTATATAGAATTAGGTTTTAAGGTTACCTATACCCCGACAATTCCATATGATACTAGGTATCATGATCTAATGAGTAGCCCCACGAGTCCTAGATCTCGTGGAGTAAGGTGAGCGTCTAGTGAGTCGTGTGGTCCTAGCCTCCGTCTGATATCCCTCCTCTAGGTAGGTAGTCTCAATGTCAATCTTAGATCCACCATCCTCATGGGTACCAGTCGTGTGGCTACTAGTATCGTGAACACTAGATGAAGAGGGTGGGTGCGGTGCTTGACGATTCGTCAAGCACTATCTTCTATCGAGGTTCTCCCTAGAATCAGCAGGTGGTGGATCAAGTATAGGAAACTGATTTGACAGGTGTAGTGGGAGAGAGGGGGGGAGGGTATAAGAATCAAAAGGGGGGGCTACGTAAGATGTACTAATAGGAAGTATGTTGGGGGTAAGCCCTCCTCGTAGATCCTCGACGGGGATCTGAGGGAGATGAGTAGTGCCCAAGCCTATACCCTCAGAGAAAAAGGTAGACCTCAGTCGGTGGGGACTAAGAGGTGAAGGACTCCTACTATGTGGAGAAGAGTGAATGGGTGGAGAGGAGCTAGGTGGTGGAGAGACACTAATGGGTGGAGTGGGGGGGGTAAGTATGGGGGGTCAGTTAGCTCGGAGTTTGGTGTTCCTTATAGTAGGAACACTATCGGTCTCCTCAATCAAAGTACTGAGAGCATCAAAAGCATTCGACGTCTGGGCTATCTTTTCTATGTCTATTGAGACAAGAGGTGATGCTCGTGCTACTGTCTTCCTCCCTTTACGAGTGGAAGTGGACACTTGAGGAATGGGATGTGTCGTCGGAGTAGGTAGAGGTGTCTTGTGAGAACCTGTCAGTAGGGTACTAGCCTGGAATGTTGATGGTCGAGATGGAATATGTGAGGTCGGTGTAGGATGACGACTAGACGTAGTCTTTTCTGCCTCAACAATAAAGTTGTCATATGAGAGGGGTGGTAAGTGAAGAGAAGTAGACCCTGATAGTGATGAAGTATTTTTTTGT